TGCTCGTACACACATACATATTAAACATGCATGATGTTTCTTGGTTAGTAATCATATAATCAATATATATATTGCTAAAACGTGAATGTAATTGTAACATGATCAGACAAAATAATCTATTGGTTAATGATTTCCGAAGGAAAATACAAATCACAAAATTGATGTGCATTGTCATTATTTGCTTAACAAATCATATGATAAATGTATTTTTATGTGAACACGTGGAAAGTAATCATGAATATGCATGCAATATGCAAACTTTTATTTTGCACCTTTTTGGGTTGTTAGGGTTCATTTTTGTGGGAAGGGTGCAAAATCTTATATTGCACCCTTTTTTGAACCCCTTTTCCTTCAATAGGGTTCATTTTTATGTAAAGGGTGCAAACTCTTATTTTGCACCCTTTTTTGCACCCTTTTTTCTTAGAGTGTAGATGGACCAGGCTTTTGAAATATATTCGAGTTGTTTTTTCGAAAGTGTTTTCGATCGATGTTTTCGATCTGCAATATTCCTGGTTGGATGAAAAGAGAGACAAAATTGGTGCATTTTAAAAGTTACCACTAAAATCGATCAACCAAAAAGCTTGCACAGATAATGGCGCGGAAAACCAATGCTTTTAAAGCCGCCGCGGTTTTTTACGTGTACAATAAACGGCAACTGCGCTCAACAAAGGATTTGCGCGTTTGCGATGAGCTCTGTTTAATGTGGAGCGTATTATACACTTTACATTTCACGTCATCATTAAAAAAAAAAAAATTTTAAACAAAAAAACAACGCCGTGGTTTTGCCGCGTCATCTGAACAAGCTTTAAAGGGATTGGGTGACTTTGTCTCAGATTCTGAAACAAAAACCTGGATTTAGCTCATGCTGCAATGATAATTATAAACCTTTAGGTCAGTCAGTTTAATGTTGTTATTATTATTATTATCTTTAATAAGTAGTTCGTTTAATTTTCTTATCTGTCTGTAAATATTACTATTTTAACTTATTAATTTTATACATGTCTGTAAGGGACCCCACTCGAAATAAGCTCTCGAGCTTTCGTGGGTTATCCTGTTCAAGCTGACTTATTTTTGATCTGTTATTATTGTATATTGTTGTATGTTGGAAGCTTGTCGAATAAAATCAATCAATCAATCAATTAATCAGGAACCCCATGACTTTTACAAGCCGATCGCATGTCTGATAATCAAGATATTTATGATTGGAAATCAAAATTCAAAAATTCGTTTTCCTAACGGTTTTCATAACACTACAGTGAGTCTATTGGGAAAAATGAGTATGGTAAAACCGGTCAATCAAAGATTTTAACTTTTTTGAGGCACTCCATGATCCTTTTGAAGCGCAATATTTTTTAGGGCTTCAATATTACACCATAATTATCACAGACACTGATAATACGTGGGGTCATATACTCAGATTTAACATTGTTAAACGATGCCTGTAAACACGAGTTCGGCTATTGTTTTACGGACAGAAAGATGACGCGTCTGGATCAGACGCGGGATCGCATTCCTCTCCTCCGTTGCCATGGTTACCTGGGGTTGTAGGACCATCTACCTGTGGATCAGCAAAAGAGCTTGATTGCTCATTCCCTGGGTTTGCAGGAGGATCTACCGGTGATTCATCAACAGAGCTTAAGGATGGCTCATTCTCTGGGGTAGTCGGTTCTTCCCACCCATCACTGGCCCAATTAGAACCATCATAATCATCACTGGACCAACTACCATCACCTGGCCCTTCTGACAGTACTGGGACAGGATCAGGATCAGCTACTGAGCTGACGGAGGACCATGGGCTGTCTTCTAGGTTCACTTCCTCTGGGGGCACTACCTCTGGGGTGGTTGAGGTGGTTGGGATGTAACCTGTATCAAAAAAGGACGAGCCATCACTCTGGTTTGATTGAGCAACAGGAGGGAAAAGACAGTGAAACATAGAATTAAAATAGTTATTGTCAGATTAAGGCATTTAAGGGTAGGGGAATGCAAGTCCGCAGAGAACATAATTATACCGATTTTTATTTCAAGCCGATATTGGAAAGTGGTAATGAAGGAATCGCATTTTGAAGAAAAAAACTGACTCGGATTGAATTGGAATGGCAAATTATTAACAAATTAATGACAATATAGTCAAACAAATATCTGATAGTGCAAACCATGTTGGCATATTAAACAATAGAAAAGCATTTCATCGATCAAATTTGAGTTTCCAACCTTTTTGCCGATGAACTTACATTGTATAAGATTCGGGCAAGAAACGCCTGTTTCTTAGTAATATTGCCAGTATTTCTTCCATAGGGGATAATCAGTAATGTCAAAATGTGTAATTGCCCCCCCCCCCCCCCCCCACCACCTCCTGGGACAAAAGTCGATCTTACCCCATCAAAAGGACACGCGGTTGGAACCCGGCACTGGATCGTTTTCGATGATTCCCCAATGCAGTCTTTTCCACTCCTGGTAGTGGAATCGGCAGGGGCCGGGTTGTCGCAGGTCCTGATCTGATTTCGGGTACTATATCCACACGTAGTGGAGCAGGAGGTAGAATCTCTCCACGCACTCCAGCCGCCGTGAACTGATGACAAAAAGCGGAAACTAATCAAAAAGGATCACTGGATGTCAAACATGCTCTGATCTCCCAGCCACACTCTATTTATTACGCTACATCGAAACCAATTGGGACGTTTTAGAGACAGAACTTATCTTAATTTCATCTTAAAATCAAAGAGACTTCAAGTGTGTATTTATGGAAAGCATACTGGCAGTGGACGGCCACTATTACCACGTCACATGCATGAGCAGATTACCTGCGCTATGCAGAGTATATATCTACAAGACAGTGCGGCATTGGTGCGGCATTGAGGTGGAGGTGTCTCCTCGACATTTTCAGAGGTGGGGAACTGTGTTCAGAAAATATAAAATCCCCCCCCCCCCCCGCGCTACCACCCCCCCCCCCCCCCACACACACCAGTGTATTTTCTTAGTTTTTGTGTTTAATTAAAGTTGTTTTATTATTTTGTTTATTTTTAGCATGCGATTTAAAGCTGCGGGATAAATTTTTCAAAAAATATTTCAAAACTATAAAGATTAATTTAATTTAATTTTAAAGATAGTGCAAAAAATATTTCAAAACTTTAAAGATTAATTAAATTTAACTTTAAAGTAAATGCGCCAAAGTAGCCTTTTAAATGGTTTGAATTTGTTGCTGTTTTTTTTTTAACGTACCTGGGCAGTCGGCCTTCTTGCATTTCTCACCCTCACTGCTAGTGCCCTCACAATAAGACCCACCGTGCAGGGGCTTGGGATTGTTGCAGCTCCTGGTCCGAAAACGATTGCCTCTTTTTCTACAGAATATGGCTGTGCATGCACCCCATTCTGTCCAATCACTCCAACCTCCATCGACTATGTACAAGCATAACAAATACGACGGTGGAAGTTAAACTCATGGAATAGATTTGTTTCTGCTGCTGCCCGACGGCCTAAAAGACCAACAGTGTCGTGGGCCTATACTGAAATGCTGTTCACCAGACCGACCTCGGCAGTCTCGTAGGCCGTTAGTCCAATGTGATGTCCTAAATTTTTCATAGGAAGAGGAGGGGGTGAAAAGGAGGGGGCGACGACACACGGAAACAGAGGGAGTGAAGTGAGGGGAATCTTTAAAAAAGAAACATGATTTTTTTAATTTTTTTTATTGTTATTGTTATCATCATTATCATTATTACAATTGTTACGATTAGGCCTGTTATTATCATCATCATCATCTTTATTGTCTTTATTAATTTTCAAAAAAAAAAAAAATCTTGTTCTCTAGTTCTGCACCTCGTAAGCCCGGCCGGCGCCTCATCCCTTCCCGTGACATTAGTCCCCTCTCAAAATAATGCCAGGACCCCCGCTATGGCTCTGACTTAAATGGTTCCCTTATGTCTGCACCCCCCCCCCCTTCCAGCTGAGGCATCTGAACTGTGTAAAGTTTTTACAAAGATTCTCAGAGGATTTGCAGACTTGTCTCCCCACCCACGAGAGAATCAGGGTCCGCCTCTAAATTATTGAAACATGATGAGGGTCAAGTCATCATTCGTATTTCTTATCGGCCATTAAACGCTATTTATTTATATGACTAAAATGTTTAAAACTTGACGTTCAAATTGCGGTGGTTGAGAGCACTAACTTTTTCTTCTTTTTTGACCCCCCCCCCCCAAAAAAAAGTGTAAATCGCGCGAACCAATACGGGGGTGGGGGGGGGCAAAAAGAATTAATATTTTTTAAACCAACAACCCCCCCTCCCTTGAGCAAAAAAAAAAAGATTGAGGGGGGTTTAACCCCAAAATCAACCCCCCCCCCCCACCCCTGCGTACGCGCCTGGCTAGTCTTGACGAAATAAACCTATAGATAGTTAGGAGGAATAATAATTTAGCCCCGGATTTATAGGGTTAAATTTGTAGACATTGGGATAATGGCATTAATATATTTGTCGGTAATCGTTGGCCTCTACACCCCCCCCCCCCTTCCCCACTGAAAAAGGTCTAGCGACGCCCCTGTCTGCGCTACACTGAGTATAGATCTATAGATCAATTAGTGTTTGGTGCGGCATTGAGGTGGAGGTGTCTCCTCGACATTTTCAGAGGTGGGGAATTTTCAGAAAATATAAAATTACTCCCCCCCCCCCCCGTCCCCATCCCTACCTTCCCCACTCGCACACACCGGTATTTTTCTCTTCGTTTTGGTGTTTAATTGTTCGTTGTGTTTGTTTGTTTTTAGCTTGCGATTTAAAGCTTCGGGATTACATTTTTCAAAACAAATATTTCAAAATTATAAAGATAAATCTAATTTAATTTTAAAGTGAATGCTCCAAAGTAGCCTTTTAAAGGCACACTGTCCTATTTATAGCTACTTGCTCCCTCTTTATAGAAGACTGGCTCGCTGGGTGGTCTAATCCCTTCTAGCTGAAGTAGTAAAGCATGCCTTTAAAGGTTTGAATTTAGTGTTGCTGTTTTTTGTTAACGTACCTGGGCAGTCGGCCTTCTTGCATTTCTCACTCTCACTGCTAGCGCCCTCACAATAAGACCCACCGTGCAGGGGTTCGGGGTTGCTGCAGCTCCTGTTCCGGAAACGATGACCTTTTTTTCTACACACCCTGGCCTGACATGCACCCCATTCTGTCCAATCACTCCAACCTCCATTGACTACAAGCATAAATAAAGACGACGGTGGAAGTTAAACGCAGGAATATTGTGTTTTTTTTAGCTGCAGCCCGACGGCCTAAGAGAACAACAGTGTCGTGGGCCTATACTAAAATGATATATTCACCAGACCGAGCTCGCCAGTCTCGTAGGCCGTCGGTCCACTGGGATGTCCCCAATTTTCGGATTACAGGAAGAGAAGGGGGCGATGAGGAGGGGGCGATGACAAACGGAAACAGAGGGAGTGAAGTGAGGGCAAACTGAAAATAGTAACACGATTGTTATTAACATCATTATCATCTTTATCATTATTGTTGTAACGATTATTATTACAGAAGGAAACACTTCTTCATTACCCTTATAGAATGATACTGTAGAGAATCAGAAAACGACTGGATAATAATAATAATACTTAAATCATCGATGATGTCTCTAAGCGCTTTACAGATATATTATAACCCGGTCATCGGATTCAGGCTTACCCGCACTCACACATAAATGGAAAAGAAACCGATATACTTTAATGTTATTGTAATATATTACCGTTGATCTCGCTCTAATCTTTCTTTCATGTACATATATATTTTCCTTCAACAGTAGGACACCTTGATTTATTTTGTATATTTATTAGATTAACTGCCGATTAATGCTTGTCGTTTAAAAAGTTGAAAGCCACACTCAATAAAGGTATATGATCAATACACACAAATAAAAACAAAATTATTCATACCCCTTGTAAATTTGATGTTACGTGTGTTTTTCGTTACTCAAGATTGATAGGTGGGCTGGTTGAACTAGGGAATTTGTTGAAAACTTAAATATGTAAGCTTCAATATGTCACAGTCATATAAACATAAATAGGAACAATACATTTTTCACATACTAAAAAAATTACAAAACTTGGTAAGGGTGTGAATAATTGTTGAGTTGTTATTTGTATATATATTATTAGTTTAAAACAATAGAAGATGAAATGAAAAATAGTACGCATTAATTTACAGAGGATATGCTATTATGCAAGCTACATAATCATGTCGTATATGATAGGGTTTAATCATGGAATTGGGCTACATTAATGTTTAAATTAATTATTTTAACACATTCAATGCAATTGTGAAAGCTATATGGCGTATAAAATGTGGCACTACGTGTGAACGTCGAATAGGCTCCATGAATGGTTGAAGAAATCAGAGTTCACTTTTCATTTGAAAAATGAAAGATCAAGCGCACGAGTTATGGAACTAAAGTGGCTCCGACATACTATTCTATTATGAACAAATCGCAGTTTAATCATAATGTATATTGGATGGACCCACTCTATTCGTCAAGTCAAAGAAAATACATATTACTACTCCAAGACCGATTCAGACATACAAACATGAATGTATCGAAAATAATATCGCTAGTGATATTCGTTTGTCTCGCAATGTGGTCAATAAGGGATCTAAAAGATCACGACGTTACGTGCGATGCTGCAACACTTCGTCAGGTGATAAAAATTAATGTAAGCAAACTTGTTTATACCAGTAAGAAACATTTGGTATATATTCACTGCAACTACCAATCGGTGCGGAATCACACACAAAAAAAAAAATCTTCAGGGAAAGAGGCAGAATTTTCAAAAACTACGTTATAGTCATAGGAAGAAATGGGGGTGGTAGGATCCCCTATAAAATTGTAAGACATTATTTCCCCCTACTAGCCGAGAAGAGGCGCGATAGCTCAGTCGGTAGAGCAGTGGTCTCGCGATCCGGTGACCCGGGTTCGAAACAAGTCGATGCGCTAGTGCCCTTTGGTAAGGCATTAATCCTTATTACCAGGTCCCTCGGGGAGGACCTAAAGCCGTCGGCCGTCTGTTTGCTTATTTACAAGCATTTATGCTTTCTTAGCAGTCAGGTAAAATAACCACCACAACAGGACTACTGCATGCCTTGATACAAATTTGTAACAGGGACGAAAATGTTCCTTGAGGATCCACTTTTCTTCCAACAACAACAACAACAAATGAATCATAGACAAAGAATACTTACTGCACGGCCTGATACATATGCTAGAAGTTACCATGGGTGTCCTGCCATGATATTGGACCACACCGTTCCGAACGGATCCGAACCCATCCCCGGGCTTGGGAAGCAGCAGCCTGGCGCAGCCGCTGTCCTCATCGGTGAAGACGAAATCCTGAATGATGACAATGGGTGATGACGATTAAAATTGGAAGAAAACCCAGTAAAAATAAAGCAAAAATCACAATTTTAGGATAATTCTTCAAATAATGGCTCATCAGTGGTACCGCGGTGGTAGCTTGTTCGAAAGGACCCGTGGTTTCGATCTTGATGCTCTAAAAACTCCTGAGTATACCTCTTCTTCCAAAGCTCGATACTTAGTGAGGGGGATAGAACCATTGCTCATGCAGGGCTTTCACTGTATATGCTATCCCCCGAGAGAGATTCATAAAAGCAGATCGAATGAAGTGTTCCAAAATAATCTTAAAACGTATTTGTTTGATGATCGGCCTATAATTACTTATTGTTTTTCATAATCGTACTCCAGTTGAGCTATTATTTTCATGCTTTAAAGTGATTTGTTTAATATTTTTGCACAAGTGCACTTTCTGAATTTAATCTCAAGTGGATTTGACACCATACAAATATCATCATCTTTATAATGTATTTTATGTCCTGCATCAAAAATGTATTGGCTTTTGATTGGTTAAGAGCTCGTCACATGACCAAACTATTTCAACTATTTTAAGGTTGCTCTGAAAAAGTACTATTTGGGAGTTGCCTTTTTTTTGTGTGTGTGATTTGATTTGTTTTTCTTCAAATCTTAATTTGATAATTTGTTTTTATTTTGTAATTCTTTTTTTATAATAAAAACTGTTATTTTTAAAATTTAAAATTTTCTAAATTTCAATTTAAAAAGATTTTTTTTAAATTGTATTGTTTTTTTTAAATAATTTTTTGATACAGGATATAAAAAATATATACCATGCCTTCTTTTCGAGATACTGGTTAAAACTATGGGCCTCGGTGACTCCAAAAGCAACTGATAGTACTATTGAAATCACCTCTTGCGCATAGTTTTAACCAGAAACTCTCAAGACAGTGTTTATTGGTAATAATATTATACAAATATACACTGCCTTGAGAGGTTCTGGTTAAAACTATGCGCAAGAGGTGACTCCAATAGTACTATTTGCTGAGGGGCGCAGCTCCAAAGCAAATGGTACTTTTGGAGTCACCGAGGCCGATAGTTTAACCAGAACCTCGAATAGAAGGCTTGGTATATGTTTTTTTACCTAAAAAGATTTAAAATATTTTGTTTTCATTAAATTTAAGATTTAAAAAAAAAAATTGATTCAATTCCAAAAAAAAATTCACATTTTTGTTTCAACTCCCAAATAGTAAACCAAAATAGTACTCTCATATAGTACTTTCTAAAAATAGGTCAAATATTTCTGGTCATGTGACGAGCTCATAACCAATCAAAAGCCAACAAATTTTTGATGCAGGATATAATACTAATTATACTCACGTTGCTGTCACCGGTATTGCGCAGACGATTGAATCTGACATTGAGAATACCTTCTTGGTAATGCATTTCTTGGAAAGTCAGTCCATCACTGTTGCTATCCTCCACGACGGCTCCTGTGTATCTACCGTTGAGCTGGTAGTCCTTAACCTGTATCATACCATTATAACCGTTTATCCATACAAGGATAGCATCAGAACCAATCTGGTAGGGAGTGGGCAATAATGATAATAAAAAAACATGTTAAAGCGGTACTGAACTGATTAACTTTTTGCCCTAACGTATAGTATTGCTCATTGCACAGCAACATCTGATGGTCAACTTACCAATGGCGCACAACCCAATACCTAATTCCACTTCACAGACAGAAGACTATTTTGCCGAAATGCTTCCAGTACAGTATTACTTTAACCAGAGCAAATTATAATAAAACATTATATATTACCCAGGGAAGCATCAGCAGCATTATTGCTGTACTGCCTGAGGGTACTGCATTTATTATTACCCCAGTCAGGCACCTCTTTCCGGATTTGTAATATAATTCCACCCATCTATAGGTTCTCAAAATATCATTATTATTTATTTGTTGAAACGACTTAACACATGAATGAATGGGGGCAGTGGCGAATCCAGGGGGAAAAACGTGTAAAAACACGTTAATTTTACCTTTTTTTTGTTGAGATGCCCCCCCCCCTGGCGCTCAAGGGGGGGGGGGGAGGTGCAAGTTTTCAAATTTTCGAGGGCCAAACTAAATAAATTAGTGCTCACTACCCCCCCCCCCCCCCCCCTCCCCCTCTCCCCCCCCCCCAACTGGGCGAATTATTGGCCGGCACGATCTTCAAATTTCAGCACACTAAATTTCAAATTGATTTCAAATTTGGGCCACCCCCCCCCCCCCTAAGGAATCCTGGATCCGCGCCTGAATGGGGGCCTGGGTTACTTGTGTAATTATCAAATACATCCAGAACTACGCACTCTTATACTAACCATAGCTCCGTTTCTAGAGAAACCGATTCCTGTCCACTCGTCCATTCCTATTGGTGTATTGATTGTGACGTCATAGCTGTCAGTATCTGGTACGTAATCAATGGTGACCCGCATGTCACAGCGAGGTCCATTGCAGATAACTGTCCCGTCAGGGACGCACCTATCCGAAATCACACTTGGATCGTCTGTAAAAGGTACTATGTTCCATTTGCAGGCCAAAACAAATGAAAGGTTAAATTTCAATGGCACTTGAAAGATAATACTAATTTAGAACTTCCCTAACAAAAGGGGGGCTTGAAAATGTCTTTAAGTGGGAAAATAACGACTACATATGGCTCCGAATAGTCTCATTGGACAATGCCCCCTATCGTCAGAGTCCAGCAGCCTAACATGTTAGCCTATGGACTTTTACCACAAAAACAAAATCGTTAAAAATTCATTTTTTGTTTAAACGAAAAGCACATCCACCCCAACGTACGTTGACACCAGCTCTTTCATTGGAACCCTCATGTCCCATTGACTTTTGAAAGTTTACCCACCGTAATTTGGTCAAAATAGGTCGCCAGCTCGCCATTGCCTGTATAACACATGCGCAACAAGTCGAACTTTGGACGCAATTTGACGCTCGATTGTAAGGTTATAAGTCAAGCACACGAAGGATAACAAGCATGAAGTATCATAGATCAGTTCTGACTGGTTCATTATGTCCATTTCAGCCAACCCCCCCCCCCCCCTCCACCGCAATTTTTCCATTTAGTATAGGCAAGCATTTTGCCGAGGTAAGCAAAAACATGAATATTCATGAACGCCATGGACTATTCGATTATTTACAGAGGGGTGCAGTTGTGCACCACATTAAACTCCCCTACTTTAAGTCAAGTATTTCATTGTATTATGTAGTTTGGTACGTTTATTTTACTAACTGTTTAATTATCAGATAATGATAGTTTAAAGATATGGAAAAGTTTCTTGTATTTTATATTGAGCAAAGCAATCTCACATACAAAATCACTATCAAGTGTCGTCTGATCCGCCGATTGCCGTCTGCTATATACGTTCAAGTCACATTTATCTGTGGACTGTGATGTAGACAATTTACTCGTCATTGTAGATTTATGATTAGCCATCTGTCATTATTAGTCTTTAATTGTTGACACACATACAATTACCACACACACACACACGAACACTCACTTCCCCTCCCCAACACACCATTTCCGCACACAGTAAGTTGTCTTGTCGACTTAAAAGCAATAGAGCCAGTAAGTAATAGTCTGATTTTTGTCAGACCATTGTACCGAATGGTTGTACGTTTTACGCTGCGCAAAGAGTCAATCAGTTTGATTTAAGCCATTACAAGAAGTGGGTTATTGATGTCGACAAATGCTCATTTCCCTTTACAGCTCATTTCATGTATGTTATTACCAAAGAAGAAAAAAGCCAGTCAGTCACTCAATAGTGTCTGACAGTGAAGTTTAGCAAGTAAACAGGTTTTCCTTGCATAATTTGAATATTAGGACACTGTTAACGTTCAAATGTCACAGATAGGACATAGGCCTACATGACATATTCATAATTCCTGCAAATTTCTACATAATTTGATGTTGGCTGCAAAAGGGACATAGTATCTTTAAGTGATTAAAGTGATTTGAATTGTATTTATCAAATATGCAGTCATCACTGATTTATTTCATCAAGACAAAAAAGAGAAAATAAAGATGTATACATTTCAACAACAAATTATTTAGAATTACGAGTATAATTCATTCGTTGATCTCACTCAATTCAGATTAATTTTCTGTCATACATTTTGCTAGGCTGAATATGACACCACTGTTATCAGATTTCATTATCAATACGAAATTTTCATCTGCATTGAGAAAAGCAAAATTTTGGTGAGATATTAATAATGTATTAAAGATTTGTCCTCTTTGTTTATCGTAGTTTTAGGTGAAACATCAGTGTATTTCGTCATCGATATTTCCTATCGACAGATAATCCATATTTTAAGATGATTGTAGCACCGATTTCTGTGATACAAATTTGTGAGGGATGCATAAAACAACGCAGAAAAGACCACCCCCCCCCCCCCAAAAAAAAAGGCAAACTGAAAAGGGTAACAAAACGAGGAAGAAATGAACAAAGGGAAATGATAACGGGAGAAAGAAGTCTAATCGTACTTGAGTTTCCTCGGTGAGACACGAACTTTCCATATTGGGAGCTTCGGATTCCCCATTAATGGTCATGATTAATCATGAAGACAAAGCAGAAAACAACGACAGCGAGACCACACAAAGGAGAAAACAGAATCCTCTATAACTAAGTGATTGTGACAATTTTTTATATTTCTATAATTTACAGACGATCATGACGTAATGTGAAAACAAGGTGGTAGGCCAAACAGAACGAACAAAGAAAGAGAGACCTGGAAAAGCAAATACACACAAAAGAACAGGGGCAAAACATAATAGACAAAAAATGAGATCAAAACTGCTAAAAAAGACAAAAGAATCAAGATGATTTTTTGTTAACACGATGTGTACTTTTTCCGTTTGGTATAAAATTCGTCTAGTGTAGGAAATGCAAGACTACCGTGCTTCCTTTATACGTAAGATGACAGGAGGAAATATTCAGCAGAACGTTGAATATGTCGGGGGAAAAGGTAGTTCCTGCTACAGAAGGAAACACTTCACTATTCATTACTGTAGAGAATCAGAAAACGACTTGATAATTGGAAAAAGAAACTTATATACTTTGATATTATTGTAATATATTACTGTTGATCTCGCCCTAATCTTTTTTTCATGTACACATATTTTTTCCTTCAACGAGAACACCTTTATTTATCTTTTATATTTCACAGATTTACGGCTGATTAATGATTGCCGCGATAGGGGAAGTCCACCTTAATGTTTAGTTGGTTTAAATAAAAGAAAAATGAGAGAAACAGAAAGAAAACGTTTTAGCAAAATCAGAAGAAATAAATAAGAAAGCAATGCTAAACCTACACACATTTATAGCATCCTTTTTATTCCTCAAATTGGATCTGTTTTCGCATTGTTTCTGCTAATAGTGACTGAAATCAACTTCAGATTAGGATGGACCCCCTTGCAATGGCGTAGCTACGCATGCGGTAGGGGGCAATGGGCACGTGCCCTCAATGAAATATTGCAACAACAACCACATTAAAAAAAAGAGGAGAGAAGAATAGAAAAAAATAGATAGTCATGGAAATGGGAAGGCAATGAGAAACACTTCTACACTTCCCCTCTCACTATGTTCTATCCATCTAATTATCTGGTTACGCTATGACATGAAGCACCAAAAAAGCCCCTTGATAGTGGGACCGTCGCCATTGCTTCAAGTTTCAAGTTTATTTGTTTCACATTTCACAAAAAAAGAATTCACATAAGTGAAAAAATTAGAACATAATATGAATATACTAAAAGTGTCACATTATATAATTTATTCTTTGAAAAGATGTCGAAATTAATTGTATTGAATAGTAGGTTGTACAGGGTGAAATGTGAGGAAACTATTGAAAAGCTCAGCTTGTAGATTATAGGTTCACATAAATAAAACTAACATTTGAAGGAAGTGGTTGCAATGGTGAAGGACGTAACAGTAATAATAGGTGGGCAAGAGTTTCCTGTTCTCAGTATTACCACTACCGTGAAATTGCATGGGAACAAGCTTTGTAGGTATAACTAACCCTCCGTTCAGACTACAACCATACATCGTATATCAATACTACTTTCGTATAGCCATTATTGATTAAAATGTTCCTAGTCTGAACGTCGTATACAGGAACGTATATAGTGAGACGCTAGTTTGAGTAGGCGTTTGGAACAGAAACTCGATACAGAATCAGGGTCTCGCCTGAACGTCGTATCGTACAAAAAGCGTGCCGTAACTGGGCGGGGCTTATCGTGAGCGCGCAGTCATCATTGGCTAGCTGTCATGACAATTTACGTCTACACAATAGTGTTTCTATACGACATTTATTCATACGATGTTTTTTTTTTTTAGTCTGTACACTCCTTTCGCCATACAGTGATTCTCTATACATGTACAACTTTTCTTTATACGAGTTTCGTATATATTTCCTGTAGTCTGAAAAGTCTATTATTTCAAATGGCAGTCTTATAATAATAATAATAATACTACTACTACTAATAATAATAATAACAACGGTACTTATAAAGCGCTTTCCACTGAAGTCTCCCCATGTACTTCATGATTCATGAGGGAAAAATGAAAAGAAGGATGAGAGGAGAGATGAGTGCAAGGGAGATTCAGGGGGGCTAATATTGAAGATATTATCTTGCTTTAATTTACCTGATGCAAGAATTTGATTTAAAGGACAATCCAACCTTTGTAATACGTATATGAAAGCAGACAAATAAGTGTCAGGTAAAGATTTCAGAGGTAAAAATGCCAGGGGTAAAAATACCAGAGGTAAAAAAGCCAAAGATAAAAATGTCAGAGATTGAAGGAAAAAAAAGGCCAGAGATAACTGCATGTCTGATGTAAAACATGACATTGTCAGAGGTAAACAAAATGACAGAGGTAAAAAATTCAGAGGTAAAAATATCAAAGCTAATAATGTCAGATGTAAAAATGCCAGAAATATGGCATATATGATAAAGAGTTAAAATGTTTTTCTAATTATATCACTGGAAGAAAACAGCTATAAAGGAATTACTAGTTGGAGTACCACAGGGTAGTGTTCTTGCTCCTGTCCTCTTATTATCATTTATCAATGATATATCTAAAGGTATAAATAATGTAGTATGCTCTATCTATGCTGACGATGTAGTTATCTATGTTACTGGTAAAAATATTCATAATATTACTATTAATTTACCAAATTCAGTGAATGTTTTAAATAGTTGTTATAATAGGAACCGTCTTAAGATAAATATAAGTAAAACCCAAACAATGCTTATTACGACTAAGTCATCAGCAGGCGCGCCGGAAGCAGTTTGGGATTGAAGGGCAAACATTCCAGGGGGCTCACCTTCCAGGGACAGTGACGTAATGACATAAAACGTTTGGAAGGGGGGGGGGGGGTCAGAAGAACAATCTGCATCACCACCACTCTTACACGTTACATGCAAGCCCCACGGAACGTTTTTCAAAGTGGAGTATTAACGATCAGGTAGAGCGTAAATTGGCGTGGGGTCCAGGGCCTGAGCCTCAGCAGGGGGTCAAGGGCTGAGCCCCCAGAAGCTCAGGGATTAAATTACGGTCAGATAAGCATATTTAGATACCTTATTTGTGACACTGGCATGTCACTAATTGGCGAAGGGTCCAGGGAGCAGAGCCCCCGGAAGCTCAGGGGTTTTAGGTATTTTATTACGGTTAGATGAGCATCCAGGTGCCCTCTTTAAGGCCATTGATATCGTCCAGGGGGCAGGCGCGGATCCAGGGGGGGGGCCGAGCGGGCCTTGGCCCCCCCCCCCCCGCAAAAAAAAAAAAAAAAAAAGAGAGAGAAGAAAGGAAAAGAAGGGAAAGGGAAAGAGGAGAGAAAGGGAAAGAAAGAAGAAGAAGAAGAAAAGAAAAGGGGGAAGAAGGAAATCGGGGGGGGGGGGCCGAAAGGGCCTTGCCTCCCAGGCTGTTGACCCCCCCCCCCCCCCCAATTAAAACAATAGGAGAGAAGGAAGGAAAGGGAAAGAATAAAGGAAAAGAGGAGATACTGGCGTACTAATAGGGGGGGGGGGGCTTCGGAGAAATCAAATTCAAACGTGGTTTATTTCTAATTCCATAACGGTGGATTACAAATAATGCTGAAATGACATAATTTCCCAGATTTGTCCTCATTTTTTTAGTAAATTATACGTTTGTATATGTGTTTTGTTGGAAAATGACAAATTCCTAAATTTACAGCCAGGCACGAAATATGATTCTTGAGATTCCTACATGTCAGGGCCCGAGGTACGGCAGGGATCGGGAGCCTCAAGCTCCCCCCCCCCCCCCCCCCCACTTTATTTAAAAAAGTATATTAAAGAGAAACAAATAGAATGAGAGCAAGAAAGAAAGAAAAGTTAACTGCCAGTGTTAAAAAATGAGGCATCAAAATATGCTCATCTGACCGTGATTAAATGCCTAAAACCCCTAAGCTTCCGGGGGCTCTGCCCCCTGGATTCCACCTAGGATGCTACGGCGGGCCCTTAGATGCTCATCTGACGGTAATTTATTGGCTAAAACCCCTCTTTTGGGGGGGATCCGCCCCCCAAATAGTGACCTGCCAGTGTCACAAAATAATAGGTATTAAAAAAAAAAATGATCATCTGACCTTAATTAAACGCCTAAACCCCTGAGCTTCCCCCCAAATCGGAAAAGGACGTAGGAAGTAAAAGGAGCAGACAAAGAACATCTTTGAAATTCAGACAAGGATTAAGAGTATAGAAAACGGTACAACGCATCGTCTTCTTTCTCTAATAATTAAATGAAACGTCAAAGCTTCGCGCAGGAGGGGAGGGGGGCTGAATTCAGACAAGGATTAAGAATCGAGAACGGTACAACGAATCGTCTTCTTTCTCTAATGATTTAATGAAACGTAAAAGCTTCCGCGCTTCGCGCGGGAGGGGAAACCTGAATTCAGACAAGGATTAAGAGTCGAGAACGCTACAACGAATCGTCTTCTTTCTCTCATAATGTTATGAAACTAAAAACCTTCCTCGCTTCGCGCGGGAGGGGGGGGGGGGGACTGAATTTAGACGAGGATTAAGAGTCGAGAACGGTACAACGAATCGTCTTCTTTCTGTAATGATTTAATGAAAAGCTTCCGCGCTTCGCGTGGGAGGGGAAACCTGAATTCAGACAAGGATTAAGAGTCGAGAACGCTACAACGAATCGTATTCTTTCTTTAAAAGTTTAATGAAACGTCAAAGCTTCCGCGCTTCGCGCAGGAGGGGGAGGGGGGACTGAATTTAGACGAGGATTAGGAGTCGAGAACGGTACAACGAATCGTCTTCTTTCTCCAATGATTTAATGAAACGTAAAAGCTTCCGCGCTTCGCGCGGGAGGGGGAAACCTGAATTCAGACAAGGATTAAGAGTCGAGAACGGTACAACGAATCGTCTTCTTTCTGTAATGATTTAATGAAAAGCTTCCGCGCTTAGCGCTGGAGGGGGGGGGGGGGGACCTGAATTCAGACGAGGATTAAGAGTCGAGAACTCTACAACGAATCGTATTCTTTCTTTAATAGTTTAATGAAACGTCAAAGCTTCCGCGCTTCGCGCAGGAGGGGGAGGGGGGGGGGGACTGAATTTAGACGAGGATTAAGAGTCAAGAACGGTACAACGAGTCGTCTTCTTTCTCTAATGATTTAATGAAACGTAAAAGCTTCCGCGCTTCGATCGGGAAGGGGGAACCTGAATTCAGACGAGGATTAAGAGTCGAGAACTCTACAACAAATCGTCTTCTTTCTCTAATAATTAATAAAACGTAAAATTTTCCGCGCTTCGCGCGGGAGGGGAAAACTAAATTCAGACGAGGATTAAGAGTCGAGAACGGTACAACGAATCGTCTTCTTTCTTCTTTAATAGTTTAATGAAACGTCAAAGCTTCCGAGCTTCGCGCAGGAGGGGGAGGGGGGGGGGACTGAATTTAGACAAGGATTAAGAGTCGAGAACTCTACAACGAATTGTCTTCTTTCTCTAATAATTTAACAAATCGTAAAATTTTTCGCGCTTCGCGCAGGAGGGGCAAAACTAAATTCAGACGAGGATTAAGAGTCGAGAACGGTACAACGAATCGTCTTCTTTCTTTAATAGTTTGATGAAACGTCAAAGCTTCCGCGCTTCGCGCAGGAAGGGGAGGGGGGGGGCTGAATTTAGACAAGGATTAAGAGTCGAGAACTCTCTAATGAATCGTCTTCTTTCTCTAATAATTTAATAAAAGGTAAAATTCGCGCGGAAGGGGAAAAACTAAATTCAGACGAGGATAAAGAGTCGAGAACGGTACAACGAATCGTCTTCTTTCTTTAATAGTTTAATGAAACGTCAAAGCTTCCGCGCTTCGCGCAGGAGGGGGAGGGGGGGGGGGGGACTGAATTTAGACAAGGATTAAGAGTCGAGAACTCTACAACGAATTGTCTTCTTTCTATAATAATTAAACAAATCGTAAAATTTTTCGCGCTTCGCGCGGGAGGGGCAAAACTAAATTCAGACGAAGATTTTGAGTCGAGAACGGTACTACGAATCGTCTTCTTTCTCTAATAATTTAATGAAACGTCAAAGCTTCCGCGTTTCGTGGAGGAGGGTGGGGAAAACTCGCCCCTCCCTGCACCGACCCCCCCCCCCCCGCATTACGTCGCTGTTGGTCACCATTACGTACCAATATTTGGCTCGTATAATTTCAAATTTGGGCCCCCCCCCCTAAGAAATCCTGGATCCGCGCCTGCCAGGGGGCAGAGCCCCCGGAAGCTCAGAGGTTTTAATATATATTTAACTCCGGTCTGATGAGCATCCAGGGGCCGCCTTAGGGCCCTTGTTGGGGTCCAGGGGCAGAGCCCCCAGAAGCTCAGGAGTTTTAGGTATTTAATTACGGTCAGATGAGCATCCAGGGGTCCGCATTAGGGCCCCTGGTGGGGTCCGGGGGCGGAGCCTCCGTAAGCGCTGGGGTTTTAGGCATTTAATTACGGTCAGATTAGCATATTTTGATAACTCATTTGTGACATTGGCAGGTCACTTATTTGTTCTCTCTCTCTCTCTTTCTTTCCCCCCCCCCCCCCCCCCCCAGCCCAGCCGTTTAGCAGACCATGACATAATGGCTTCTAAATAAGCATATTTTTCGCCCGAATGTAAAATTGGGAATTTCTAATTTTCCAACAAACGTATAAAAAGGTATGACTTACAATTTTTTCAAAGAAAAAATACCGGAAAATCAAGCAACTTTGTAAATCACTGGTATCGAATAACGACCACCTTTAAAAAAAAAAAATTGAATACATGTAGAGGCTAGACCTGGTGGGCTACATCTGGGCTCAAATAGATTGATGGCCCAACAAAAGTGGATTATTATAATGATAATTTGTAGGAAATATACCAGACTATATCTTATATGCCATGATCTAAATATTTCAATATTTTTTAAAATATATTTTTACTATCAAAATGTGTTAATAAACAGTTAAACATTTAATATAGTACTATGCCATTTTATATATAGGCCTACATGCGACAGGCGTATGGAAAATGGAAAGAGATGAAATGTTATATTTTTCCGACTCATTTTTGTATACATATTACAAAACATCCAACGTTGCCTGATATAATTGACAACATTGCCGAGTATGGTTTGGTTCATTATGTTTGGAAATTATTTATAAAGTCATGTTTCTATGTCATGAGTATTATCATCACTCACCTGTATCACATAATGAATTAGGTGCAAGTCTTGCGTTGGCTACCAACATTTCAAATATATTGGCATAGTAGTGAAAGTCCTCCCCGTCTGATCCACATAATGGTTCATTTATAAAGTCTGCAACAGGGTGGAAGTGAGAAAAAAAAATTAAATGAAAGCATCGCTTAAAGTAATATTATGCATGGTCAACATAGCATCACGACAAAAAGTGTTTAATCGGAGAATGTGTGCTTTAACCCTGGCTCGGAGGCTGGTTATGATTGGGATATTACCATCAACACATTATGTCGGCCGGGGGCGGGGGGGGGGGGGGGATAATTTTGCTTCTAAATTTAGTTGTGCTGAATCAGCCTTCTACCATCTGGAGGCCCTAACATGCATAATGGTCAGGCGCGGATCCGAGCGGGCCCTGCCCCCCCCCCCCGAAAAAAAAAAGGAGAGAGAGAGAGAGAGAGAGAGAGAGGAAAAGAAGGGAAAGGGAAAGAGGAGAGAAAGGGGAAAAAAGAAGAGGAAGAAGAAAAGAAAAGAGAGATGAAGTGAATCGGGGGGGGGCAAAAGGTCTTGCCTCCCAGGCTGTTGCCTACCCCACCCCCCCCCCACCCCCCTCCAATCAACCAATAAAAGAGAAGGAAGGAAAGGAAAATTTTAAAAAAGGAAAAGAGGAGATAAAGGGAAGAAAAAAGAGGAAGAAGAAAAGAAAAGAAGGGGGATATCAGTTGCAATTTTCCCGCCAACAAGTTGTGGATCGGGGGGGGGGGGGGGCAAAAGGCCCTTGCCTACCCCCCCCCCCCCCCCCGTCCCCGCTAAAAAAAAAAGAGAGAAGGGAAGGGAAAGGGAAAGAGGAGAGAAAGGGAAAGAAAAAGAAAGAGAATGAAGAAAGGTAAGGGATATCAGTTGCAATTTCCCTGCCAACAAGATGTAGATCGGGGGGGGGGGGGGGGGCACTGGCGTACTGATAGGGGAGGGGGGGGGGGGGGGGGGCTTTGGGGAAATAAAATTCAAAAGTGGTTTATTGCATTCATTCATCTACGTTCACCTCATAATCTTATATCCCTCCATTTTACAGTACATAAGCATTTAGATATATATCAAAGTACTTTAACAGGATACATGTCATGATACTATACGGAGGCGAATATTATTTTTATTTCGATATTCTGAAACCAATATGTATATTAAAAACATTAAGGAATAATGGTAATGCACTCATAAATGCATTCCGTGTATGTAAGTAAATAATCATTATGCATATAGAGTAGGTAAATATATAAAGTCTAAACAAACTTTGGACAATATAAGCTAGTAGGCCTACTTACCCGTAGAGGCCATTATCTCTTGAGAAGTAACTTTCACCCAAAACTCGTTGTACTCTAGAAGAAAGGTCGCCCTGAGGGAAAGACATAACATGCAAAAGGCAGGTCAACCTTTATTTAAAATCTACTAAAATCGAAAAATATTTAAATCTCAATCCGTACCCAACGAGATGAAAATTCATTTTAGTTATTTACGAATAGGTTAGTTATGTCCCTACATTTGTCTTTTCATCTGTCGTAATGTAGTTAACTCGATTTCTTTGATCTTATTTTTGTTTTGGGGTAACATAGATGAAAGTGAGTTGGCCTATACTACATTCATTTCATATTATGTGACATCACAAAGTGATTTCGTCCAAATCTATATACAAAATAAGTGGAGCAGCTGCACCCACTCCCCTTGATCGGAGGCCTAGAGAAAAAGAAAAATACCAAGATCAAATTGTCCATGATCTTCAAAAATTAACTTGTTTTGCTCGTTATATATTTTGACTTAATACTTTCGCCACTCGAATAAACTTGATTTCACAAATACCTGCCCATTATGAAAATACTTCTTTATCCCCGTCGCTACTGAAAACAACACTAAGAAACCCAGCCTGTCCTCCCCCTCTCTTCCCCCACAACTTCCCTTTCATGATTCCCGATCAGAATGCGTCATAAGCAAATAAAACAAAAACGATATTGTAAGATAAAAGACTTGAATAAATATATAGTTAAATGAATGAGTAAATAAATGGATCAATCAATCGTCAAATTAAAGAAAATAAACAATATTTTGAAAAATAATGAAATGAATGAATGATTTGATTAATATGCGAATAACTGAATATATAAATATATAGCTATATAGATATAGGCTATGTATAAATGAATATAAGATAAATGGATTTAAAAAAACCCATATTAATAGTAAATGAATGAATAAATGAATACATAAGTAAATAGATAAATACTAATGAATAAACATAATGAGTGCAATTTGTGTGTCCAAAATTGAAGTCTCCAATTTTCTTTCCGCCTCTATAATATTAGTTTAATTTAATTCCGCAAGTAAAAAGTGGTGTATTGACTCTTTTTCTTGAAACAATAGAAATAAATACATTAATTAATTAATTAATAAATGAGTAAAGGAATAAGTAAATAAATAAATGAAGGTATGAATGAATGAATAAATGAAGGTATGAATGAATAAATAAATGAACCCACGTAAAAATAACGTTCCCGACATCACTACTAGGAGCGGTCCAGGTAAAGGATGTTCCCGCCTCTTTGTGGGCGTAGCTTGTATGGGTAACGCTGTCTCCAGGGTCGGTGCATTGTAGAAGTTTGGTGTTAGTCGGTGGGTCGCTGAACGTGCCGACCAGGGTGTCGTCCGCCAACCGAGCCTGCAGGAGAATACCTCTGAATGATCTGCCGGTGACGGACACTAAATTAGGGAAAACAGAGTCCGGTCAATAATTATATAGCCAAATAGATAAATAGAACAGATACGTGAACGTAATTCATATGATAATAATTATGATAATAATCATTATTTTGTGTACCCATCAGGAGAAGCCTCATCAGCATCAAAGCTGTTCTTGCAGATGGTACGACAATTATGTTTACCCCCATGTTTCCATAAAACTCTCGACAGGTGAACAAAAACGTCTTCATTTCGTTCTGATCTCCGACAAGACAACAACAACAATAATACATTTGCCGAAAAAGCCAACATTCTGAGGGGGGGGGGGTGGGTAGCATACCGTGCTAGAACAGCACCACTTGAGCAATGCCCATATACTTATATAATCATTTGTTTGTATCGCCCAACCACTTAGTACATAAACATTATATTTAGCGTTTGAAAAGTGTCCAAGTTTTTAGGGTAAAAGGGAAATTCATGTGTGAAATCCATACCGTTGTAGGGATTTCCTACGGTGATTGCATTGTCGACATAATTGGTAGCTGTCTAGAGGCACATTTTTGGCTGTGCCTCTGAAGTTGAATATTGAATTTGTCATCGATTTCAATTGACAATTTTTTTTTTTACTTCTGTTTTTGTAATCGATGATGCTATAACACTCGCACCATTGCATATGAATGTACTTGGCATTGTTTTACAATTATATAAAGGAACACTGTGCTATATATTTCTACTAAATAATCGATATTTCATCGAAATTTCTCAATCGCTTAACGCATACCTGTGAGCACTTCAGATGGAGTGTACATGTTCTTGCTGACGCTGAGAGAATAGGGACTTGGCCCAGTTTGAGGCGGGATGATCACACTTGCGCTATACCGATGACCCGGTGTCAAGTTCACACAAGCATTGATGGGGGCGCCCGATGGATAAGCCATGACGAGAGGAAGGACAGCCAGGAATGCGAGAGACCAAAAGTATGACATCTTGGACTTGATACGTTACCGAAAAAGAACAAAAAACAATAAATTTATGCAATGTTGTGAAGACATTTTCACCAAAATTACATTTTTATAATACAGTTCCATCAGAATTAAAGCTGAAAATGTATTTTTAAAAAACATGAAAGTCTACAATGAAATATTATCATTAAAGGGATAGTAGAGGGTTAATCCCCCCCCTTGGTATTTTTTAATTTTTTTTTAATTAAAAAAAAAAATTATACCAATGGCTGACCTAAAAAAGTTGACCTTACCCCTCCCCCCCCCCCCCCCCCAACGGAGCAAAATGTCAAATGTTCAAATTTCGAGACCAAAAAAATAAAAGTGTCCTCTTTTCATTTAAATTGTATGTTCTTTTAAATTTGACTATCAGTTTTTCATTATCTCACAAAAAAATATTTTGTGAAGCGCCCTCTGCAACAGAACTCAACTATCCCTTGAAGTATTAAAAGGGGAGGGGTGTTTCGGATTTAATCATTCCAATGAAGCTATGTTGATTCTTATATTTTTTCTTCTTCTATATGCTACATGATTTGTATAAATCTTTTTGTAATCACTATTGAAAAAAAAAAATTAAAAACGGATCTTCAATTTGCAAGTGCTGAGCTTGCAACAATTTTTTACGTCTTCAGTTTTCCCATCAAACGAGAAAATGATAAACATATAAAGACGAATGAAAAGATGAATACAATCTTGGATTTCAAGGAAATGCAGTCACACTACAAGTGATGGCTCTATAGGATTTGTTCAAAAGAAAAGCGAGGTCGTTTTGTATTTCCTTATTATTGTTACCCTTTCCACTACATGACGTTGTTTCGTGACCACGCATATATTATAAGGTCGAATTGACTTTGAATTACATTTTTCTGTTCATTTACAACATGATAAGTAGTTCCCGAGCATAAAAAATAACCGATGAATAAAAAATACTACAAAACAAATAATGATAACAATAATATAATGGTGATTTGAAAATAATGATAATGATAATTTTTCTTCATCTTCATCTTCATAATAATGATAACACTAATCATCATCATCATCATCATCAACATATATAATAGTTGGTTCTTTTATAGCGGACACTCTTGCATGGCGCTTTAGGAGTGATGATATTTATATGAATGCTAAAAAAAACCGGGATGTCTAAAAAAAAAATAGAACGAGTTTGGCAACATCTTAAACATCACTCAATCATCATTATGAAATTTCGCGTTATCCTGTCTCTTCTGCATGTTACGGTAAACCTTTGCATTGACGTAACTGTAACTCATAATTTCTTGGAGAAATGACCACTTAAACATTTTAGATTCACATTTCATTCGTAAAATGTTGTGACTATGTATGTAATATATATATATATATATATATATAATATATATATATATATATATATATAATGATATATCAAAAGAAAGCATCCCAATAACAAAATGACTTGTTTACTATCTTCAAATTCATTATCATCATCATCGATTACGGGATGTAGGTGTTGGCCGCAGGGGCGGATCCAGCCGGTGGTGAGGAAAGGGGCCCAATTCGTGAGGAAACTAATCAACGACGACTCAGCCGACCGGCCAAATAATCGGGGGGGGGGGGGGGGGAGGCAGTGAGTGAGCACTAATATATATATATATATTTTTTTTTGGGGGGGGGGGCTGTAATTTGTTCTTCTCTTTTGTAAAGGTAAAATTAACGTTACCATTTTTTTTCAACCTAATTTTTTTTGGCCAGAGGAGGGGGACGCCCCCCTCCCCCTGGTTGGTCGGTAAATCCACGGTCACTATTCGTCTGGCATCGTCACTTGAGAAAGATATTTGTGCGCTTACGGGAGGAGTCAGGGAAGTCAAAATGCTTATTCAACCTGGCTTTGTCTATCAGCCATTTGAAATGTTCGGTTGTTTTTCTTTGCATTATATCTTTAGACAGGTTGTTCCAATCCTGGATGGTGTGTGTACTGAAGAATTCATTTCTTATGTCAAGTATAACGAATGTAAGTATGTTTTGTTGACAAAACATCAACAAATCGTCTTTTTTGTATTATATTATTGTCCTCTTACGGACCAAATATGAAGGGATTTAACCATGGCCACAACATTTCCGAAACGACAAACAAATTTAGAAAAACCTTTAAAGGGAAAAATTTGATGTCCACTTTGCCCTACATCGGGGGAGAACAAATATGAAGCAGAGAGACAAACTACGAACCCTATTACAGTTAGGTAATAGACGACTCCAACAGGGAAATGGTGTTCACTTCCTTTTTTAATGCGGATTCTAAAGTAAAATTTAATTTAAAAAACGATTCCACCACCTGATGTTTGATAATCTGTGCCCGAAGAGCCAAAATGTTATGCTTTATGGGCCCATCAGTGTTTTTAAATATATCTGAAGAATTATTTTGGCTAAAAAGTGTTCGTTGGTGTAGAAAACCTACTATGAACAATACAGTGACATAGTAAGACCCACCGAAGACCTCATGAGCCCTGAAGTTGCTCCAAAAGGTCTCGAAGAACTGCGTTAAAACTATTTGGGGGTTAATAGGATAACAGTTTATCTCTTTTTCTGTATCAAAATACAATGACACATTTTCGGTTTGTAAAGCTTTGATAGCCAAATATTTCTCAAATGTAACATAAATGATTCAAGAGCATTAAATTAAAGTTATGATATATATTTTCTGTCGACATACTTGTGTAATTGTGTAATACTATAGAGGTATTTGATGAACTATTTTAAAGTGCAAAAAGAGACTGGGAAATCTCCCTGCCTGCTTTCATATTTCTACAGATTAATTCCTATTTATAAGAAAAAAACAGGTAATATCATATGCAATAATTATTAATGTTATTTTAATAAATTTAATTTAATGAATGTAATTTTATGTTTTCAAGCCGGGTTTTACATCACGTATTCATGAAGATGATACATAACAATATTTAATAATTGTATTTTATCGAATTATTTTGTATATATACTTCATGTAAATGTTACAGTTTAATCATTTAATTTCAATTTTTTAATGATCGATAATAATTTTTCTCTTAATACATTATCAAAATGTCCTGCTCCGACTCTCAAACTGTATACCTGATCTTACACCCTTTGAATTTCTATTTATTTCATATCCAAGTATGCAAACCGAACTCAATATTATTATTGTTTTCATTATCTATGATTTATTTACTATGTACTGTTTATATCTGGATTCATTTAAAAGTGTTTAAGCATATAATTATATTTTTTATGTCTATGGAATTATTTTTACCTTGTAAATTCACTTGTATCAGCCTCCAGCTGTATTGTTGAATATTCGAATAAAACCTTATCAAATCAAAACACTAATAACATTAATTCGAATATTAACGTCACGAAATTTCTTGAATAGACATGCACGTAAAACGAACACGATAAACATTACAAAAAGTAATTATGACAGGGTATACATAATAGCACGACGGTATAACTACAATATCACAACATCCGTAAATGTGGTTATAATTATAAAGTAATTTGTGAGCGAATTTGTAATTTAATACCTAACACACAGATAATTTGTTTTTCTTTTGTTTCTTTTTTGTTGATCACCACAAATCTAAAGGCAAACAACAAAGAACAAACAAACAAACAAATGAGGAAACGAACAAAAAAGAACTAGTTCATAAATGTGAGTCCAAAATTAATCTGATTGACAATATTTCCACGTACTATCGATTTTACTCACCGATTGTTAGCTTCTTTGTGGATTATATAGGAAAGAAGAAGAACAGCGTTTGTAACTGGAGATCGCACTGGGTCCACCAAATAAATGAGCTAACCAGGAACAAACAGCTGTATAACTGGAAATTAGGTGACACAAAGTTCCGCGGGCTTGTGAGTCATTAGCAACATACTACAGGGGGCGTCAGGGTGTCCAAAATACCTCCCCCTAGAAAAGATGATTAAGTCTACTTTATTGGCTTGTCAGGTCGAGAGTTTTATGGAGACATGTCATCTGGCTTTGGGAGGAGATGTGACATTGTTTTCTTTTGAGTTTACTTGTTAAATAATTTTGAGATAAGCATGTCCGCCTCCAAATAATCGATCTGGCGCTGCCACTGCCCGTTATGGGTTGATGGATCAACGCTTGTACTTGGAGTTCGCTTGTCGAACAAATCGTAGGCCAACATATTGCATGACGAAGGGGAGTGGGGTGGGGTCCATGGATTTTTCCAATTATACATTTTTTCCCCATTAAATTGTATAATTAATATAGAAGGATTATGAAATCGTATACATAGCTAATTTGCACCATACCTCACATTTATGTAAACATGCTTTTATTCGATCAGTTTGGCACCCACACTTTTCCGGTAATGTTTATTTTTCTTCCCCAAAAGCGGAATCTCATAGCTTTAAAAGTATTAAACACAGTATCGGCACATGACGGGGAGATAGAGAGAGGATCAGAGAGAGAGAGAGAGAGAGAGAGAGAAAATTGGAAAAATCGCACCCCCCCCCCCTTGAGCGCCAGTGGAGAGGGCCCATCTCCAAAAAAAAGGTTAACATTTTTACGGGCCCAAAAACAAAATTAGTGCTCACTACCACCACCACCACCCCCACCCCCCCCCCCCCCCCCCCCCCCCCCCCCCCCCCCCCCGACTGAGCGAATTATCGCGGCCGGCTATTTCGCCGCTAAATATTTTCTCACGAATTGGGCTCCCTCCCCTGTCGCCGGCTGGATCCGCCCCTGGGGCTAGCTGGAAGCCGCTCTTTCGATCTGCTACAAATATGAACGAGATGTAGAAACTCGGCGACAATCTCATATGTTAGTTCATGTTTATTTCAAAATTAGATCGAACGAAAATCTAGTGTAAATGGCTACTTGCATGGCATTTACCGATGGGGGTAATAACAGGGCTCGTAGGAAGAGCAGTATTAATAACTGATGTGGCTACTCTTGGCGAATAACAAGCGCGTAGCCAGGATTTCATTTTAGGGGAGGCGGTAGTGAGCACGCGAAGCGTGCGAATCACTTAAAGAGCGCGCGTAGCGCGCTCCCTGGGGGGGGGGGGGGGGGGGGTGGGTGCAGGGAGGGGGGAGTTTGAAGCTTTGAAAGAAGACGATTCTTGTACCTTTCTCGACTCATAATTCTTGTCTGAATTTAGTCCGCCCCTCCTGCGCATAGCGTGGAAGCTTTGACCTATTATTAGACAAAGAAGACGATTCGTTGTACCTTTCTCGACCCTTAATCCTTATCTGTATTCAGTCCCCCTCCCGCGCAAAGCGCGGAAGTTTTGACGTTTCATAGAAAGAAGACGATTCGATGTACCGTTCTTGACTCTTAATCCTTATCTGAATTCAGTTTCCTCGGAAGTTTTGATGTTTCATTAAGGAGGTGGGTGCAGGGAGGGAGGAGTTTTGAAAGAAGACGATTCTTGTACATTTCTCGACTCCTAATCCTTGTCTGAATTCAGTCCGCCGATCCTGCGCATAGCGTGGAAGCTTTGACGTATTATTAGACAAAGAAGACTATTCGTTGTTCCGTTATCTACTCTTAATCCTTAATTTGAACTCAATTTCCTCCTTTACGCGCGAATTGCGGAAGTTTGAAATTTCATTAAATTATTAGAGAAAGAAGACGATTCGTTGTACCGTTCTCGACTCCTTTTCCCTTTTTCTTCCTACGTCCTCTCACTTTTTTTTCTTCTCTTTCTCTCTCTTTTTTTTTTGGCCGGCGTTTTTTTTTTTTTGGGGGGGGGGGGGGGGCGACCGCCCCCACCGCCCCCCTGGCTACGCGTCTGGCGAATAAGACCCAATTGTGATTAACTTTCTATTTATACAAATTTGAGTTTCATGTTCGCACATTCAACAGGTGTCTATTTATGCTATTGGAATTGCATTTGGTTGATTTTGAAAAGTCTTTTCAGATTCAGAAATTCAGATTCAGATTAATTATATTGGTCCATTTGGAAATTCAGTTTGTCGGCATAACATAAAGCACATGAACAATATACAATAGAAAATAATACACACAAATAAATAATTAAATGCACAGTAGCAATTTACAATGACGTAGTCAGATGGAAACACGGATATCTTTTTGAAAATAAATGGATTTACAAAATAATGTACGATTGCGTAGAATACGGAAATATTTTATTGTTATTTTGTATTATTATTATTTTAATATTATCATTATCATTATCATCATCAATATTATTATAATTGTTATCATTATTATTATTGTTACTATTATTATTATTTATTATTATCATCATTATTATCAATATTTTTTATTATCATTTAATTTTGTCACGGTAATATAGCTGATTTCTTTTTTTCTTTTCTTTTTTTGTTCTTCATAAATTAGACGGTATATAAATAAAACTTGGAATAACATTTTTAATATTGTTTTAAGACACGATCATGATTATTTTGTTTCAACCACACAAAAATGTGCGGAAATAGACCGTGGCAAAATGGCAATATATTAGATTAGATTGAAGTGTTTTCACGAGGTTCAGTCACCGATTCCCTAGCTGACAAAAATAGAATCGAGCACAGTGTACCAACAGGTCCACAATGACATAATGACACACGGTGGTTGCAGATGAAATCATATAATAGAGTTTGACCATAGGATCACAGTCTCACAGTGTTTGCAGAAGTTATGGTTATGTGAACACGCTATGTAAAAATATCATGCTTATATCTTGTCGTGACACATTGGGATAGATTGTGGTTATAGAGACAATTACAGAGAGCAATGAAAGGCTCTGCATTTATATGAAATACTTTCACATTGTTCGGAACCACTAGCAATTAAAGAACTTTTTGGAGGACTGTGGTATAGGCTCTTGACTCTCATACGAGAGGTCCTGCATGGGTTCGATCCTCGTTTTTCGATGCTTACAATCCTAGGATAGGCCTATGAAGGTGTTTTCCCTACATAATTGTCCCACTCTGCCCAAGTGTGAAAGGGTACCTGGCAATGCTCGGGCCCGCATAAAGAACAGTGATAAGTGGCTACCATGAGTAAATATTAAAGACGTAATTCCCCTTTAGTTAATTTTAAACTTTGAATTGTTCTTATCAGTATGTCAGTATGATGAAAATATTATAACAAGCTCAATGGAGTCGCATGCACTTCCTTCCCCCCAAATTTTTGTAGCGCATAATCCATTAAGATATTGCTCATTACTCTTTACATAAATACATAATATAGGCCTGTAATGGCAAACCCACAATAATGAAGAAATAGTTAGATTTAAAAAAAAAATCAGTCAAGAAAGGAGTGTGTCTTTAAATTTGTAGCTTACAAGAAGCGAGACTTGTTGCGCAGACAAGGAGAACACCTACAACACTCAAAGAGACTTTAGTCCTCTCCATTATTACCATCGTGTCAGCCTAGCTTGTGAGGAATTAATTTATAAACTGATAAAGCAGCACCTTTTTAAAACTATTAAAACGCCTAACTTTAGCCAATGAATGAGCCTCTCCTCACTTCTGATTCTCTCTCCCTCTCTCTCTCTCTCTCTCTTTCTCTCTTTCTATGTCTCTCTCTCTCTCTCTTTCACCACACACACTCTCAATATACTTCCGTTGACGGAAGTAGACCCGAGATGGGTCAATATTTTCTTCCAAGAAATACCAACAAAACGTGTATGATCTAGCCACTTCATTACCAGTAGCGGAACCAGGAGTTGGCATGGGGGAGGGGTGAGGGATTGAGGATGGGCACGCTCATGCCCCTTGTCAAAATTCAATTCAATTCAATTCATAGTTTATTCAACACTCTTCATGAAAACATTTAAAACATACAAATACAGAATGGAATAATAAAAAAACAAGAAAGTGATAACAAATTACAATGGCAATTTATAAGAGCATTTGGGATAGGCAGAAAGGAGGGATTCCTTATAAAGCCTACCCCTAACAACACACATATAGGTAAAAAAAGAAAAGAAAAATAAACAAGAACAAAAGAACAGAACAAAAAAACTAAAAACATAATAAAACATATATACTATCATGTACGATCAGAGTAAAAAAAAGTGTCAAACTTGCCCATGCTATTAATACTGATTATTAAAATACATTACCTCGCCCCCCCCCCATCCGACCTAATGACACATATCAGAATCTTTTGTTGTTTTTGTTTATCAGAGATTTTCACACCTTATTTCAGTCTTGAAGATATCAATATCCTTTTTTCTTACAGAGATTGTGTCAGAGATTTGGGGAAACCACTCTTGTGCCCCTTCCTCGTTCGAATTAGAAAATCCTTGATGCCAATGCTGTGAAACATGAAGTTATTATCCTCTTTTAAATACATTTTGAAGCAATTAAAGCCCCTCTGCATTACTTTGACCACTGAATACTTTTCGGTAATTTGTCCGTGTTACTCCAAGATCTTATTCCCCCCCCCTTACATACACACATGCACTTGAAAATATGATCACATAAATAACGTTTTAAAAGAGTTGGACATTCATAGTTTTAAAAAAGTTGAATCTAATTAACTGCCGTTGCTATGTGCTTGTGTTTAAAGCATAGCCTGGGGGCGTCACCCCCCGGCCATGGGGCACTATAACCCCTGCCCCTTGGTCACTCACACCAGTACAACAAGACATTTTCAATTTTTACTTCCTCATGCAATAGTGTTTTAAAAAATTCCACTGCCAGATAAATGGAATTTCAAACTGACAATATCCATGAAAAAGGCTTCTGAGAACCTGGCATCTATAAAATAAAATTTCAAGGGGGAAATCCCCAAGTAGAAAATTCATTTGAAAATAAAGGGAACAACTAGTCTTCTGTTGAGAGCCAGACGGGCGTCTTTAGGCTATATAGCCCATATACCCTTATGTCGCGGTAAATCTCCTCGGTTTACCGCGGCTGCGGTGCATAGCCTACGGGTACTACACTTAATTGTCAAGTCTGTCACAGCTATAGAGCAACCTTGATCTGAGAGCAGCTTCGCAGTAGGATTACATATGGTTTAGTGAAAGTTCAGACTTGCGAGAAATCAACTCAATAAGTAAGGACGATTTCAATCCCGGATTTCAATAAAGAATATCCGGATTACATACTACACAGGATGTCACCTTTCAATGGCCTTAGGTTGATTTTGTGTAAGTCTTTACGATCGTGTACATTTTAGATAAAAATGAAAAAAGATTGACCTATTGAGTGATCGAACTTCTAAACGAAAATGAATTTGCCGTTCAGAATTTTCTGTCCAAAAGAAAAAAAAAGCAGATCAATTGTTATTTTACAAATATATGATCAAAGAAAATACCCCCCCCCTCCCCCTCTCTTAATCTTTGCCAGTTTGACAAACTTTTAATAAAACCGTCTTAGGGAGGAAAAAAAAAAGTATGAAGAAAAAAAAGATGAGGAAAAGTTTGGTCTCATAATAAAAGAACACAGAAATGTAAACAAAATAACGCAGTTCTGTACATAAATAAGAAACACTGTTTATTCTTTGCCGTGTGGTGGCGCCTTAAACAAAAATAGTCGAGTGATAATAAAGTAAAACAATACACCAGTTTACAGTTGTATCAGTGCGCATGCGCAGACAGAGGTCAGAGGTTATTGGCCCAAAAATTGGGGCCAATAACCTCTGACCTCTGGTATGTATGCGTAAATTAAGATTGCGCCCATGCAAATGATGATATGCGCGCACAACGCAGCGCGCAGGCAGTGATATCATCATAATTTGCATGGGCGCAATCTTAATTTACGCATAAATACATGACCTCTAGGTCATTGGCCTTGTTTAAAATGGCGCACACAACTGTAAACTGGTGTATTTTCCGCTTCTGATATATCTTTGTCAAGTCAAGAAGGTAACTTCTTGGTCAAGTTAAGTTCGCCACAGGACAAATTAAGCCTAATTCCTGGTATGTATATTATCATTCATGCTGTTTTTGAAATTGATATAAATAATACCCGGCTATCACGTGAGCATTCTGCATGATTTGTACGTAAAATTGTTACGAATCGCTGGCATGTTTTGAACGGACTTTCAAATCGCGGCCATTTGTTTCACTCAGCAGCAGCACTCCAGCAGTACCGGGTAATTTGTATGTGTATTGTACGTGCACTGCACTGCGTGTCATGAATGTCGGTCTGTAGCACAGAATTCAGAACTGAAAAAATATTTGGTGTGTAGACTTTAGACCTAAATCTACTCGTAGAAATTTAACTGCTATTCTTCTTCAGGGTTACTGCCCAACACCCTGTTGTGTGGTGCGAGGTTGTTAATTGCTCAGTAACGTGGTTCCAGTATTCAACATCATAAACGAAGATATCCTTCCTTGTAAACGCAGACAAAATGCGTCCTTAAAAATAAGAATCGTCTGCATTTTTACGTAAGAAAATAACCCTAGTTCACCGGCAGCTTTTATGGGTTGTCCGTCTTCCCGAGGATTTATCGCTCATAATGTGAAAGTCTCTGTACAAAGTCAATATTCTAAAATGCATCAAGAAAATCAGACGTTGTTCAGAAACCTATCCAAAATTTGACCCGTAACCGGCGTGGAGATAGACCCTACCCCACTAAAACTTACCCAAAATGAAGTAAATATTCATCAAATGTTTAAATAAAGATCATGAGTTAAAAATCATTACGTTTATTACCTGTTCGTATCAATTTTCTTGTTACTTTTTCACAGGTTTCACGGCAAACCGCTGCACAATACAATTACGAATACAAGTGCAAACTGAATTACTGATGTTGGTTAGCGGGCGAGCACGCGCCTGTGTTATTTACCTTAATGAGGATCTGAGACATTAGCCCTACATCCAAAGTATGAAATGTCTGCGAAAATGTGGACGATCCTTATTTTTGAGGACGCATCAGTCCGCTTTTACGAAGACTATCCTTATTCTTGGACCAGCGCCGCGTCCCTACTGTTTATAATAGTTAATACGCACTCCCATTGGCCAATCCACTTTGTTTCGATTGGCTTCAAAACAAACATAGACTCTAGATCTATATCGAAATCTTATTTTTCCAAAAAAGAGATAAAACATTGGTTATTTGGTCTTGTTTATACATGTAGATCTAGTGTAGGTGTTTATTTTTGGGGTTTCAAAAAAGTTGAATTATAGTTATTATTAAAATAAAACAACAAAAACAATAAAATATATAAATTAAAAACAACAAAGAAACAGAAATTATCAAATCAATAGAAAACATAAGGAATAACCTGGCTCTTCCAATTTGTTTTTGCATAATATTACCCCAAATGGTCTGAAGAATATATGTAGTGAAAAGTAATGTTTAAATATGAAGAATAAATTATTAATTGGTAAAAATGTGAATGTTATTACCTTATTTGCATAAATTGCCACAAATGTACAAATGATAGTAATCTATACACTTCACTTGACATGCATGCAAAATTTTACGGCGATCAGCCGTTCAACGGCCAAGATCATAGGGGGAGGGGTCTTAGAAAGCTCCCCCCCCCCCCCCCCAGGCTATGCAGTTTTAAAATAGCCCGGGCTTTGGCCTCTGACCTCAGCCTCTATTTTTATTTTCTTTCAAAATGTTTTATGGTTGAGTGGTTCCCCTCTTTTAGAACATAACAATACATGTACTAGGAACAGAATATCAGATGCCTCCAAAAGCATGCCAGAACAGGTCTGAATGATATGAAGCTGTTCGCTGAAGAGTGCTCAATCATAGACAAGATAAACAAATGTTTGCTTCTTTTCACCAACACCCACGCAGTAATATGCTCAGTGCAACTATTGCAAAATATCACAAAATAAGCTTTGAATTTCCACGGTTCTAGACATGGAGATCAAAGGTCATTCCCTCAAATAAACAAACAAACAGGATTGCAAGTAAGGACTTGTACTATTATGTGACCATTCAGGTAACTTGTACAGGATGTGCTTTATTTAAAATCCACTAATGATGAATAGAAGGAAAATTGCTCACATAGCTCTGTCAGAATTTGAACAACCAGTCATTTTTAACACTTCACATTAGGAGCTGACTCCGGGTTAGATGACACACCTTTGAGCATTCTTGTTTGAGTTTGTATATTTACATTTGGAATCTGAAAGGTTTGAACCTGGAAATCATTTTAAAGTGACAATATTGGACCAAACATTTTATGTTGAATTTGTCCCCCCAATGGTGAGTAGATACATGTACATGTACATGTAGTTGGCCGTTCATAGGCTTGAATTTGTAGTAGATCGTAGTTATTACATTGTACCATGGCATAGTAAGAGAGATTTATATACATGTAATAGGTTGAATCGTGTTCTTCCAAATAGTTCCCTCCCATGTACCTGTATATACACAATTTCTATGAGAGGGAACTATTTTAGAGCTTCATGAAAGTTGAAACAACAGGCCTTTAATGAGCAACTTCCAGTGACGCAACTATCGCTCTAAAATAGCTATGTATGATATTTGCTTTTCATAGTTTGGATGTGGAACCATTTCAAAGTAGTATAGAATTGTAGCTCGTTCATTGTTAGGCCTACATGTACATGTACACATGCAGTTACTATCTTGATATACGTTGATTGTGTACTTATTTATTGTACAATGAAACTTTCCCTCGCGACCACCTGACTAGAATTAGAAAGACCACCTGCCAATAAAGACCACTTTCCTTGCCTCCCTTGAGTGGTCTTTATATACAGGTTTCATTGCAATTATACATTGTACAGGTATTTTTGAAGTTCTGTGGACTGCCAAGTGCCAATGTTTTATTGTTTACATGTACATTTACATGTAATAGTCCCAGCAATCTGGCAATTACAGATACATGAACAAGTCAGATAATTTATTTGTCCATTTATATTTAATGTAGTACAAAAACATGTAATTTACACAGTGTACGAGGAACAATAGTCCTTTGCAAAGCCTCGCTCATTATCTTGTGGCAAATGACTTCCTGCCAATGTTATTGACACCTTAAGAATAGGAAAGGAAGGCATATTAGTACAGAGGTGAATTCACTGAATTGTAAACTAAACACTTCATAGATAAATAGACAGCAGGAAGTAATGTATCAAAGATTTTAGAGCTTTTCATGTTAGTTTTAAAGATAAAGACCAGTTATGGTCATGCGATTGCATTGTGAAAGAAACGTTGTGGAATCGATCAGAAGAGGTTGATAATCTAGCATATAAGTATTGGTGTGTACTGCAAGGTTCTGGAATCATCAAAATGATAAGAAAGTTGGCCCAGTCTTGGTAAAGTTACAAGCACTGTACACAGAAAGATGTATATGGGACTACGCAGTACGCACACATGCGTTATATCTATCAGGTCTAAATAGATATAATAATTTACCAAATATATCAATTAGTAGGCGGTTTCTCGGCAAAATTTGTATGACCACGTATTAGTCAAAACATATTCTTTCACATGATTGGTAATAAGAGCTTCCATTTCATTTTTTGATAGGGGGGCGTTTCCAAAACTGGTCTTTACCTTTAATGCAGCCTTAGTTGTAGGGATTTGGGTTAGCTAAAATAAATGTACATGGAATCGTGGATGTTTTTTTCCATTCATGTAATATTGTAAATAAATACATGTTCATGTATATGTAGCCCTCTTTTAACATCTATGGTAGTAGACACATAAACACCAAGTCACATCAAAGTCTATGGAATTGAATAAATGCTGTCAAGCATGACACAATTAAAGAGTGTCTATTTTATGTTTAAGCAATACATCTGTTGACTGTGGTACTGTACTTTCCTGCTTGAATTCCTTCGAACAATAACTAAATTTACAGAGATAGCTATTAGTCTTGAGGTAATGTTAATACCGGTAATTGGATCATACATTTTTCATCTTATGGTCAAATAATCATGTAAGGTACAGGGGTGTATGCCTATTTTAGTGTTTTACATTCATATTTGAGTGATAGTGACATTAGTTTGTTCACTTTGTTGTCATGTTGGGGGAAAGAAACATGTAGCATACATCAAAGTAACTCCTCTGTGTGCTCTCTATTTTACAAATAGATCCCTTGACTGTTGCTGTTTCTGTACTCAAGCTGCACCGTGTCGCACCGGTCAGAATCATGGAACCTGAGTTTGAAAGAAGATTACTACGGCAGAAAAATGGACAGTCACCAATCGGCTCACCTACAACTCTGGTAAGAATTTCTACGTTCAAGCCATAAACCCAAATGAGCAGGCATTAGTAAACTTAGTTAATAAAATACTTTTCATCCATCTCTTTGCCAAGATGTTGATCTACATTTGCCACTTTCCACCCAGGTGTAAATGGGTACCTAAATGTACATGTACATGTACATTATATAATGTATGCTTGATCACAAGTTAATTTGGCAGCATAGCTGTAAATCAGGAATAATGTCCAAGCATCGTAGGTGACACAGTATTGACTGAAATGAGCACTGTATGTATAAGAAGCCATAATTTTCTTAGTTATTATAATCATTATTATTTTTATTATCATAATCATCATCATGACATGAAACTGAATCCATTCATCTTTTTAATTCACAGCCCATCTCGCCTGGCAAGGCAGCGTCTCCATCCAAGGACCGTTACAGCGATCGTTTCATCCCCAGCAGAGCAGGCAGCAACTGGCAGGTCGGGTTTGGCTCTATCCAGCAGGAGACAGATGAAACACAGCCGGCTGGTCGGAGGGGCAAGGAGGTCGGAGACTCTAGCAAAGGTGACAAGAATTTGAAGATATCATTGGCTGCCTGCACAGACCAGTGAAACATGTTTACAAGATATTTTATTTAACCATAACAATAAACACATACAACCAAGAATACAAAACACAGTATTATTTAAACATATTTGTGGCTTACACCCAGTGAATAAGATTGATTGATCGATCTGTGATTGAAAAAAAAAATACAGTATGGAATATAAAAAGGACCAAAAGAAAAGCAAATGCTTGTGAGCAATGGCCTTGAAAAATCATATATACTAGCCTAAAAACTGCCTTATTATTATCATCATCATTTGATTCCTTTCCATTTACATTTCACTATCAGAAGATCAACCATGTTTGTGCCTTCCTCTCCCTTCAATTCAATTCAATTTAATTTCGTTTTTTTTTTTAAATATACCAAATAAAAAGTCCAAAGACTAACAATACTTGGTTCACATTGTATCATATACAAATGCATTAAAAATAGTTGATTTTAAAATTCAGTAATAAGTTGAAGTACGAAAAAATATCACAAAAAAAAAAAGATTGTAAATTATAAAATGGTATATTAATAGCGATACTACAATATAAAGATATTGATTAAAATTGATAATTGATATATTTAATGTGAAGAATAAAAACCTTTTTCAAACCTTTTGTCTCTCAGACATGCTTGCCTACCACTGCCTGCTGAAGAATGAGCTGCTCGGAGCAAACATTGATAAGATCAAAGACCCACAGTGCGAGGACAGACGGATGGTCAGCCCACAGAAGGTCAAGCGCAATCTCTTCCAATACAATGTCCAAGCCAAGAGACCAAGCCTAGCCCAGGGAGAGGACTCCCCGCCATACTCGTTATCACCAATAGGAAATAAAAGGTGAGTCACGCCTTAGAGGTGTCGTGGACGAGTGGCTATGTCACCAGACTGTCGATCACAAGGTCTGCGGTTCAAGTCCCACCGCGGCACTAATGTCCTTTGGCAAGACATTGATCTACATTTGCCACTCTCCACCCAGGTGTTAAATGGGTACCCGGTAGGATGCGAAAGCTAATGTGCTTAGATTAGCAAGTTTGTGCTTGTAAAAATGACGCCTGGCTGGAATGCTCCCCAGGGAGTGGAGAATGTGCATACATTGTGTGCAGGTAAGCCTGAATCTGATGACTGGGGTAATAATGTAAATATCTGTAAAGCTCTTTGAGAGGGCCTTCGGTCCTGGAAAGCGCTATATAAGAACTAGCTATTACTATTATTACTATTCCTCTATAAGTTACTGCCACTTCTTCTATACTTTGTTTTCACAAGCAGTTTTTGTATGAATGTGCTATGTATTGGCTTGTACAAGTCGGGAGTATTTGGGCAATTTTGTCCCTAAAGCTACTGACATGGTCCACGTTGGTCTCCAACCATCCCCTGTGTTTTCTCATGTAAGCGAATACCCAAGAACAAATCTATCTTGTTGGAACTGGAGAAGAGATCTTCGAGAGAGAACAAAATGTAGGGTTGTTCACATATATATGCAGATGAGGCTCCATTAGCGTATTGTGCTAGTCTTTTTTTTGGTAGGAAATAAGAAAGCCTGAAAAAAAATCATTGAAGTAAATTAAATTTGCATTCTTGATGCAAGTTTGATTGAGCAGAGGAATTATGTGATCTTCTTGTGAAAATAGTGCTCATTAAATTTCTGCACTTTAATTTTGATGTATTTTTATTTATTTATTTATTTAATTCCCAGGCAAGATGATAACAATACCGGTACATAGAAAACATCACAAGGTTGACAAAATGATATAACATTAGCAGTATGATATTTAGCACCAGCCAATGCCTGGGGATCACCTAAAAGAATTTTTAAAATGTTGACGAGAAGCTCTCCACGTTGGCTGAATACCTACTTGTGTAATGTATGACAAGGTTTGGTGATTATTGTTTGATACACTCATCATGTCAAGGTATACAGGCCTGATAAAAACCTGGTTTCCCGATTTTTTTTTCCTTCCCAATTAAAAAAAAATTAAAAATTACCAGATTTTTTTATTTTTTCCCGATTTTATCCTTATTTTCCTGATTTTCCCCTTATTTTCTCTATTCTTCCCTATTTTCCCCTATTATTTCCCAATTTTACCCTATTATTTCCCAATTTTTCCCTATTATTTCCTGATTTTTCCATATTATTTCCTGATTTTTCTTACTCACAAGTGGGAAATGTAAGATGCCATTCCCCCCCCCCCCCTTAATCCTCTTTTCTTTTCTTTTTTTACTCAATGGGGGGTGTTGTTGAGGGGAGAATTTTTTAATTTTTTTTTTTTAAAGTGCTCACTATCACCCCTGGGTATAGAAGTTTGGACAGGTACCAAGAAGTTGTTCTAACCTTTGCTTTTTCTTCTCACTTTTCTCTGGATTTAATAGTCAAAAGCTGCTACGATCACCACGGAAACCAATGCGGAAGATCTCCAAGATTCCTTTCAAGGTTCTGGACGCACCGGAGCTTCAGGACGACTTCTACTTGAATCTTGTCGACTGGTCATCAGGGAATATACTCAGTGTGGGCTTAGGTACATGTGTGTATCTATGGAGTGCATGCAATAGTCAGGTAGGTACACAGAATTGAATGCATGGGACACTGTACAGAGCTGCAAACCAGTGCGATTTTATCGTATTTCGTATGATATTTAGAAGTACATGTAAGTACGATTTTGCCTCAATAAAATACGATTTTCAAATGGCAAATTGCCCACCCCCTGTAAATTATCCTACAAGCATCTCACATCGGCAATTTTCAATCTTCCTTAGTTCATCGAACACACCAGTCATGACAAAATCATGCATATTCAACCAATGGTCCATACAAAATTTTCTTCCTGTATGTAGGAACTTACCGTAAATCTCCGTGTATAAGGCGCACTTTTTTTGCTGCCGAAAAAATTTGAAAGTCGGGAGTGCCTTATACACCGGTACAGAAAAAAAAGTTTTATTTTTTTTTTTATTTATTTTTTTTTAGTTTCGATTTATGGCGCTATGCCTGGCAATGTCTCCCAGCTCTGTAATCAGTGTGTTGACTCAACACTCGGAAACTACAACAACACTCAAATTTGTCTGTCATCTTGGTTTGAAAATATTCTTTCTAATAGATTTCAATATGTAGTTTATAATAATAATTCCTCAAATATATTTTTCTATAACAAATGGTGTACCACAAGGTGCACCATTGGTACCATATGTACTCTTTTGTTTTTAATTTACATTAATGATCTTACACATTCTTCTAAAAACGACATTGTTACTATTATTTGTGACAAGTTCACAAGCACAAATCAGCGCCTTCAACTGCACCTCGATGTAAAATGAAGGTCCTTCCCCGCGTGGGTTTTCGGCAACAAAACAACAACCAAAAAAAAAAAACCCCAAAAAAAAATGATTTTTTTTTTTTTTTTTTTTTTTTTTTTTTTTTTCCCCCCCCCCCCCCAAAAAAAAAATAGGGGTGCGCCTTATACACAGGTGCGCCTTATACACGGAGATTTACGGTATGCAAATTTGCAACCCCCACCCCCCCCCCCCCCCCAAAAAAAAACAACAACAAAGTTTCGCAGTGAGAAAGAACTTATCAATCAAAAATAGGATTTTTTGGGGGGGAAAGAATAGGATTTTTGATCAGTTGGGGTTGGCAGTTCTGGACACAGGCTTTAGAAATGAGAAGAGAACATTGTGATTGTGAGTCTAGTATTGTATCTACAGTGCTGTAGAGTTAAAAGTAGCTGTGATATATAAATCAATCTTATAATTATCATTATTGTATTATAAAGTTCCTCCAAAAGTGCAATACTTGTTTTGTAATAATCAATTTAAATCAATGGCATATGAAGGTGGAAATGAAAATACTTGATATTGCATAATTATAACATTTTGTGTAAAATGTTTTTATATCCTGATTAATCTTCTATAATTCAGTTTTTGGCTGTGATAAATTTAATCTTTTCTAGATATCTTTTTGTATTATCATTCTTATTTGCATGTGTAGATGTCAAACTTTCGATTCAAATGAATTTCAAAACAAAACGCTAGTATAAATGAAAATCTTGAACAACAAATTGAAATACGTTGAATATGTTTTTTTTCTTAGGTAACACGGTTATGTGATCTATCAGGGGATGGAGACACAGTCACCTCTGTGTCTTGGAATGAGAGGGTAAGTCAAACACATTTCATCCTTGAAACTTCATGCTAGTCAATGTCATTTAGATACTACATGTAGGTCATAAGTCAATGATGATTTGAATAGGTCTTTGTTCTTTCTCCAAGCTCTCTATCCTCCTCTCCTCCTTGCCTATCCCTTTCTACCTTTCTCCCTTTCTTCTATTTATAATGTATGTTATGTATTTCTGTATTCGGGCGTACCCATTACAAGCTTTGCTTAGTGGGTTTGGCGCCTTCTTCCTTGTAATACAAGTTCTTTAATTATATATTGAATTGTATTGTTTGAACAGATGTCAAATATGTTGTCAAATTGAATGGAAGAAAATAAATGTTCATTTGAATTGAATTTTATTAGGTCATAACTCATAGACATGGGTTAATGATGATTTAAATAGGTCATAGGTCATTGACATTGACAAGTTTCTCTCTATCCAACCGTCACCACACTTGATTTGATTAAATTTTACTGGGATGACTTAAAATCAATAAAAAATTATCACAAACATAGAGAAGATGCATCAAATCAATTATTTTGTAATAGTAATAGTACAGGGGCAATTTAGATCATTTCAACCATTTAATCTTATTGTTGGGATGTATGTCACATTTAAAGTTAGTCTAAAATATGATTCTATTCATATATAGAGAGGGGTCAGTGACACAAAGACGTAACTCCATTTTGGCTATTTTTAGAAAAAGTGGTTTATGTGTCACTGGGCACTTGGGCCTTAAGGAGTTAAGTCTATGTTTCACTAGTCATTGACTTCAATGGGATGTTGGGTGGAGTTAAGTCTTTGTGTTTCCTGGAAAGCCCACATTTTTCCGAACATTTTGATATCAAATACTCATTTTGGCAAAATATGGAGTTAGGTCTTTGCGTCACTGAACCTTCGATATCTTGATCACAGGGCAACCTGGTAGCGGTAGGAACACACAAGGGTCTGGTACAGGTGTGGGACTATGCTGCCCAGAAGAAGCTACATGCATTGGATGGGCATGCAGCAAGAGTTGGTAAGTTACCATGACAACCATAGAATACAAGGATGATGCTAGCCCCACTTCAGTGCCCCTGCTGTTTGTGGCAACTAAAACGTTGATGTGTGTGTGGTTGGTACACAATGTATGGAATGGCAAGAAATTTTAAAATCAGAATGAAAGACTGTGAAGAGCGTTCTTGTCAAGATGATGTAATGAGAGAGAGAGAGAGAGAGAGAGAGAGAGGGGGGGGGGGGGGGGAGAGAGAGAGAGAGAGACAGTGAGAGAGAGAGAGAGAGAGAGACAGACAGTGTTGGAAACGGAAATGCTAGAGACTGGGTTCATTTGTTTTCAAATTATTCACATTTACATTCTTTGCTCAATTCTAAAGATACACCGCAACCATATTGCCATGAAAAGAGAGTAACGTCCTTCTTGTTCTGTAGTACACCCTGTGCGCACTCTGGGCCCTGTTTCATGAAACTTGATATCAATATCACGTTACAAGCTACTGTTATAAGCTACTGAAATTATGGCATCTGATTGGCTGAGAGCAAATTTGTCATAGAAATTGAGCATTTGTTATAGATAACAAGTTTTATGAAACAGACCCCTGTACTCTTTGTGTGTGATATTCAACTGTAGTTTACGTGATTCATTTGCAGGGGCACTGGCATGGAATGCAGACAGCTTATGTTCCGGCAGCAGAGATCGGATGATCCTGCAGAGAGATATCCGCGTGCCAGGGGTCATACGACGGCTCGGAGGTCACCGGCAGGAGGTGTGCGGTCTCAAATGGTCACCGGACCATCAACATCTAGCTTCAGGAGGCAACGATAATAGGGTAGGCGAAAGATACTCTAACTCTCTCTCTCTTTCTCTCTTATACTCTTCTTTCCATCTCTCTATTTATTCTCCCTCTCTCTCTCTCTTTCTGGCTATCACTGCCTAAGTCCTCTTGTTTTCCTTTCCTATCTCTCTGCCTCTCTATCTCTCTCTCGCTCTCTTACTTTCTGTCTTATGCAAGTGATATGACCTAATCTTTTACTGAGACCAAGTAATTTGGTGACAAACTTGTGAAAATGGTAAGATGGTGACATTGATTTACAGAAAATATCACAAGAAATGAGGTTTGACCTATTTTGGTATTTAGAAGTCTTCAGTTTTACCCCACAGATGTTTCAGAACTGAAATTATGATCACCTGATGATGCTAGAAGTTAAATACATTCCAACCTGCCTTAGTGGCAACCTCTAGACAGAAATGCTTGTTGAAGAACCTGTCTTCAGTGGCCACTCTCTGTATTTTCCATGGGTGGCCTTAATAAACAGGTTACATGTAGCCGCAAGCTTAACTCAGTTTTATCAACTCTTTTGTTTTGTTTTCCTAATTTCCTTCTCATCCAGCTGTTTGTATGGAACCACTCGAGCACCTCTCCAGTCCAGCAGTACACTGAACACAGTGCAGCGGTCAAGGCGATAGCCTGGTCACCTCACCAGCACGGTCTGCTAGCGTCAGGGGGCGGCACGGCTGACCGGTGCATCAGGTTCTGGAATACCCTCACAAGTCAGCCGCTGAACTATGTGGACACGGTCTCGCAAGTCTGCAATCTGGCCTGGTCTAAACATGATAATGAGCTGGTAAGGAACGAGAGATGTTAACTTTTGTTTTAATTTAAAGCGCCCCTCTGCACTAGTTTGGCATGGAGGGATTAGACCTCCCTGCAAGGTCCCTGTCAGGTGGTTATCTCATCAAATCAGTTCTCAATTAACATAAGAAAAAGGGCATAATGGGGGATCAACATTTACCACTTAGGCATTGTTGGCTGTATAGAGGGCGCAAGGAGCGATAAGTAGTGCAGTGGGGCTTTAAAGAAAGGAATGTTACCCCATGTTCAGATTACCTAAATTCACCTTTTTCCTAGCCTGAACATCATATCGTGAAATGCACGTTTTAGCATTTTTTCAAATGAAAAAAGTTAGAGTCTGAATCCTGGTCTCGTTGATGGAAATGTCCTCAATCAAGGCATTTATCTATACTAGTGCGACCTAGATGTTAATGAGTGGTCTTTCCTTGTTTGCAAATTTAATTTTTGTCACAGGGGTGCCAGTTTCAGTCTTCACGTTGTACATCACCTGTGGGACTCCCGAACATAACAGAGTCTCTTTTCTGGTTCATTGTGTGAAACCAACTGGTATTCCTCATGTCAGTGGTTTAAAGCCCATCTGCACTAGTTTGGCCAGGGGGATTAGACCTCCCTGAAAGGTCACTGGCAGGTGGTTATCTCATCAAATCAGTTCTCAATTAACATAAGAAAAAGGGGATCATGGGGGACCAACAGGCACCGATTAGGCATTGTTTGATATATAGAGGGCGCAAGTAGCTATAAGTAGTAGAGTGGGGCTTTAAAGTAGTGCTGGCAAAGCTGATAACGTTTTTGTTGACGTTTCTTTCATTTGACAGGTAAGCACACACGGCTACTCACAGAACCAGATCCTGGTGTGGAAGTACCCATCTTTAGTGCAAGTTGCCAAGCTTACAGGTCACACCTACAGAGTACTATATCTGGTAAGTTTTTTTTTCTTCATTCATTTTAGAAGACTGGCAGGGGATTAGATATATAAAGAAAGAAAGTTCTTTTTATCTATAAGTTCCCAGTAAAGCCAGAAACACTCTCTATTACAAACACACACAGAGTTCTGTCGATTGGAAAGATTTCTCCAGAATTCTGTCTATGACAGTTGAAATGGAGGGGGTGGGGGGGGGGCAGGGAGGGGTGTAAGGAATGCAAGAGAGGTTGAAACCAAAGTATATTTAAGAAAAGTAGAAAAGAGACCAAATAAAGGTGGTAAGGATAGTATTAATTTGAATTTTTCCTCATAAAGGAATGTGGCTAATGGCATGAAGATTACTATAGGTCATAGAATTGTAGATGAAATTCATCAGGGATAACAAATAACAAACTAAGTACATGTAGATAAGATACGTATTGAACCCCCCCCCCCCCTTAAAAGACTGGAACGTTCTCCAATTTATGAAATCGTACTCTACAAACTTGCCTATTATCTTGAGGAAATTCACTCTACCAGCCAATTCACAGTCAAGAATTAAAAAAGATTACTTTGAAGTTATGTGATCACTGATATGTTCTATGTTTCAGGCGGTATCTCCTGATGGGGAAGCGATCGTAACAGGAGCTGGAGACGAAACGTTACGCTTCTGGAATGTCTTTAGCAAGTCTAGATCAACCAAAGTAAGAAAGTGATTAGTATTTAGAAGTCATTGTTAGAATCCTTTTTGGTAGTTGTGAATGCTAATTTAGAAAACAGGTCAACAGTATTACATTTTATAAATGTAATGCTTCCTGGGAGAAATTTCAATTATTTAAACATATTTGTGGCTTACACCCAGTGCCATGGACCAGTGATGGCCTGGTGGTAGAGTCAATGCCCGCCGAGCAGTAAATGCAGGTTCAAGTCCACTGGTTCCAAGATTTTTTCTGACTTGTTTTTCAATATAGATCGATCAATCGATCTTATTTTACTGGGTGTAAGCCACAAATATGTTTAAATAATAGTATTACATTTGTGGGTGCCTCAGGGTCGGGCTCGATTGCTCTTGGTATGGTAGATATTTATGCATTTTAGATAAGTACACAAGAGTCATATTCATCTCCTATTGGAGGATCATTTTGATAATTCTCAATTTTTATCAGTTCTCAAGGTCTCATTAAAAAAAAAGATACCTATTATTTTTAGAAAACAAAGTCAATGTAAGCCGTCAAAATGCCATAATATTTGGTCTGTGACAATGCTTTAAAAGGGCAGTAGACACATTTTGATAATTCAAAACGTCTTACTTGAAATGTAATTATCTCTCTCTCTCTCTCTCCCCCTCTCTCTCTTTCTCCATTTCTCTCTCTCTCTCTCTCTCTCTCCCCCTCTCTCTCTTTCTCAATCTCTCTTTCCATCTCTCTCCAGGAATCTAAATCAGTACTCAACCTGTTCAATCACATTAGATGAGTGAGGGACTTGACAAACAAACAAACAAAGACTATTTGTTATACCTCTATAGACTACACTAATTGGACATTATACGAGATCATGGAGAAACCAAGCAACTTTGTGTAATCTTTGTTTGTATGAGCAAGCTGAACTCCATTTCACATCACACCACAAGGTATTGGACTGGAGTAGCACCATGCAAGGGCAAGGCCTGCTTGTGCTGTGGAATATCCTTATCATTGAGGAGAAGAACACAATGGTTGTTGGAGAGAGCAGATGATTGTTACGCCTCTTGCATTTCAACTGTTACACAAGTGTCACGGCAGACCCACGCCAGATATCTGACTGGGATAATAATATATATAATAATGATGGAGTCTTGTATAGCGCTCACGTCTGGCATATTGCCACTCCTGGCGCTCCATTATCATAACCCTGGTTTTAGCACGGCTGCTGTCACGGCGCTCAACCATTTCAAGTAAATAATTCCTGCCAGGTACCCATTTACCTCACCTGGGTGGAGTATGGCAATTGTTGATCAATGTCTTGCCAAAGGGCATTAGTGCTGAGACAGGGATTCGAACCCAGTACCTTGTGGTTCACAGTCCGGAGACTTATCCACTGGACCACAGCACCTCTAGGGATAGCACATAGCAACGGAACATGGGAATTCTTTCTCGAGGAGCTTCATGTAGTTTTAGGATTGAAAGTTACTGTTGGCGAAAGAGTTGATAATGAATAGCTCTCACATCACAGCTCTACAATCTACTGCGACCAAACCCATTGGCAGATAACAAATGGGGACAGCAAGTAGAAATGGCAAAACAATAATGTGGATTGCTTCATGACTGAGAGAAAAGTATGGTTGTAAGTGAAAGAATCGATGATCATCATAAAGTGAAGTTATTGAAATGCTTGAAACATAACAAAGTGCCAGATAACAGACTGGGACAAGACAAAAAATGTCTAGATTTCCTTAAGCAGAATACTATTAAGGTTCGAGAGAAAATGATGGTCGGTGGCTGAAGAAGTGAAGATCTCAAGCACTATCAACACCAGCACCGGCCTCTTGATATTCCACCGGTGCTCATCTTGGTCAAGTGTCTCCAACATCCAAGGGAGCTTGGCCTTGTGAAATGAACACCATGGTAGTAGCATTGTTGTAGACATGTGTTGAAAGCTTCAAATCAACTCAGGGGGGGGGGGGGGGGGGGTGTCAATCCAGGATATGAAATTCTGGAGAAATTAAAAAGGAACATGCATGGTAGATGCATAGCAAACACTGATATATAGAATCATGGAAATACTCTGTAATCTTTTAATGTCGGTTTGCACCGTAGAGAAAGGTGCTACATATTCTAGATATTTCACAGTTGATTATTGTAGGAAGTATTTAATTATTTACACTTCTGTTTTCATAAGTTGATTTAACCAATATAAGTCTTATACTGTTGTGCAGCCAATGTCTTCACAAACAACAGATCACAATCTTTTAATTACATCTTTGACTGAAATGTCAGAAATTTGTTAAAGGGATATTTCTTTTGCAAGTGGAACAAAACAAATGATGCCAAATTCTCTGAGTAATTCTGTCACACTATTTGAACCTGCAATGGATAACAACCAGTGGAAGCATAGCACCATACCTTGCCGTGGAGAAATGTAGCCCCAAAAGGGCATGCAGTTCCGTTTCAACTCCAAGGTTGATGATCATGAGATTAGTAATACTTGTTCCCCCAAAGAGGAAATAGGTATTTCTTATTTTGCTGCAGGTTTCTTAAAGGCCCACTGCACTACTTGTAGCTACTTGCGCCCTCTATATAACAAACAATGCCTAATCGGTGACCATTGGTCCCCCATGATCCTCTTTTTCTTATGTTAACTGAGAGCTGAGTTGATGAGATAACCACCTGTCCACTGACCTTGCAGGGTGCTCTAATCCCTCCTGTAAACTATGGCAGATAAGCTTTAAGTTCAGTCAATAACTTAAATGTGTGAAATATTGTGAATGTGCCTGCTTATAAAGGAAAGAATCAGGAAAAATAGAATGTTGGCATAACCATGGGTAATTAACAATTTTATGATTTGTTGGAGAAAAAAAAATTTAACCTCTTTGATGCAATGCACAAGTTTCTTTTTATTTTAATGATTTTAATTTTATTGTTTTAATTATGATGGTCTGGTAAGACAGCTTGCTAAGGTCATTTTATCCCACAGATGATGTCTTTAAACCCACAGATAATGTAATTACAGATTGTAATAATTAATTATGCTTTAAGATCAATGCTTTAGCTGATGAAAATGATTTTAATCTTTTTCTACCAATATTATATTTTACGTTTTTCAGTTTTAAGTTGCGAAATTAAATTTGATTACCCTGGAGACAGATCGTTATATATTTTACCACATTTCCACTGATCATGAATAATGACTATCTTTTCTTATTGGTTTTGATCTCTTTTTATATTGATTTTGAGAAAGTTAAAAGAAAAAAAAAAAGGTATGAAACCCTTCACTTGCAAAGACCCTGCTTTGAATGAAATGATGAAAATGACTTGCGTCCCCTTTTTTTATGACTACATGTCTTTTCTTTGGTTTAGCATTCTTAACCTATTTTGACCATTATTTTTGTTAACCCTTTTTTAATTTTCTGGCTGACATTCAAAAGTGTAAAGAAAAGGCTTTGTTTACATTATTATCATAATCATATCATTATTTATTGATTTCATTTTTTAAATTCTTGTGTGATTTTATGTTCTACATCATAGAAGAAAGTGACAAGAAATTATGTTGTTTATTCCTTGTAATTCATTACTGTGAGGTGACGCAATTACTCCGATGAATCAAATGAGCCATGGATCTCAACTCAAAACAAATTGCTGCACTACATGTGTATGTACATTACTGTAAATACAAAACAAATAAATCATGGGTCAAAGTTACAAGTATTATTTGCGCCTTATGTGTTTTATTTTTTTCTTTGTTGTGTTTCTGTTTTTATTTTTTCCCCTTCCCTTTTTCAGTATGAAGAGTGAATATCAAGTATGTGAGAAAGATCTTTGTTGTCATTTTTTCTTTCTCTCTCTCTCTTTCTTTCTTTCATTATCTCTCCCCTCTCTCTTGCTTTCTCTTTCTCTCTCTCCCCCTCCCCCAATTAACTCCCCCTTAGTTACTATGAAATGCAAGATTTAGACTAAGAAGGCATGAAAAGTATTTTTTTCACTTGCCTTCCTACTTATAAGTATATCAGTGTTGATATTTGTCCAATAAAACAATGGACAGAAGAGATACAGACATAAACATATTGATAGAAGGGAGAGACAGAGAGAGACAGACAGACAGAGAGAGAGAGAGAGGGATAGAGGAGGGAGGGAGGGAGGAGGGAGGGGATTGGGAAACGCGGTTTATAAATGAGGTCGTCTTGGCTTGATTTCCTCCATGACCGTCGCGGTTCTAGGTCTAGCGCCACCTAGTGACCAAAGTACAGTACACAAAGATTGCGTAAGAACTATTGCCGTGCGGACGTTGCTTTAGAGTTTTACTCACTACACCACGTCACCGTATATCGTGTGATCCGATGCCTGAAGTTTCGGCTGGAATCGAGAGAGAGCTTCGTAGATGCACAGCTCAGTTCAGTAGCGGCAAGAACTACAGTGCATTGCCAGTGTAATAATAAAAACTGGGCCGTTTCTTTGATGATTCTGTCCAGATTGTTTAGTCCATTGAAATCGTTCAACCGTGGTCTGGTTTGGGGTATTACCAAAGTAGCAAATATGAGCAACGACCAGTACCACCACAACCGGCCCTATCAAAAGAAGAATGAAGAGTTAAAAAGTCGTCTTGTGTGGGTTGATTTAGAGATGACTGGTCTTGATTTGGACACTTGTCACATCATTGAAATGGCTTGCCTGATAACAGATCAAGAGCTCAACGTTGTTGCGGAGGTAAAATGGCATCTAGGCCTACTAGGTCTACTTTGTACTACTACTAGGCCTACTAGACAAACTAAAGCAATTAATAATTGGTTCGATTTAAATATCATAGCATGCTTGTTGATGAATACACGTCCTTCCACGTATTTATGTATGTATTTATCATGTTTATACAAGCAAATTATGCCTAGACCAGTGACTAGACCGAAAGCTTCAGTCTCTGACGTCATCCATCGATTGATTCATCCATCAATTTCGATGAAGAAAATCGGGGAAAAAAGACCCTTAATTTCGCATAGGGTCTACATACAGTCCAGCTGGTATTAAAAAGTGCATGAGCCGATGTATTATTAGCCTAGATCTAGGCCCAATTTTTTCACAGGAGACTTCTGTCTCTGAAGAGAGGAGCCGACCCTACCCAAATAAGAGGCTAACGAACGAAAGAGACAGAAATTTTGGTCTACTATTTGGAATTGGATAGCCAAAAGCTTCAGTCTCTGATATCTAAAATTCGGTTCCGCTGAGATTACATCCGACTCCTCTGACTGCCTCTTGACAAATGTCAGTTTTATTAAAGAATATCTTGTATACCAGTAGGTTATTTCTCTCTAGTTCTCTACCATTTGGATTGCAATATATAATGCCATTTTTGTTTGCCTTCTGCTTGGTTTGGAACTTCTGAGGTTGAGCATGTATGGCAGCCGGCAGGCATGTTGTTGTTTGCCTTTTCATTTAATTTAAAAGTAAAAGTGTCAATGAAACAAATGAAGAAAAATGTATGGGATTCAGATGAAATAAAAAATAGAAACTCTTAGAAAACATCTGGTATAGTAGGTAGTAGACCCAGAAAAAGAATTTATATGCCTTATTATATAAAAAAAATTAAAGAAATTAATTCAATTTTTCACCTCTCCCAGGGACCCAACATCATCATTCACCAACCCGACGAGATCCTTGACAAGATGAACGATTGGTGCGTCCAGCATCATACAGCCTCTGGTCTGGTGGATGCCGTGAAGGCCAGTAAGATCACTCTCCAACAAGCAGAGTATGAGATGCTTTCATTCGTCAGGGAGTACACCTACCCCAAGCTCTGTCCTCTGGCGGGGAACAGCATCCATGTCGACAAGACGTTCTTGGTGAAGTACATGCCACAGTTCATGGACCACCTGCATTATAGGATCGTGGATGTCAGCACTGTTAAAGAGCTCTGCAGGTAGGCATATGATTGTCATTGTTGGTCAAACAGTTTTGAGCATCCAGTAACGCCTGGCTGGAATGCTCGCCATGGAGTGGAGATTGTGCACACAGTGTGTGCGGGCAAGTATTGAATCCAATGACCGGGGTAATAGTATATCTGTAGAGCGATTAGAGACATCATAGATGTATTAAGTGCTATATAAAAGCGGAATTATTATTTTATGATCAAGCTCTCAATTTAGAAATGCTAGTTATCTGTTCAATTACTGGAGAACTCACTTTGTTTTACTTCAAATGTAGGAAATGTACACTGCTCAAGCACAGAACTATTCAGATCACTGTTGCACAAAACTTATCATTGATGGTAACTTTGCCATCAGTGGTAACTACCATGGAAACCTTGATTTTGATTGGCTGTTGAGCCCTGTTACCATGGTAGTTGCCATTGATAGCAAAGTTACCATTAATAGTAAGTTTTATGCAATGGGCCCAGATCACACTGTAAATAGGTTCATCTTCTCTCTCTTTCTCTCTTCTCATTAGAGATTATTTATCCATGTTACAACAAATTTGCAAGGTCTTTATCTTTATTTCTTAAGATATCATACTGTAACAGAATAAGGTTATTAATCACTCATTTTCCAAATTGTGTTTGAAGGATTAGAGATGGGTATACTAAAATTTACTTTTCTTTATATGGTCAGTAACATGATCAGTAACAGGACATCGTTTAAATAATTGAAAGGTAGTGAATTGAATTTTTTGGAAGAAAATATAAAACAGGAATTAATACAATATTTAGAATTTCATGAAATTTTTTGATATTTTTTATTTTTATTTTTTAAATCCTAATCTTGAGTGCTTCAAGTATCTTGTATCTTTTACTTTCATTTTTATTATTAGGAGGTGGTATCGTGAGGAATACGAAGCCGGGAACCAGAAGAAAGGATCTCACAGAGCGATGGGAGACATCAAGGAGAGTTTAGAAGAGCTTCGCTATTACCGCAGGACCATCTTCAAGTAACGCCAATTAAGCCATTCCTACGATTGCAAACTGTTCATCAAGCAAGTCTGGCGCTCGGAGAAGACTCAGAGGTGGAGATCTCGAAATGCCATACCCTGTCTTCTCGGCAGGAGTTTGTTGACCTTTTTGTCCAGATTGATTGATCAAAGAATTACTGCTCAGAGCCAGAAACTCATTACGTACTCTGAACCCATCGTCTACTTTGACCCGGTCATTCCTGTAATCGGCCTATGAGAATAAGACAATGCACTAGCCAGTAGCTTAAAGGGATAGTTGAGATTTGGTGTAGAGGGCGCTACACATATTAATTTTGTTGTGAGATAATGAGAAACCAAGTGTCATATTCGAAAGAGCATACAATTTAAAAGACAGAATCATCTTTGTTTGGTTTTGGTTACTAAAATTCAGTTTGACCCAAACTGTACTTTCTATACCAAAACTCAACTACCCCTTTAAGTAAGATAATTTGAAACCAGAGGTAATACCCTTCTTCTCTCAACAGATAATGTGGCCTTGTCATGATCCCAGTGGATGGTATTATATGGAGGACTACTAGGACCCTGTTTCATGACACTTGTTATCAATAACATGTTACAATAACTATTATCTATAAGCTACTTAAATTATGGCATTTTATTAAATAAGAACAAATTTGTCATAGAAGTTCATCATTTGTTGTCGATAATCAGTTTTATGAAACAGGGCCCAGAGCAATTTTACAGGCTGAATATATATATATCAACATATTTATTGCCCTTAGTCTGTAGCCTTGCCGTGGAGCATTTGCCCTTGGTAATTTTCTTATCCTCGAGTCACCTTGAGGTCCGAGCACCAAGGGTTCGGTGAACCCATGAATGCACTTCTGCTTCTTGATAATCAATGGCTCCATAGTAACTTATTCTTTTAGGATCCGACTTTAAATTTCAAAACCTTTAGAGTCTGTCCATGCAGGCTTTTTGTTTAAATTTGAGTATTGGAAGGAGGGGTGGGAGTGGGGGGCTGATTCTAAATTGAGGTCCCATATTTACCATACCCCTGTTGTTATTCCACAGGATATTACAGGTGACAACTGAGAAATCATGCTCCCATCCCTCTTTTGGTTTGTTATTACTGCAATTACTTTACTTCCCTCCAGTTTATTGTGAGATGCTTTTTTTTTCTTGCATTTATATAATGATAATAATACGAAACATTTATATAGCCCTCCCATCCCTATAATTGCAAGCCCTAAAGATTGTAAAAAGGCTGGTGAGACAAAAAAGTATGTTTGTGTATTGGAGGGGGGGGGGGGGGGGGGAGGGGGTAAGGCTGCAAACAAAACAGTAAAATATGTAAATACTGTACATGTTTTCACAGTTGAAATTTTGATAACATAACCTTGGGTTCTGGTGATTTAATGGTGTTTAATTTGAATTGATTTTTAAAGTGCTTGTTTGATTGATTCTCCTCAGAACAATGGTGTATTCTTGGGTTAACTTGGCCATTTTGATCAGTGTCGTTTGGTCCGTTCCTTTCAAAGTATTCATATGGTTGCACCAGTTGTTAATGTGGTTTGTTCTGGTTGAAGATGTGAGTTTTTTGATGGTCAAGATGATGTTTAACTCTTTTTTTTGTTTTGTTGGGTTTTGGGTTTTTTCTTTTGTATTACTCTGTAATATTTTCTCCAGTTTATTTATTCAATAGATCTTTTTTTCTCCTTTGCATTTCTCAACATTTACTGCAAATTCAATAGGATTCTTTGACAATCTCCCATTCATGTTTTTTGTTTGTTGTTTATGTTGTTGTTGTTTATGTTGTTGTTGTTGTTTTTTTGGGGGGTTTCTTTTGTATTACTCTGCAATTATACCGTTTTTTTCCAGTTGATTTGTTAGATGTCTTTTTTTTCTTCGCATTTCTCAACATTTACTGTGAATTCAATAAGATTCTACGACAATCTTCCATTCATGACTACCAGAGTTCTAAATTCTCTGTCAATGTAATAACGGGTGATTATCCTGACCCATGAAAATATACCAAAACATTATTTTTTATTTTTGAAGTCTTCCACTGCATCTCAACAGTGTAAATGAGATTCATATATTCAAGTAGTTTGCTTGCCAAAGTGTAGTGCTATATAACATTTTTGAAGAACTTGCCATTTGGTCAAATAACGCTTTCACTTATAACTAAAGGAATTGTTTCAAAGGAATTACATACTAATATCAACATCCATACAATCTGCCTTTTTTCATACACTTTGACTGATTTATAATATATTCAAATATTTCAAGAATTCAAAATAAAACATGTACATTGAAAAGGAATTGGATTGGAGCTACCCCATATTAGCAGCTTGATCTTACCGGTCATTCTATCCTACACCTTCAAAGATTGCCTGAATGGTCCATGCAAACAAAAGAAACTAACCAAAGACTGAATGCATACCTGCCAACCCTTCCAAATTATCCAGAATATTATGATTTTCTGTATTTTTAGGATCTACAAATTTAAATTGTGAAAGACCAATTTTTTAAAAGCCAAATTTAGCTTCTTTAATCATGTGCGGCGATTTGAGAAAATTAGAAATTTCTATTTCTAATTTTCAAATGTTGGCAGGTATGTGGATGTTACATTCCTTACTTTCTGCTTGAGTTACATAACTGTTGATTGTGGAGGTGTCTTGGTACAGTGGTTCATTCACTTGACTCTCAATCTCAGAGTTGAGGGTTCAAATCCCAGTCTGGCACTCAAGTCCTTTGGCAAGACATTAATCCACATTTTGCCACTCTCCACCCGAATGTTAAATGGATACCCGGTAAGATGCCAAAGTGATTGTAGTTTGCTTACCATTGTGAGCATCTGTAAATTGGCGCCTGTCTGGAATGCTCCCAAGGGAGTGGAGAATGTGTGCGGCAAGCCTGAATTTGATGACTAGGGTAATAATAAACATGTACATTGTATCTGTTAAGTGCTTAAAGTCGTCATCACTGTATTAAGAGTTTTATAAATGCTGAATATTATTATTGTTATGGTGATGACGATTGGATAAAGGGTATTCATTATTTATTGGCCTATTTGCTCTATAAATCTTCCAAGTATGAAGTAAAAGATGCAAAAGCAGTCAAATAATAAATGTATTGAAACTGACATTTAAAAATCACTTCTGCCGAGTGTTCGACTCTTTTATTCAGTGGCCGAGCTAGTTTATAAGTTGAGTCTAAGTTTGAATGTCAGGTACTAAAAGCTGTTACTTGCAAGTTACATTTCCATCATCTAGATCTGTTATAATGCTTCCCCCCTCGTCATATTTCAACTCTCATTTCTTTGGGGATTTTTAAAAGCTTTTCAGAGGTAAATGATTTGAACCCCCTCCATGTCCATTAACTTTGTTTCTTGCTGGCCTCTCACTCTCTCATTCTCACTCTTAATTTTGGCAGAAATTACAACAAAATTCATTGATCTCACCATGATCCCAGCTTGTGGAAAAAAAGTGCAATGTGGCAAATTTAAACAAATTGGAAAATCACCACTTTACAACAAAATCTGCAGTGGGCTTTTCAGCATTTTAGGCATTATTTTTCTTATGGGCCCATTTTCATGTCTTTTCATTGATACCATGTATAAATAATCCTAGCATGCCAGAAAAAAATGTAATAGGGCAAAATTAAAGAAAAATTGAAAAAACACAAATTTTTGACAAAAACTGCAAGCGGTCAGCATTTATGGCCGAAAATACTTGTTTTTCTTCAAATTGGCAAATTTTCTTTGAGCTCGGGTTTAAATGACCCTAACATGCCCCGAAAAGTGAATTTCGAAATCACACATTTTTGACAATTTTTTGACAATTTTTTGACAATTTTTTGTTCCTTGGGAAGTTCAGAATATGGGGTTATTCATAGAAGAGCTCTCTCACCATCTTCTCTCTCTTTTTTTTCTTCTCTCTCTCACATTTTTTTTTCTCTCTCTCTCCCTCCACCCTCTCTCTCTCTCGCACTCTCTTTCTCTCTCTCTCTCTCACTTGCTCCCTCTTTCTCTCTCTCTCACACTCTCTTTCTTTCTCTCTCTCTCTCACTTGTTCCCTCTTTCTCTCTCACTCCACCCTCTCTCTCTCTCTCTCTCACACACTCTTTCTTTCTCTCTCTCTCTCACTTGTTCCCTCTTTCTCTCTCACTCCACCCTCTCTCTCTCTCTCTCTCTCACACACTCTTTCTTTCTCTCTCTCTCTCACTTGTTCCCTCTTTCTCTCTCACTCTCTTGCTCTATCTGTCACTCACTCTTGCCCTCCTCTCTCTACACACCTAACATCCTCTCTATCTTTCATTTCTATATTAATGAATTACATCAATTTAGTCTGTAAATAATACAAAGACAAAATTATATTTTTTCAATTATTTTTTAACAAAAGCAATATAAATGTATTACATCAAGGCTAATTGAACAGTGTTCACAACTGATGTTGACATCCTTTTTTTTTCCAAGATTGATTAAGTGAAGACATTGGTTTTTAACAAGTGTAATGAAAGAAGATTAAAAAGCAATGATCAACTTCTTAAAGTAAATGTACATACCACAGAACTATTTTAAAACACTTTAGTACAGAAATGTTTGGAATCTGGTACGTTAAAGCACTGTGTGGTATAGGCAATGGCATGAAGTATATAAAAACAAGAGTTTTTAAATTTGTTATAACAAATAGTGTGTAAAATTTGGTCCATTAAGATTAATACTTAAGTACTGAAATCATATAATAATATTGCATCGATATAAAACTCTACTATTACCCTATATTGCGACCCCTTTGTAACTTGTTATCTAAAGAAACAATTGACTGAGAAGCCGAAACAGCAATTTTTTCTACACTATCCTACCTCTCTTTTGAATAAATGCTCAGTAATCATTGTTTTCACATAACTTAGAAGGGGAAACTAATGGGTTAGATCATTCATTGCAGCTATCAAATAATCTATATATAACTTACTTGAGTTAAAAAAAAAAGGTATAAAAAGAACAAATGCCAAATATATCATTGACATTACATCGGGGGGGGGGGGGGGGGGGGGCGTTTCACAAAACTTGTCATCAGTGACAAATGACAGTTTTTGTTATAAGCTACTGAAATCTTTTCTTCTGATTGGTTATCAGCAGATTTGTCACTGATTTTTATCATTTGTCATTGAAAAAGGGCTTTGTGAAACAGGCCCCTGCATTGTTGCCTACACTCTAGAAATCCTCTGTCTAGCCTAATTTTTCAATTTAGTCCGAGTAAAATAGCTGAAAGACTCGATCAATTAAAAACTACCTGATCAAACTAATGCCAACCTACTTACAGGTATTTTTCAGACATTTTGCCCCTGCTTATAAATGTATAAAATATATTCAGGCGCATTTGAAGAATATGTTAAAAAGAACTCTACCTGGGATAAACAAGCAAAAAAGCCAACCACGCATTTTAATTGAATACATTGCTATTAACTAGTTGTATATACTTCTAAGCTGAAAAATTATAACAACCAGCACAAAACTCTGAAAGTGTATGACAGTGCATACATGTATATACATGTATCTTCAAAATATACATCTTGCAAGTACAGTTAATACTGCATAACTCAAAGGCGCACAAGTCAAATGGTAAAAACAAATCAATTTGTTTGACCAAACTATGCAAAACACGTTATTTACACCTCTTAAGTCAAATTTTGCATTATTAAGTCAGACTATTCTTTGAGGTCCCACCATACTGGACTTATGCAGGATTAACTGTAGTTTTTTCTGAGTAATAGAACATGTGAGGGTTTCCATCTAGCATAAGTTCTACATAAAGTCCAACTACATGTAGTACATGTATTCTATAAAAGGACCCATGTATAACTGATCAACTAGATATTTCCAAAACTCCATGTTCCCAATAAAAAAACTATTGTTTTTTTCACGATTAAAAACAGTTCAAAGTTCTATACAAAGGCAATGCAGAATGTGGAGGTGCCTGATATGTACATCTTAGACAGAGCTCGTCTTGAGCTAGATTTATACTTGCACCGTTGGAGACAGCCCAATGAATAAGAACGATCACCAAGTTAAAGTCACCACCTCTCTAGAAAGGCCACCTGTATAAAGTGACAACTTTGTCTGCTTTCCCCTTTAAAGTGACTCAGTAACATTGTTGAAGGTTGATGAAAGTTGAAAAAGCAGCCCCCGAAAAATTTCCCCAAAATTTGAAATGGAGCCCCCGAAATGAAAAAATATTTTTTTCCCTGACAACACTTTTGGTCTAATATTTATTTGATCCATTTGTATGTTTGCATGGGATACTGGGTGCTTTTTCACAGGACCTGATTATTCCTAAGTCTAAGACAAAATGATAATGGTCAGATATTAAAGGGGAAGTCCACCCTGAAATTAAGTTAGTTTTAATAGGAGTAGAAAAATGAAAGAAACAAGTCAGTGAAAGTTTGAGCAAATTCCGATTAAAAATAAGGAAGTTAGGATTTTTGAAGTTGTGATCAATCAAACACAAATTGGCAACTCTATGACGTATCATGCGAGCTCAACTTCCATTTGCTCAGTACTAAAAAAATCTAAAATTTTCATTTTCCCTCAAGAAAAATTTCAACCATACATGCACCCTAAATATAATAATTGCAAATATGTTTCTATACTCCCCCTGCAAGGAACAAATATATATTCCGTCATCAATAACGAAGAAAACATGATTTTATGGAATATTATGCACAAAGCAAATAAAGGAGAGCTTGTATAATAAGTCACAGAGTTGCCAATTTGTATTTGATTGATCACAACTTCAATAATTCATAACTTTCTTATTTTCATTCAGAATTTGATCAAACTTTCACTCACCTGATTTTCTTATTATTCTGCCTCTATCGAAACAAACTTATTTTGGGGGTGGACTTTCCCTTTAAGAGCCAGAAGGATGGGTCAGCACCCTTCTGGCTCCCAGCAGCCGGAATGAAAATTAGACTATGTGGAACTTGGACAGAATATAGATAAGACCAAATGGAAAACAGGAATGTTTGTATTTAGGCAAAACCATGCACGAAAAGCCTAATATGTGGAGTGTGTATTTAGACGAGCTAGATACAAAACAGAGTAACATTGGACCAAGCAGCACTAAGCCACATACAGCATTAAACACCGTCTGCACTAGTTTAGCCTGGGGGATTAGACCTCCGTGCAAGGTCACTGGCAGGTGGTTATCTCATTAAATCAGCTCTCATTTAACATAAGAAAAAGGAGAACATGGGGGACCAACAGGCACCGATTAGGCATTGTTTGCTATATAGAGGGCGGAAGTAGCTATAAGTAGTGCAGTGGGGCTTTAAAATCCATCTATATGACCTCACATTTGACCCCCCATATGTGATGTGGCTGCTTAGCGGAGAAGGTCGGCCTGGCGATGGCTGAGAAGGGATACGAGTTGAAGGAGATCTTGGGCATCTGGACCTTGAGGCGTTCCTGCTCCCGAGGCTGCATTACACCGAAGACATCCAAGCCTTTCAGGAATGAGATATCAATCAATGATCTGAGGAATGAAGATAGGATATTATTACTTATTATCTATATAAGGCTTCCAAGCGGTACAATAATCAGTGTATCCAATATCTTTAGCGCGGTACCCGGATGACTGACCAATATTGTTTTCTTATTGCTCAGTCATCCGGGGACTTCAACTATCGATATCAATATCATGGCGATATCACACAAAAAATAAAGCCATATTTACCGAGGTAAGTCAAATTTTGTTATTTTGCTAGTCAGACTAATAAAGATAATAATAATATTATTGTATGGCCTTGTTTTCGTGTGATACAAGAATATATTGCTCTCGCTAAGACAATATTAGACTCGTCCAATATTGTCATAGCTCGAGCAACATATACTTGTATCACACTCAAAGCCATCCAATATTATATAAGTATTGTATGTGTTTGAAAGGGGAAAACTTAACTCGTAATGTGCAACATAAACAATCTCCCTGTGCCACAATGTATTTATCATATAATTGATGTTCCAAATTTTTCATGACTATTTAACTGTTTCTAGTGCAAATTAATCCAAAGGGCTGCAATGTTTTCTCTTCACTGGTTTAAAATGTTTAAGGAAAGCTGGCTGCGTTTGCGTAAAATAAAAGAGATCTGCGCAAGCGATTTGAGATAGATGTGACAATTAACATAACTTTCCCAGAACATATAAGGTTTCCAAAATACGATCTGGATCCTAAATTAAAGGGAGTGTAGCTTGGCAAATACTGGTTCATACCATCCACGTCTTCTTTCGGACAACTGCACGTAAGCGAAACGAATTGATTAACGGTAGTCAGCAAATAAATGGTCAGCGTTCGCAAAACCGAAGTTATCCTCACGCTTTGGTTTTGCGTATGTCCCAAGCATGTGATTGCTGCGCTCGCGTCATCCGTAGTCGTACTATACCCAATTGGCCCAGAGTGAGGCCACGGGAAAGAAACATAGTCTCGTCAGGCTACACTCCCTTTAACATTACTCTCATCAGGCTACACTCTCTTTAACAATACTCTCGTCAGGCTACACTCCCTTTAACGATACTCTCGTCAGGCTACACTCCCTTTAACAATACTCTCCTCAGGCTACACTCCCTTTAACGATAGTCTCGTCAGGCTACACTCCCTTTAACGATAGTCTCGTCGGGCTACACTCCCTTTAACGATACTCGTCAGGCTACACTCCCTTTAACGATACTCTCGTCAGGCTACACTCCCTTTAACGATACTCTGTCAGGCTACACTCCCTTTAACGATAGTCTCGTCAGGCTACACTCCCTTTAAACGATACTCTCGTCAAGCTACACTCCCTTTAACGATAGTCTCGTCAGGCTACACTCCCTTTAAACGATACTCTCGTCAAGCTACACTCCCTTTAACGATACTCTCGTCAGGCTACACTCCCTTTAACGATACTCTCGTCAGGCTACACTCCCTTTAATGATACTCTCGTCAGGCTACACTCCCTTTTATGATACTCTCGTCAGGCTACACTCCCTTTAACGATACTCTCGTCAGGCTACACTCCCTTTAACAATACTCTACTTACACAAACGCGTAGAATGGGATGTCGTAGCAGCGACTGAGTGATATGTGTTCAAGGCATGGAAGGTTCTGTACTACTGCAGAGATGGCTTCGTAAGTCAGGGAGGTGCTGTCACTTAGATCTAACTGCTTCAAGTCGTGACATCTTGATACAAGGGTCACGACATCTGTGGGAGAAGGAAGGGAAAGAAAAATTCATTTACAATGAAACCTGTCTATAGAGACCGCCCAAGGGAGACAAGAAAAGTGGTCTTTATGGGCAGGTGGTCTTGATGTACAGGTTCCTTTAGTACATATTTCAATAAGAAACCTTTTTCAAGGAAAACAAAAAATGTAGTCTTTGTAGACAGATGATCTTTCTATATAAGTGGTCACTAAAGCAGGTTTGACTGTAATTGATAGAGGAGCTTCCCAGTACATCCTAATAGCAATGTGAGAAATCAGTTTGTTTGTTTATAAAGCTGTTACTTTGTACTGAAGCTTTTTTTGGATCAGGGTACAGTATTTTATTCCAGGGTAATAAATCTGTCTGCATCATTCTATAACTGGAGAATTCAAGGGCTTCTTTTCAAATAATCAAAATAATATCTAAGTTTTAAGAATTGGGGCTATGGGCCTGAGTAGTACGGGGCCAGCGTATCTATGGAATAATGCTTGAATAAACTTTAATTAGTTGGACTTAAAAAAGTCTTTTTCCTAATGATACAAATTCCAGAATATAATTCCCCATTATTGAAATTAGCCTGTAAGATACTAATCTCTGTTTTGTGAGGACATTTTTTGTTTCAGTTGACGATCGGAGTATGACGTCAGAAGCGATGTTTTTTTTTTGTTGAATTTTTGGTCTGCCGAGTGGGGGCGTAACAATTTAGCTGCAAATGATTCTCAATTTTGGGAAAAGTCATCCTTCTGATTGCGATCAATATTTAGTATTTCCAGACAAGCCCAATGTTGTGAGTATAATTTGAACATATGATGTTGATAATTGATAACTAGCCGTCAGTTTGAGTTGGGTGTTGGTTTATACAGTTCATAGTTTTCAGATAATTTGATGTATAAAATTTGTTATGAAAGTGATTTGTACGCACAGTAACTTTGTATGATGCATTACACGTGCAGTTACATAATACGGTTCATGTGTGTAGTGCTATGGGGATAGTCTGTTGTACAGACCGTGTTGTGTTATTTTAATATCATTTATATATAGGCAGTTGTATAAAGTGACAGAATGTAGATAAATTCTGGTAACTGTAGACATGTATATAAAGAGGAATTCAGTGTAATATGTAACTTCAGTAGACATGCATTAATCATACAACTAATTTGATGCAAGATTGTTTGTAAACAGTTTAAAATTGACATATTATTTATGATTGTTTAATTCTGATTAAATTTCAGGTTGAACCGCCTTTTATGAACGGTATCGCATCATGCTTGAAATTGTCGCTATTTATTGAGTGCAGTCAGTCCGATTGGTTGGTTATACGCTACATTAAGTTCAACAACAGTGCTTTAAGTCAACATGAGCGATATGTCCCATCAAGAGTCCGTCAAGCCCGGGGATTCAGCAAGCCAGACTGGCAAGAGCAGCACAAGCAGTACCTCCAGAGCTAGAGTCAAAGCAATGGTGAAGAGAGCGGCCTTGGCAGCCCAGGCAGCAGCTCTCAACGAACAACAAGCTCTTGAACTGGAGGAGTTTAAGCTGAAGCAGAGAAGGAGTAAGCTTGAGCTACAGACAAGACTCAGCATGGCAAAAGCTGAGGAAGAGGTTTTCTCCCAGCATGGAGAGAGCATGACTGCTGCTGTAGAAGATGTCTCCCAACAAAGAGGGGCCTTGACGACGGAGCCCAGCATGGCTACAGATTTAGAGAAGGCTGTCTACCAGCTGAGACAGCCTTCACAGGTGCAACCTAACAGGGCCAGCACTACAGACAAGGACTTCTCCCAGCGTGGAGAGAGCATGACTGCTGCTGCAGATAAAGATGTCTCTCAACGAAGAGGGGCCTTGACGACGGAGCCCAGCATGGCTACAGATTTAGAGAAGGGTGTCTACCAGCTGAGACGGCCCTCAGAGTTGCAACCCAACATGGTCAGCGCTACTGTAACAGACAAGGACTTCTCCCAGCATGGAGAGCCCTTGAAGTATGATACCACCACTAATCAGAGTGAAACCACAGAACAGAATGGCTCCATATTAACTGGGTCAGAAGCAAGTTACGGAATCGCCATAGGGGCCGGTATGCGATGTGTAGGTCCAGTGCATGTTCAGGCAGCAGATGGAGATAGATGTGTTCTTACCTACGCTCTACTGGACTCTGGTTCGACCACTTCCTTCTGCACAGAGAGCCTAGTAAGGAAAGTGTCATCACAGGGGGAAGAGCGCATACTTTCCATATCAACCTTGGACAATCCTGATGGAGGGATCCAGACTCAAGTTGTGAGTCGTATGGTCGACACAGGTCTCATGACAGAAAGAGTGAAGCTTCAGAAGGTTTCTACCAACAGGAAGACCGACTTACTGAGTGATGACATGGCCAGTATGCGAGACTTAGAAGGATGGCAGCACTTAGAGGGGCTGGATCTACCATTTGCCTGCGGACAAGAAGTGGGACTCCTGATAGGGCAAGATGCGCCATTTGCTCTGATGCCCTTAGAAGTTTGTAGAGGAAAGGGAGAAGATGAGCTGTTTGCCATACGTACTGTACTTGGATGGTCTTTGCATGGCCCTGCTGCTGCTATTCCAGACAATAAAGGAATGATGGTGAAGGACAGAAAGGCACTTGACATACAGAATGAAGGGAAGTGCAAAGAGATGGAACAGTACCAGTTTCACATACCCTTCAAGGAAAAACGACCTACATGTAGCTTGACAGACAACCGATGGGTAGCAGAATAAAGGTTGCGGAGTCTCAGAAGGAAGCTAGGTAGAGATCACGCTCTGCACTACAAGTACACTGAAGGTTATGCCGAGGAGGTGGAAGAGCAAGATTGTCAACCAGGTGATGTAACATGTCGATACCTCCCTCATCATCCAGGTTTACGATTTGGTACTGGTGGTCGACGAGCACTCACACCGCAACGTTTGGCCTTTGGGAAGAGTCCTTCAGACATGGCCAGAAGAGAAAGGCTTCGATCGACAGTGTGAAGTGAAGACCTGAACCAGCGTACTGCGGGGAGTCCAGTTACAAAGCTCTATTTAATTTGGAGGCAGATTCTTGGAGACATTTCTGTGTTTCTAAGATGAGGGGTCAAGCCTAGCGCTGTCCCGTGCCAATTGTAGAGGTATTTGTGTTTTGTGTTCTTAAAACCAGAAAGCGGAACTGACATCGATCCTTTTTTGCGTATTAGAGTGTCATTGATCAGTCAAGAAATTAAGGAATTTTTGTGCTTCAGCGTCAGGGACAAAGTGTCAACATTTGAGCAACTTTCAGAGAATTTTTAGAGACTTTTACAAGAAATTTGAGGAAAGTTCAGCGTTTCAGAAGAAGTTCTAAGCAAGAAAATATGTTGCAAGACAAAGTTGATATTTAGTCATAAGAGGAAATACATATTATTCTGATCCTTTAATAACTCAGAGAATGTCAAAGAACAAGATTTTTGAAGAAAATGGATTATACCATAATGCAAGACTGACATGGTGTAATTTATGTTATTATGATATTGGAAAGTAACGTTTTTGTTTTTCAACCTTCTAAACAAACTCATATTCATTAGAAATGGTAAATGTGCTTTTCCTTTATATTCATATGATGAATACATTCAAATCAGTTATACATGTTGATGATATGTCGTTTATTACTGTTTCCATGACAACCAAATTACATGGCGTTGGCTATTTGGTAGAATATGTAATACCAGAATCGATAATGTCATATATGCAGATTGTGTATAGAAAGATTGAAATGGTATATGCAGATGATGTATTTGTCTATGTAGGGACTTGGAAGTTTCGACTAGGAAAATTTATATTTTCTAGCAGATAATGTCTTGTGAAGTTATATTTGGATACAACAACATGACTCTATGTGTACTGGAATTGGTATGTGAATTCAATTCAGTTTTAAACAGTATCTGTGAAATCGTACATAGTGTTGATTACAGAATCAATATTTCCTTTTATTGGGTGACACATAACAAGATTTCTCTTTTAGTTTGTATGGGATTGAAAGAAGTGGTTGTAGTGGTAACAGTTGCCAACAGAGATTTTTTAGAGTGAAATTTTGGTTTTCATATTTTAATGTGGGAATTTATAAAGTTAATTTATTGAAGCATGTTATACATTGATACAGGTAGTATGGCAACCAACTTTGTTGTAAGTTTATTTGAAAAGGAAATTGTAGTCCTTTTTGGTGTTGTAACAAGGAAATCTAGACATGAACAACTTTTTTCTTTTTCGTTTGCAAAGAAAGTTGTTTGGTTGCTTAGGTGTTCATGAAAATTAATGTAAATTAGATTATTTGTTAATTGGTGTATGAAGGCATTCAGTATAGATAGCTATGTTTTAAATTTGGGATTCCTTTGGAATTTTGGATAAAGTATATACCTGTAAGTCCAGGTTGAGAATAAGAAGAGATTAGAGAAGTAAATGTTCAGTAAAATCTTCACATTTAGGGGCCGGAATGTAAGATACTAATCTCTGTTTTGTGAGGACATTTTTTGTTTCAGTTGACGATCGGAGTATGACGTCAGAAGCGATGTTTTTTTTTTGTTGAATTTTTGGTCTGCCGAGTGGGGGCGTAACAATTTAGCTGCAAATGATTCTCAATTTTGGGAAAAGTCATCCTTCTGATTGCGATCAATATTTAGTATTTCCAGACAAGCCCACTGTTGTGAGTATAATTTGAACATATGATGTTGATAATTGATAACTAGCCGTCAGTTTGAGTTGGGTGTTGGTTTATACAGTTCATAGTTTTCAGATAATTTGATGTATAAAATTTGTTATGAAAGTGATTTGTACGCACAGTAACTTTGTATGATGCATTACACGTGCAGTTACATAATACGGTTCATGTGTGTAGTGCTATGGGGATAGTCTGTTGTACAGACCGTGTTGTGTTATTTTAATATCATTTATATATAGGCAGTTGTATAAAATGACAGAATGTAGATAAATTCTGGTAACTGTAGACATGTATATAAAGAGGAATTCAGTGTAATATGTAACTTCAGTAGACATGCATTAATCATACAACTAATTTGATGCAAGATTGTTTGTAAACAGTTTAAAATTGACATATTATTTATGATTGTTTAATTCTGATTAAATTTCAGGTTGAACCGCCTTTTATGAACGGTATCGCATCATGCTTGAAATTGTCGCTATTTATTGAGTGCAGTCAGTCCGATTGGTTGGTTATACGCTACATAGCCCATGAAACCCTGTCATTATCAAGGGTTACTTCCGTTGATTTCGATAGGGTTCTCAACACTTCATAAAAACAGAATTATTGTTTTCATTTTCCTGATGAGAAAATCTAAAGTAAAAACCAAGCTCCATGATTTTCAATAACATATTTTTGCTTTTTTTCCATGACCAGATAAATAAGATTTTGGTATGGGTTATGGTATCTAAGCAGCACCCAAACTGTCAGTTAAAACAGGTAGGCTGTCATAGACACACACGCCCCACACCCAAGATCAGTTCCTATGACTTTCCATGACGATGGGAATTTTCATTTATCATTTTCCAAGACTTTCCAGGTTTTTTCCACGACCATATGAATCCTGTCAAGAATCATCAAAGGAATTAGTTTACACAACATGCAGTGTGGACAACTGACAAAATACCATAGACTAATTTCTTTAATTTGGGACGGTAAAGATCCCTGATTTCCCATTATTATTGTGATTTTTCTAAAAATTCCAGGACTTTAACAGACTCCAAGCATGAACACTCATTTTCCAGGTGCCCCTTAATTTTCAAGAGAGATCAAAGTACTTTTTCTTCTTTCTTAGAATTTACTATTATTATTATTATTATTATTATTTATTCGGCAATTCACACAAAATATAACAATGTAAATATAAGTAAACAAACATTAAGAGCATGTCAATTATAAATGCACAATCTTCCTGGTGGTCCTCTGAGTGCATCAGTTGGCTGCCGGGGAAGAGGAAAGCAAACTAAATCACTGTAACCGTAATGGTCCCTCTTCCAGACCAACTGGTGCACCCAGAAGACCTGCAAAATATAGCATGAAGGTAATTAAAATGTATAACATTTCGTAAACAAACCAGGTGACAAAAACAAAGCACAAGGAGGAAATCATATTAATATGTATGATGACACTAGGTCATGACACGATACTGAACATTAAAGGTAATACAAAGTTTTGGGAAATTTTGAAAAATTGGGTGGATAGTGATTCTTTACAATTTTGATATATTTTAACTATAGTTTAACTCTCCGGAGCTGACATATGCACAAACTAATTACTTCCATCACCATGGTTACCTTGGTTTTGTAGTTTCTCCCTGTATCCGCCGAGATTGAGATGTTTTAGTTGTGTCGGGAGAACGCTGATGACCTCCTTGAGATTCTCAGCACTCAGATTTAACCAAGAAATATTGAGACTCTGCAAACTGATCAGAAGAAGAAAAATATAAAAATAATAAAGACATTTATAAGGCGCAACATATCCACCCAGAGGGTGTGTTAGGGAGACTGTTTCACAATCTGGGAGCTGCTGAGGCAAATGCTTGATCTCCCCATGATTGTCTGGTATTTAGGGATGATCAGAGTTGATGTATTGGCAGAATGGAGACCAGAACGACCAGGCTTGCGAAAGGTGAGTAGAGAAGAGATGTACTGGATATGTAAGGGCAACTTGTTACAACAAACTATTTAGGAGTTTAAGTTGTGTCTGCAGAATACCATTGACCTCTTTGAAAGAAACCTGTACAGAAAATAATAATACAATGGATGAACCATGTGATAACAAACCCTGAGGGAGTTTTTAGTAATGTCTGGAGAACACCGAACTACCTTCTTGAGGATTAGCCTCAATGTTCAATAAAATGGGGCTCCACTGCATCTAGGTGTTGTGGTCGAGTGGTCGAGTGGATACGTCGCCGGACTGTCGATCACAAGGTCTGCGGTTCGAGTCCCGCCGCCACACTACTGTCCTTTGGCAAAACATTGATCTACATTTGCCACACTCCACCCAGGTGAAGTAAATGGGTACCTGGTACGAATTCCTTGAAACGCAGCGCGCGTAACAGCTGCACTGCTAAACCTAGGGTAATTATGCTGCATTATTGTAGAGCGCTTAGAGACTTCTGATAAAGTAAGTACTAGGCGCTATATAAGCAAATATAATTATTATTATTATTGTACAGGATTTGAAACTAAAATCTATTTCCGCCAATTGAACAACAGTGTGATAGAAACTGGTCTGAAGTCATTCTGAATTGTTTGTCATGTAATAAATGACTAGCAACATGTACATAAACTATAAAAAAAAAAAAAAAAAAAAAAAAAAAAACGATTTTCCTGACTGTGATATATTTTATGGAAATAAGTTGTTCTTGGGAACTGTAGGTGGTCACAGACCGATAAAATAATGCATTCTTAATAAGACAACATTGTAAAATGATCTGTGTGGCTGCACATTTAGGTCTATTTTCTCCTTTGAAGAAAATCTTCTCAAATAGATTGTTTTTTCTTTGCTAAATCTAAGTAACTCACCCTGGAGCCGATCTGATGAGTGTTGTCAAAGCTTCAGGTTTGGTCAGGTGACACATGGCAAGATCTAACACCTCAAGGGCAGTGCTGTGTTCCGCCAAGGTGAGAAGGGTGTCCCCGTCGAGCTGGCAGCTCTCCAGACTCAGCCTCGTGAGGGAGTGACATTGGGCGAGAATGGCTTGGATGTTGGCCGGGTCATCGTTGATGCAGGCAGAGAGATCCAAGGACTGGAGTTGCAGGGAGTTGGAGGGGGCAGGGTGCAATCTAGAGCTATAATCAGAAACACCACAAGGAAGTTTAAAAACAATCTAGAACTAATATAAAAATATTCAAATTCAGAGAAATATTTGCGAGGTCAGCATAGTGAACAGTAAATGTTCAAAATTCAACTTTTAAAGCACTTGAGGAACTTGATGAACACCCCTGTACTTTTCTCAATTCATTGAAGAATCTTGAAGATTGTATCTCTGTATAATATAAACATTATGCTTTCAAGAAGATCAAGGCTCTCCTAGGAATGATCACATTCTGGATTTTTTATCCTGCAGTAGATTGATTTTTTTTAAACCAGTAAAATAAAAACAACCTTACAAAAACTTGCTGGAAATCATCTTCAATAAAATCCACAACTCTCATTTGCACATAGTGACCTGTGTTAAGCACATGGTGTTGGGCCTACTTACCTGGATTTCCTTATCTTCCAATGCTCATTACTCAGCCACTATACCAGAATCTTTTGGCTCATGTTATTTATTTGTAATCTCAAACATTCAGTGTAAGTTTTGTTGGATTGATGGATTCTGTGAGAATTTATTTTCTATTACCAGAACTCAAGCTTATCTAGACAACTCATAAAATCAAATGTATGTTGTGAAATTCATCAAGAGTAATTTCACAAGAACAATGTTTCAGGATCAAACAAACAAAGAAATATACTCCTTTGTGCAATGACAGTTGCTAGTACTGTTGGCACATAGCACGCATTTGATCCAAGTTTGAATCACATGGCCCCCAATGTAAAAGTTCATGAACTTGGCCATATTTCAAATGACCTTTGACCCACTCCGGTCCGTACTTGATGCTTTTATATCTAAGTGAGACTAATGTACACGTTGTCATGCCATTTGATAGTTGGCAATCATTACCCAAGGCATGCAGACATACATATCAAGAAATGGCCCGATGGGTAAACCAACATCCTCCTGTGCTAGGGACATTATTAATAATATGACTTTCAAGATGACCTTGAGTGCCCTACCTGTCAAGGTCACCTGGCTCGTCCTCTTCCATTGCACTATCGTCAAGGTCAGCGTCAAAGACAGGTCCATTGATGGTACACCGGGAGAGTTTGGCATGGATGATGCCCCTTTCCAGGATCAATCCCAGAACCCCGGGCAGGAAGTTACGTGACGAGAGGTCAACCCTTTTCCAAAGCTCCTCGTCATAGCTGTGAATAAAAGGGGAGTTGAAACGAGGGGTCAAACACTTTTCGCTCTGAGCATCGGTTCCTTCAATAATTGCAGTACCTGATATGCTAAATCTAAGATAAAATACCTTAAAGTGTGGGAAAGCAATATTTTAAAACAAAAGCATGGATGCAGTGAAAAAAATACACGGGGGCTCGGGGCGAATTAGCCCCCGAAATGCCTAAAAGAGCCCCCAAAATCAGAAAAGAGCCCAAGTAAATTTGCATAGAGTTCAATGCAAAACAAATTTTAGAATGTTATTTTCATGCAGGCAAGGTTGAAAAGTAGCCCCCGAAAAATAAATATTAATTTTTTCCCTGCATGGATGCTTGTATGGACATAAAATTCTACACCGAAAGGCTACAAAAATGTTAGACTGAGAAACTAGTTGATCTATTTGAGAGTCAAAATTTCTTTCTTTTCAGAAGTTTCTACCGGTATTTGCTTTGTAAAAAATCACTATTCCAGCATTTTATTTGTGTTTTTTATTTCAAGTTTTAAGTCTGGTAAATGCTTATAGAGCTTAGCAGAGCTATCACTATGCACTCATACGTATGTTCTGTTGTTTTAGAATGTACAGATACGTTATTACTGTATCTCATAAAAGAGTCTAATCCTCTCCAAGGCCGTCTTGAAAACTGCAAATAAAACATAGCTCTACACATTCTTTACATTCTCAAATAACAAAAGAATATATTTATGACACTATGAACATGACAGACAAAGAAATCGGACAAAATATACAGTTCCTCAGGTAGACAAAGGAACATCCCTTCACTGCCATTATGTAAAAAGGTGAATATGCATGTGACACCTGTTCTACACATGTTTACATAATAACAGTGAATGGATGTTCTTTTGTCTACCTGAGGAGCTGTAAATTTTGTCCGCTTGCTTTGTCAGTCATGTTCATAGTGTGAGTGCATAGTCATAGCTCTGCTAAGCTATATTAGCATTTGCCAGATTTAAAACTTTCAACAGAGAGATTTAAATTCTCTAACATTGTTATATAATTTATGTTATTTGTAGTTATCTGTTTATGATATGTTGATGTATTGTTATATTTTATACAAATGTGAGTCGTAAGACGATTTTTATGCCTTCTCTTATTTTGTGCATGACAATAAAGAAATTCAATTCTGGCCGCTCTACACATTCCGATCCCCACTGAATATTCAAATCTTAACTTGAATATTCATGAGGGTATTGATGAAGACCACACCCACCTTAGTCGCCTCCACCTCCTACACACCTTGGCACTGTGTGTAAGACTTTTCTTTGGTAACCAGCGAAAGACTGACAGAATGACTTCGTCCGATAGAAACAAAAATGGATCTGTGAAACAAAAAATAAAAATATAATGTCTCTGTCAAAAAGTTGAGAGAATTTTAATTTTGATCGTAAATAATGCTTCAGAACCTCTCGATTTGTTGCCAATTATTTTAAAGCTTATTTTCATTTTAAAAATTCCTGACATCGAACGCAATATAGTCACTGGTCAGGCAAGAAAAATGAATGCAGTGTTTAAAAAATATAAGGAAACATAAGAAGTATAAGAATTTTTTGCTCTTTCTACTCTACATCAGGTATATTTTTAGGGTTCTGAATAAAAAGTTATTGAGCCGAACCACAAAATGTGTAATCAGAAAGAGTAAAATTTTAATATCAATATCTTGCTGTTCATCGATTAAAATAGATGTTTGGCTCAACCTTCATGTACATCAGCATTCAGTATGGTTATGAAGATGAGGTTCTAACAGTAATGCCTTCTTTAAATCTTCATAATAATAACAATAGTGGGTTCCTGTGTAGCACTCACGTCTGTCAGACATGATGCTCCTGGCGCTTCACAATCATTACCCCAGCTTTAGCATGGCTGCCATTATGGCACTCTAGATAGCTTTGTAAGGAATTAATCCCTGCTAGGTACCCATTTACATTACTTGGGTCGAGAAGGGCAAATATAGATTAAGGTTTTGCCAAAAGATGTTTGCGGTGCGTTAGGCATTCAAACCTTTTAGAAATTCTATTTTTATCTGAAGAAAATAGGTCATTAGAAAGATGAAGATGTATTCTACAGTAACGGGAGAAGAAAAATTAAGTTTAAAAGGGAAAAGGCGAAATACAGTAAACATGGATGAACCAAAGAAGACACACACCAGTACCCGACTGTCCTTTGTTTTTGAAGATGCGTCGTACACAGCTACAGTTCTGTCCGTTGTGGAGATGGTTTTGTGCTGATGCTCTAACAGCATTTGGACTGGGAGTGGTGTGTTCGATAACAGGCTTGATCACTACCGGGTCAGTCTGTAAGGCAAGAAATTATCGCGAAAAGTGTTGTTTATTGACTCAATATCATTCCTCCTTTTCCCTTATTCGCATATATGTCTACAGTTTCCTATTAATGTCTTGAGGTTATATATGGGTCCCACTCCCAGATGTTGCCTTTTTGAGAAAAAAAAAGTCTTTAACTTGATTTCCAACTTCTCTAGGACTCTTATTATTCTGGTTAAAAATAAACAATACATTTTCTGCAATTTTATCATTAAAAAAGTTAACAGTTAGAGCTTGGCAAAGAAATGTGCTTGAGCACTGTGCAGGGTATCAGCTAACAATAGCACTCTCAGGGATAGTCTTGGTTCGATCTGATCTAAGCTCTAGGAAGGGTAGAAAAGGAATACTAAAATCTTGAGTTGAGGTCAGTAACCTTATTAACATTTGGGACACATGTAGCTTGGACATGCCCTTTGAGAGTGGGCCTATATTTTTTTAGAAATAAATGGAGACACTGTGAAAGAGTTACCTTTTGGGATTGAAGACTTTTATTCTTTTGTTTCTGGGTACACTGTTTCGAATCCACCGTGTCTAGGTCCATCACTCCAAGATCTTCGTAGATTTCATGGGTCATGTTAGGGTCGAAGTCCCAAATGACACCTGCCCTATCATGACCTGGGTCATTCATTGTGATGTCATCCATTACTACTAGCGCAGAAGACATCGGTGTGGACTGTGAGGCGACAGTTGCTGCCTACAAAATGAAACATAATTATTACATCATGCATATGCATACTTACCCTACTGCTGAAATAATAGTTATTAATTATTAAAGAAAAGAAAAGAAATTATGGACTAGTTCAATGCGCATAATCATCAAAAATTAGACAAAATCCACACTGGGACCCAACCACTAATGGCACTATTTCATCAATTGAACAGTGTCGTGTTGGGATCGGTGTGTTAAGTTATTGAAGTATTTAGAGGTACATAAAATAAAGAGAAGCTGAGACTTTCTTTGAAGTGTAATATCCAAGAGTACAATTTATTATCTCTCTAAAAACGATGAGTCGCATAGTCCAGATTCACAAGTATATTTACAAGATATAGAGCAAAGTATAGGTACTAGCTTGGTGATGGTCTGAACTCTTCTCCCCTCAGAAAGCCAGAACATCCCCTAATTATACAGGAGGACACAAGGAATAGGAGGGTGTCATGATGTTCGATTAGACATGATATTGATATCGATGTAAACAATGTGATCGAGAGATAATGTAATGCATTGCATGTTGCAAGGTCAAGAGGTCAAATACGGCATGTTACATGTTCGTCAAGCCGGAGCGGAAAGGATACAATAAAGACTATGAGACTCGTAATACTTGTGTTGAATTCCATTTATTCTATATCCTGGTTAGGATATGACATTGGCGACGAGGATGAAAGTCATATAGGACAATTGTAGATCTGTTTGAGAAGGAAAATGGCGTTTGGAGGCGCAGATATCAAGGGACTTGGTCAGTTTGATCCGACCGGAGACGGCAGTGTTGTGAGTGAAAGATGGCAGCGCTGGTATGAGGAGTTTGATGCGTACGCAGATAGCCTCGGTGTGTTTGTCGACGGGGCAGAGCCGGCGCAGTTGACTCGACGTAGAGCCTTGATGATGTACTCGGCTGGAGCGGCTGTGCGGGAAGTTTTCAAGACCCTTGAGGATACTGGCACCAAGGCAGATTATGACAAGGCTGTGAACGCTTTGGAGAAGCATTTTGTTGTGCAGTCAAATTCTACCTTTCAGCGTCATGTTTTCAGACAGATTACTCAGCAGGCGGATGAGACTGTGTCGCAGATGGTGACACGGCTTAAGAAGGCAGCAGAAGGCTGTGCTTTCAGAGATGATTTGGAGAACCAGATTCGTGATCAGGTCGTTCAAGGGTTGCGGTCATCTAGACTGCGAAGGAAACTTTTGGAAAAGGGTACTGCACTCACCCTAACTGCAACCTTGGCGATAGCAGCGTCACTTGAGGCCGTGGAGGCCATGGATTCTCAATTCAGAAAACTGTCATCGGTGGAAGAGTTTCCTAGCTCTAGTTCCCAGGTCCGTCAGGTCAGTAATGAAACCCGTGAATGCTTTAATTGTGGGAGAACTGGGCACAGTTATAAGGACTCGACATGTCCAGCCAAGGGACGGATATGCCACACATGTGGGAAAAAGGGACACTTCGCCACAAAGTGCAGAGATGGTTCAGGGAAGAAGGAGCAGACAAGTGGACCAAGCTTTAAACCTAGAGGAAAATGGGGACAGAAAAGGCAAGGTCACAAAGTGCGACAAGTGGATGAATGCACATGTCACTGTCAGAATAAGCAAGGTGATGAACAGAACCATAGTGATGATAGTGAGAGAGGATATGCATTCGCTATTGATACTGACAAGTGTGAAAAGGTGCCTGTTGTGATTGGAGGAGTACCAGTTGATATCATAGTAGATTCTGGAAGCACTGCGAATATCATTGACAGAGCATTATGGGAGTTCCTGAAGACAGAGAAAATTACATGCTCATCCCGAAGGTGTAACAAAAAGCTCTATCCGTATACTTCTGTAGAGCCACTTCAGACCATTGGATGTTTTAAAGCTGTGGTCAAGGCAGGTGAGAGAAGTGTAGAAGCTGAATTTGTTGTCATTGCAGAGAAAGGCGAACCACTGATGAGTAGAAAAACGGCATTAGCCCTTGGTGTGCTACGGATCGGGATTGATGTGAACTCTGTGAAATCATATGTAGATATGAGAGAAGAATTCAAGCCAGTATTCCAAGGCGTTGGAATACTGCGTGATCGACAAATCAAGCTGAAAGTTGATCCCGAGATTAGACCTGTAGCCCAGCCAGTTCGAAGAACACCATTCGGTTTGAGAGACAGAGTGAAGGAGAAGATCCAGGAACTAGTCGAGCAAGACATTATAGAGCCTGTGGAAGAACCTACACCGTGGGTTAGTCCTGTAGTCATAGTACCCAAGCCTAATGGAGATATCCGGATATGCATTGACATGAGGCGGGTCAATGAAGCCATTGTGAGGGAGAGACATCCGATACCGACAGTGGATGAAATACTCCAAGAGTTGTCAACAAGCAAGGTGTTCTCAAAAATTGATCTAAAATGGGGATATCATCAGTTGGAGTTAGATCCTGAATCCCGAAAGTTGACCACGTTTGTAACACATTGCGGACTATACCGTTACAAGAGATTGTTATTCGGTGTGAATGCAGCACCTGAGATCTATCAGCACGAGATCCACAAAGTGCTTCAAGGACTACCTGGTGTTGCAAACATTTCTGATGACATCATCATTCATGGTGCCACGCAGGAAGAGCATGATGAGAGGCTTCGACAGACCTTGACACGATTGAAAGATGCAGGATTAACGGCCAATGCAGAAAAGTGCCTGTTTGGTGTGTCCGAGTTAGTATTCATGGGACACAAGTTGACAAAGGACGGCATCAACCCCACCAAGGCCAAGATTGAGGCTGTAGCAAACGCATGTGAGCCAAAGAATGCAAGTGAAGTACGAAGTTTCCTGGGCCTAGTGAACTTTTGTGCAAGGTTCATCCCAAACTTGGCAACGGTGGCGGAACCTCTTCGGAGGCTGACTAAGAAGGATCAGAAATTTGAGTTTGGCATGGAACAGAAGCAGGCTTTTCAAACACTGAAGGACAGTTTGAGTAGTGCCCATACTTTGGGTTACTTTGATCTAAAGGCCCCCACGCAAGTTATTGCAGATGCCAGTCCTGTGGGACTTGGAGCTGTGTTAGTGCAGAAGCAAGATGGTGAATACAGAATTATAGCCTATGCAAGCCGTTCTTTGACAGCAGTTGAGCAAAGGTATTCACAAACAGAGAGGGAGGCGTTGGGACTCGTATGGGCGTGTGAACACTTTCACGCGTATTTGTACTGGAACGAGTTTGAATTATTGACGGATCATAAGCCACTAGAAGCAATCTACTCACCCAGATCCAAACCATGTGCACGTATTGAACGATGGATGCTTCGACTTCAGCAGTACAGATACAGAGTAGTGTACATAGCTGGGAAGACGAACATCGCGGATTCGCTATCTAGGATGCTGGATGTGGATAAACTGAGAAGCTCTACATTGGAGGATGAAGCAGAGTCATTTGTTAGATTTGTTGCCACACACTCTACCCCGAGGGCAATGAGGACAAGAGAGATTGAGGAAGAATCTGACAAAGATCCAGAGTTGTTAGATTTGAGGGAAAGAATCCAGAAGGGCGATTGGAATACATGTCCATACAAGGTGTATTCAGCCATCAGGGACGAGCTGTGCATCATTGGGAGATGCGTACTGAGAGGGAGTCGACTTGTAATACCAACTCAGTTGAGACCAAGGATGATAGCGTTGGCTCATGAAGGTCATTTGGGAATTGTTGGCACGAAGCAAAATCTCCGATCGAAAGTGTGGTGGCCCGGCATGGAGAAGGAAGTTGAACGCTATGTAAAATCTTGTCATGGGTGCCAGATTGTAAGCAGACCCAGTCCACCTGAGCCAATACGAAGTACGCTCTTACCAGCTGGTCCATGGGAGGATGTCGCAGTAGATTTTTTGGGACCACTACCATCTGGTGAATCAATTCTAGTGATCATTGACTATTACAGTAGATATTACGAATATATTGTGATGCGATCTACAACAGCAGAGAAGACGGTGGCAGCTCTAGCAGGGATCTTTGCAAGACATGGTTTGCCACTAACGCTGTATTCTGACAATGGGCCTCAATTTATCTCGCAAGTCTTTGCAGACTATATGAGGCTGACAGGTGTACACCACCATAGGGTTACACCTAAGTGGCCTCAGGCAAATGGTGAGGTTGAGCGACAGAACCAATCCCTCGAGAAGAGAATGAGAATTGCTCATTCAGAAGGCAAAGACTGGAAGGAGGCGCTGTTGTCATATGTTGCAGCATACAGAGCTACACCACATAGCACAACAGGTAAAAGCCCAGCTGAGCTACTCTTCGGACGGAAGATCAGGACAAAGTTACCTGTTATCAGTGAATCTCTAAATGACCAAGAGATCAGAGACCAGGACGCTGAGAGCAAAGGTGCATCAAAACTGTATGCAGACTCTAAGAGGGGTGCCAAACCATCTGATGTGGTGCCAGGAGATGAAGTTCTGGTGAGGAGGGAAGTGTCTAGCAAAATGGACACACCATTTCTACCACACAACCATACACAGTTGTATCCAGAGAGGGCAACAAGCTGACCATTTGCTCACCAGAAGGTGTGATGTATGCTAGGAACACATCACATGTGAAGAAGTATCATCGACAGGGTATTCCGTCTGACATAGGAATACTGCAGCCGGAAGCTGAGACTACAGAGGCCCAGGTTCCACTCTACCATGGTGTTGGTGCTGAATTGATAACACCGCAGTCTGATGTCGAGACTACTAGTGATCAGAGCCAACATGAGGGGACTGAGCGTCAGATGGGAGTTCCGAAGACCGTACCATCACCGACCCGGACATCAATTTGGAGCAGACCAAAACGCCATCGTTTGAGGCCCAAGCGATTTTCTGATTATTTGTTGGAATGACGATTCCGTGGAAACAGCCATCTAGTATTGTGACGCGAAGTGTTCAACCAGTAAAAGTGACACAACAAAGTTTTTCAGTCATTTTAATGTTTGAGTGTTAAAATGTTTCACAAAGAGTTCAAGTGCTATTTTAGCAAGTACATAGGGTGTATGCCTGTACGCTGCCCTATATTTAATGGAATGTTCACTACATTAGGGTGTATGCCTGTACGCTGCCCTATAGTCAATGAAAAGTTCAGTAACCGGGTGTATGCTTGTACGCTGCCCTATTTGAAGAAGAAAAAAAAAGTTTGGGGTGAATGCTTGTACGCTGCCCTATTTGAAGAAAAAAAAAAGTAGTTTTGGGTGCATGCTTGTACGCTGCCCTGAGTTAAAGTGATTAATTAGTGAAATTTAAACCAAAAAAAAATGAGAGAAGAAAAGGGTGCAAGCTAGTGCCAAGAGAAACGTGGGGATTCATCTCAAAGCAAACTCTCAAGTTGTTAGCTGACTTTGAAGCTCAGTGAAAGACTAGCAGCTGAAGAAAGAACATTATAAGATTAATTATAATGAGAACTCTAAAATGTCTCATGACAGATCTGATCAACATCCAACCCAGAGATGAATATTGAGAACTCTAATGCATGCGTCTTATGAAAGACTCATATTATAAACAAACAGAGACTTTATAGTTAAAGCAGTTTGATATGTCAGTCAAGTAGTTAAATGGAGTGAGTTGATCATACACTGCATATATTGTAATGTCAAGTTGTTTGAAGATTCATTTCATGATGTGTATGATGAGAAATGTATAAGTTCTGAATTGGGAGTTCATTGTTTTAAAAACAAAAAACAATGTGTGTTTGGCTGAAGTTCAAGTTCAATAGTTCGAAGTTAAGTAATACACGAGTCGTTATTAGTATGAAAACAAACAAACGATATTTGGATATCGATTTGGTCAATGGAAAAGTCACATACATGTATTATATTGATACAAACAGTTCAAAACTTATTGCATGCTAAAACAAGTTTTGAAATCAGGGTTCATGTTTATTCATTGAAGTAAAATGGAAAAGATGTCTTTTAATCTGATAAGGGAGGGATGTCATGATGTTCGATTAGACATGATATTGATATCGATGTAAACAATGTGATCGAGAGATAATGTAATGCATTGCATGTTGCAAGGTCAAGAGGTCAAATACGGCATGTTACATGTTCGTCAAGCCGGAGCGGAAAGGATACAATAAAGACTATGAGACTCGTAATACTTGTGTTGAATTCCATTTATTCTATATCCTGGTTAGGATATGACAGAGGGTAGGTTACATTGTGTCAAAGGGACAAAGACAAGTCAATGCTAGCTAACACTGTTCTGGGAAAGGGTCTTATCAAACAAAGGGGGCTTTGGTTATTGGGAGAAAGACAGGAAGTCTTTTGTTTTGGAGGTTTAGGGGCACTTTAAAGATGTATACAATTTGAGGTTTATTTAGCTGGAATAAGTTATTAAACAAATGTCTTCGAAGGAGGTCTGGTATTTCGCAGGGTGGGTCTTATCTGTATTGGGGCATACTGAGTGATATTACATATTATTACTGAGGGGGTGTAGATTTGTAATACCTAATTTACATAACAACAGCTAAATTAAAATTTTTAATTTAACAAAAGTTCCATTGTTTTTCCCTGGCTGGTCACGAACATTACCCCAACTTCCCCAAGTTAGTTCATTTTCTCCATGACCTTAGAGTCTACTAAAATTAACTTGAACATTGTTTGACTTCAAACTCAAAGTTTGAGGCAATTCTTTTCTCTTGAAATACCTCATCACTCAATCATTCTGAATTTAACGCACAATTGCATACCAATATGTAGACAAATCTCAGTGAATGGAGGTGGAAAAAAAAGACATAACAATCTGAATCAAAGTTACACAGCATCATGATGCACCATTGATTGAACAGACATGAGCCAACCCCATGAGATAGTGGCCATAAAAGCTTTCACGCAATCAATCTGCATGCAGTGGAATGCAGTAGTGCTGCTGTGCCATGTTATTGATAATTCCATGGTAAATATTACTTCTATCTCTACATTATTACATTTACTAAACAAACAGAAACAAATCAAGATGAATGAGAGCTAGTGCATACATGGAGCTGGAGCCGAGGCAGTCGCATCACATGGCATTGCACCGGTCCGTACCCTTGACCGACCGGCTCGCAATAGCACTCCGCTGTCACACGCACGCAGCTAGCTAGCGCTAGCTTGCTCAGCTCATCTATGCTCAGCTCAGCACAGAAGAAAAGCACTTTGTTTTCAATTCAAGCTCTGTGCTCAGACTCTCCATCGTATATCTCTCATTTTGTATAAATCCAGATAGTCTACACTGGATTCGTTGTAATTCTTTCGTACTTACCAAACAAAACTGAAGAGATAAATTACTTCATTTCACGTCGAGCTTAAAAAGTGTCTTCTTTGTGTCTTTTGAGCTTTTTCGAGATCCAAGATGTAAACAAACTCGGCGTGCACGCTGACTATGCTGGCGCCGCGGTGGCCGAACTTCCCACCAAAATAATAGGCGGGATCGGGAGCCAATGAAAATTCAGTTTTAAGGTCCCATGAAATCAAAGCATTTCCCTTTTTTGTCATGTAGAAAATACTCATACCATTAATATGTTGTGATTTTAATTTTTTAACGATGCGAGATTGATTAGTTACAGTGATTTTCCTTAGTTAATTATATGATTTCCCACGCCACTAAGCACCGCCTCCAAAAATTGGCCCCTTCCACCGCTGCAACTGGGGAACTCCCTAGTCAGTCTTTATAAAAGGCTGCGTAATTTATAAGCTCTCTAGTTTGAATGCTTAACAAAACTATTAATAATTTTTTTTTTTAATAAAGCACACATTTCAATGTAATGTTCCGTGTAATCATTCGCTTTTCTTTTCTAAAATCAAGATCATCAATATCGAAAACTAATACTATATTCTATAATCACCCTACTGAATATAGGCTAGGCGATGTAAATCAACGTTGCAATCTAATACAACAATATTGCAAATTCGGGAGAAATAAATACTACAATGAAAGCACCATAAAATGCCATCTCATATCGTTCTCTGCAGTATTTGATGAGACGAGTTGTCAACGTCCTGTAGTGATCATGGCAGCTGCTTCACAAACAACCGATAGATATACGTTCTTTTACGGTGAAAAGAGTGCCCCTTTCAGTCAGTTTCGGGCAGCAAACTTTGAGGTTGATGGAGTGCAGTACACTTGTGCAGAGATGTACATGATGCATCAAAAAGCAGGTAGATCTTGATATATTCACGCATATTAAATGACATATGATTCATAAATCGTAGTATCCATTTGTTAGGGATAGGGCCAGGATAATGACTTAGAAATTATAATGCAGATTTATTCTACATTAAAACACATGAAGTTGTGAGTTCTAGTATCATTTTTTTGTTCCACTTAAAAATTGGATCGATGGATCTGTTCTCTATTTTTTGTAAACTAAAATAAAAGTAAAAGCAACTTACTTCTTAATCGTATTTCATGTGAATATTGCTGATGATTGCTCCATATTATTGATACATAAGAAAATGATGTTCATCTGAATTGGTTCCTTGTAAAGACCCTTCACCCTTATATTTATAGCATTGATGGTTGATGGTTGATCATTAATTTTTCGCCTGACTGCTAAGAAAGCATCCCTAAATGTTTGTAAGTGAGCAACCAGATGCAGAAGACAGACGGCTAATTTAAATCCTCTCTGAGTCCCGAGGGACATGGTAATAAGGTTTAATGCCTTACTAGAGGGCACAAGTACATTGACTTGATTTTGAAGTTGGGACCTCTCGAGAATATTGCTCTACCACTGAGCTATCTCGATCACCTCCTCCGATACAAGAGTCGACTTTACCAACAGAATGAAAAGCACTAATGTAAAAAAAACTAGGAAATTTGAGTTTGCAAAGGTGCCAATGATTTCCTAATGGTTTAATACCTTACTGTGCTTGGGAGAAGTGAAAAAAAGATTTTAAAACATTTACCGAAAACTATAACTTACAAGTTACAATTTTAGTCTTAGTTTTTACTCTTTGTTATTTTTTTTCAGTGTTGTTTGGGGACCATGAGATTGCAGAGCAGATTCTGTTAGGGACCAAGCCAATGGCAATCAAAGCTCTGGGCAGGAAGGTTAGGAACTTTGATGAAGAAGTTTGGAAACAGAACAGGAGACAGATTGTCAAGAAAGGAAACTTGGCTAAGGTAAAGACACTTGACAGAACTTTGATACTTGATGAGGAAGACAATTTATTGCAAGAGATTGTATCAGCTACTTGGTATTTGATAAGGAAATCCAATTGTAATTTACTAAAAAGTCTCATCAAATATGAAGAATTATTATCAAAGAATATTGATGGGGATTATTTTTTAATATATATACATGAACAAATTGCATAACTTTTGAGAGGGATGTATTTTTCTCAGACATTGATTATAGAATATAGACTTGCCTAATTAGAAAAGTAAGGGAAGTGAGGGAAGAGAGACACAAAAACTTATATTTAAACTGATAGGAGACAATTACCCTCTCATTTGGTATACTTTTCAAATTGATTTTTTTAGTTATGGTACATGGAATGCAAAATCAGAAACTTACCTGATATAAAAAGGGTTTCGTTTGTAATGTAGTCTTATATTTTATCGATAACCTGTTGAGAGCAAGTGCCGTACATCCAAACTTACCCCCCCCCCCTGTTCCTTCTCTCCAACAGTTCTCACAGAATCCAGATATCCGAGCCGAGCTGATGGCAACGCGAGGTACGACACTGGTGGAGGCAAGCCCTCGAGATAAGATCTGGGGTATTGGAATGGGAAAGGACAATCCACACGCTAAGAACAAGAGCAAATGGAGAGGTCAAAATCTCCTTGGGTACATTCTTACTGAGGTCAGGGAGGAACTTGAGAAGGAGGACCAGGACAAATAAAATCTTGAGCGGCACTCCCGATGCTGACTTTTGGAGAAGCTTGTTCACTCATAGTTAAATAGAAAATATAAGATAGAAGATAGAAGAGTGTCTTGCTGTAGAGCTTAAAGGGATCCGATACCTTTGTCTGAGATCCTTTGAAAAAATCCTTGATTTAGCTCATGCTGCAGTGATAATTATAAGCCTTTAGGTCAGTCAGGAACCCCATGACTTTTACAAGCCTGTCTGATTATCAAGATATTTATGATTGAAAATCAAAATCAAATTTTGCGTTTGCCAAACGGTTTTCATAACCCTGCAGTCTATTGGGGAAAACGAGTACCAGGTATGGTAAAACCGGTCACTCAAAGGTTTTTACTTTTTGAGGCACTTCTTGATAATTTTGAAGCGCAATTTTTTTAGGGCTTCACTATAACACCATATCACAGACACTGATAACACATAGGGCTGTGCATCTCAGATTTAACATGGTTAAATGATCCCTTTAAGGCCAAGTTGTATCGGATGTCATCTGCTAGTAGCTGCTCTGCCCTAACAGGGGCTGACCGACCCCCACATAACTTTGTGCATATAAGTGCACATAATCTATATCTCGAGATATGTTCCCAAGGTGTGCATGAACGGAATTCACTTAATAATCATGTCAAAAGCATTACAACTCGTACAAGGTTTAAATATTCATGTAAACAGTTAATGTTGTGAACTGAGTAGAAGCTTCTTCATCTCCTTCATCTTTCTCTGAATCTCTAAGCTTTTATTTTTGTTTCTATACTCTCTCTTTAACTCTCACTCTCTCTCTCTCTCTGTAACTCTTTAACTCTCTCTCTCTCTCAACTCTTTAACTCTTTGCGTCTATCCCTTTTCTTCTGTGAAAATGTTCTGCATATGTTGGAACTTGTATGTAATATATATGCTGCTGAGTGTTTTTTTATGTGAATACGGGTATGTACTGGGTGTATGTTTTTGCTTTTCATTACTATTGCCTGTTCATTATTTTGATTCAAATTTCATTGATATTCCTTATTTCTTTATATGTGTATATGTACAGAGCCCCTCCTCAGGAGCTATGTTTTCTTAGGGGTCCTTCCAGTGATTTTTGTGTATGTATTTATTATGTAATTATAATGTTTTTCATGGAAAATAAATTGAAATTGAATTGAATAGAATTAAATTGCATTTTAGCAGATATATGGAGATGTTGCTATAGCTTAAGATGTATTACATGTTATGTGTATAGTCCATGGGTCTTGATAGAAAAGTGTTGCTTTGATGATAAATGTATGGACATGTCGTTAATTCAGAAAACTCAGGAATTTAAGAAAACATGAATTTAGGTTTTTTATAATAAACAGGTTGTATACATTGATATACTGTGCATTCAGATTTGCTACTGCTGTTGTCTTTCAAAATAATTAAATAAGAGTTATTATCTTGGTTACTGTTGAAGGACTATATAGGTCTATTTTATTAAAGGGTTGTGTGAAATGATCGCAACTATACCTTTAAAAAATCAACCTAAGATAATCTCAATAGCCTTGTGTGTCACCTTTGGGAATGTGTGAAATATTACATTGACGTTTCGCATAATCCAAACAAGATTAAAGATAAAGACCAGTTCTGGTCATGCGATTGCATTGTGAAAGAAACGTTGTGGAATCGATCAGAAAAGGTTGATCATCTAGCATATAAGTATTGGTGTGTACTGCAAGGTTTTGGAATCATCAATATGATAAGAAATTTGGCCCAGTCTTGGTAAAGCTACAAGCACTGTACACAGAAAGATGTATATGGGACCACGCACACGCACATATGCGTTATATCTATCAGGTCCAAATAGATATAATAATTTACCAAATATATCAATAAGTAGGCGGTTTGTATCATCACGTATTAGTCAAAACATATTCTTCCACATGATTTCATTTTTTTGAGAGGGGGGCATTTCCAAAACTGGTCCTTACCTTTAAGATCATGGGATGTACAATAGGGTATTGGAATTGCCCTTGAGTTGATTTTTAGAAAATACATGTAGTTGGGATCGTGTTGTACCCAACAATAAAAAATATATATATTAACCTTGTCACTATGAAACAAACTTAACAAAATCAACAAGGGACATCAGGGACATCACACAATTGATGGCAACAGTCCAAATAATATATATTTCCTCTACATAGAACTCTGTTAGCATAGATTAGATTTGTTCCAATATAATTGGTAAAATATTCTTTTCATATTCATGAAGTTAAAATAAAATTCATACAACTGAGCTTTAATTTACTACTTAACACTGATAAACTTTATACTTGTTCATGAAAACTAATCCTAGCACATGATTTGAAAGTTGTACAAATGTCAATATCACACAGCAGCCTTTCTCCAATTTCCACTACAGTACATTATTGTTTGCAGGTGTATTCTAATTCCTGATAAATATCTTGTGTACACACTTACACATTAATATCAACAGTTATAAAGCAATATATCTTGTCATTCGTAATAATTAATTGAAAAGAAAGAAAAAAAGTTTTTAAAGTCTTTGCTTTGACTTTCAATGCAACAAAACGAAAAATAAAATCTCTATTTTAGGTCAATATTTTGGCCCTAGCTAAAGAACAGCACCACTCTGCTGTAATCACATAAAATATAATCAAGAAATGAGAGAGAGAGAGAGAGGAGAGAGGGAGGGGGAAGAGAAAGAAATACAGTTGGGCAGAGAGAGAGAGAGAGAGAGAGAGAGATAAAGAGAAAGGAAGATGGAGAGAGAACATGAAGGGAAACGGAGCAAGAGAGAAAGATAGTGATATGACAGTGTATTACAAATACAAAAAGAAACACAAATAAACTTGGTGATGAATAGATAGTGATAGCGCCACAGACAGCAGGAGTTACAGAGTTCTTCAATGAGAAAGCGATAGAGAAAAACAAATAGCAAAAGGAAAATCATGAATTAAAAAGCTTCCATAAGTGAAAAATATAAATTATATAAAGTAGTACCAAATGCAAAAAGTTGACAAAACCATTATTGCTCAGTGAAGATTTGCTCGTAGATAGCATTACTATTGAACACTGTTATCGCTGACTTGTGCTCTATCGACCACTGTCTAATACAATACTGTCATTTCTCACAAAAATACATTTACCTTTCTTAGTCATTATGTTAAGTACAATATTTCAGTGTACATCAAATGCAGTCAACAAACACTATTCTGTTTTGATAGATCTACATCTATGTGCAAAGTCCACACACAATATGCTGTTCACTACCGACAAAGCTTCAGATACATTGTAGTTTTGCCAAACATTCAAATTAAGCCGCTACTATGACTATCCATTCAATCTCACAAAACAGTGCTACAATATACATATACATTTACTGTCATCATAATTTTGTTTTCTTTCTCTTTGGAAATACATAATCCCACATCATACTACAACATAATAAATTTTCTTCCTCTTTCGAAATATAAATACAATTTGACATACTGAATCGAAATTTTCATATTCATAAGAACCATTCAGCATTGGTGCAAGATATTTTTATGCATGAAAGATATAGAACTATAAAGTTAAACAAATTATTGAAAAAAACATTTTTTGCAAGATACAATACACAGAATTCAATGTTATAGCGCTTAGAGACTTCGGTGGTAAGCGCTTTATAAGTAACGTTTTTATTATTATTATTATTATTATTAGACACCCTAAAGTTATCAGTTTCATCACGAATACTAAAACTTTCGAACAAGTTTTCAAATTTTGAGCAATATGTACATGTATATCACTTCTTTTCAAATGCCATCAAATAAATATATATATATGCATGTTAATGCGCTACACTTTTTGCAAAGAGTAGGGTGTAAACCCGGTGTTGGAGATTCACACCCTATGCATGTTAATACACTACACTTCTTGCAGAGAGTAGGGTGTTAACCCGGTGTTTGGTGTGCCTACAGATCTTTGTCACAGGCCCTTGCCTCTTCAAGATTAACAGAAGAAGAAGAAGAGGAAGAACTTCATATTTGACATATTTGTAATGTCTGATTTCACATGTATTTATTGTAATGTAATTTTTTTATCAATTTGTAAAAAGTCACACAATTCAGCCTTCGGGCTGCGAGATGATTTTCAATAAAACAAACCATTTACATATATCATAAAATCTGATGGAGCTGAAATAACTTGACAAGTATACTAGTACTGTGTCATGTAATTTACCCAACTGAATACTGATCTACATTTTATGCAAAGCATTATTAAACACAAATCACATAGGAAAGTGCATTACAGGAATTAATTTCTCCATTACAGAAAGCTCACCTAGTATATAAATAAACTCTACTCCGCCGTGATAAAAAAAACTCCCAAAAGTGCTACTTTACAGTTGCACAATACAAAAAAAGTACCAAAAAAAATCCTGGAAACAAGTGTGTCTTCAACAAAAATTTGAAGACAGCAACAGATAAGGCTTTTCTTATGTCTAGTGGAAGGTTAGGCCAAAGACTTGGAGGACGTAACTGATAGAGTTATTTTTTTTCTTCGTGTGAGGTAGCTTTAGAAGCAGCTTGTCCTGTATTCTTCGCAAGTTACGTGCATATGGATGCAATTTAACAAATAATTTGAGGCTTGACCTAGACTTAATATTATAACTTACATCACATAATAAACAACCTGTACCATCATGAACAGAAATTAACACATGTTTAAGATTCAAAAGACATTGGGATACAATTCCTATTTAGAAATGAATGAATGAATGAATACTAAAATCATTCCAGATTTAACACATGGTTAGAGTGAGAGAACTGAGATATTATTAAACTTTAATATAAACATGAAATAAATATGCTTGCATATATCTTCAAAGTAATTAATTGATAATGATAAAGTGAATATGAACTGAGTGTACTTGTCTAATACTATACTCGTTGAGGTAAAAGGATTTGATCGGAAATAGAGATTTTTCCAAAGTGTAAATTAGCTATAGTGTAAAAGACATACAGGATTCCAATCTCATGCTACATAACAAATATCCATGATTTTACTGATTAGTAATAAAAGCAGTAGTGTATTTGAACTTTAGAATGGTCATCATTTAGGACAATATTCCAATACAAACATACAGTCTGTTCAGAGCCAGAAGGGTGTTAACTCTGTGTTCCAAACATACGATATAATACATGTATTTTGTAGTTTATGGAGCTGAAGCAGGCTTTGTACACTTATTTTGAATTTCATGATTCATGATTTCAAGCACCGTGAGCACCAAAAAGGTGGACCTGTGCGCTACACAATTAGCCACTATTATTATTATAATCAAGTCAAAATACAATAATGTGCACATTACATGTAGCTCTTGGCCGCTATCATGCAACACACACACATATATCAATGAATACACTTCGTACATCAAGATGATACTGATAAAAACCTGTCATCTTAAAGGGACTTGGTAACATTGTTCAAATGAGAGAAAAGGGTGCTAAGGTAGTGACTTCAATGCTAGATGTACAATTTAAGATAATCTGAAAGTTTGAGTGAAAACAGACCATAATTAAAAATTAAAAATAAAGAAAAATTGATCTGATTGATTCCTAAAATCTCTGACTATATTATTATAATCTAATTAAATTTTAGGTGAATGTAAATTCTCACAAAGCAATGAATTGGCTCCATATACCATTCCAAATATTTAAGGGTTGAAAACATTTTAAAAGCCTTTTTTTTATGTCATATTTTGATGGAAAAAGGGTTGGGAAAATACAAAAATTGGTTGGGAGAATTTACTGTAAGAGGGGGTTGGACATTGGCGCCTTCAAAGAAAACCACATATATCTTTGTTTGAGAATTTTTTCAGGATTTTTTGCATGATAGAGGGTAAGTACAGTAGAAGGAAGATGATAAGTTACATTTCATACAAAAATTACACATTTTGTTCATCGACCTTTAACGTTTGCGTCACAAAGCTGGATCTTTCTACATACAGATCAGAAATATAGACAGTGCCATTGTTAAGTGCAGACAATCTCTTCTCACCCCAACTTGCTGTTTCATTTACAAATTAACTGGTTTTGTCTTTCTCTTAAAGCTGCCTACAATGTCACGGAAGGAGCTTAATCTAGCATTTTTTTTTAACCCGACTGCTAAGTAAGGGATGTGTATGCTTGTACATAAGCAACCAGGGGACCGACGGCTCTAAGTCATCTCCGAGGGACTTGGTAATGAGGATAAATGCCTTACCAAAGGGCACTCTCATATTGACTTGGTATTGAACCCGGGACCTCCTGGTTACAAGACCACTGCTCTACTTCTACTACTTTACTTTACTACAATTAGTTTGTTATTAAACACAACATATATATATATATATAGTTCATGAAATATTTTATTTTATAACAATTAATGCACCTTAATTGGATTAAAGCTATTATGATTATTAAACTAGAGGACTGGATTCTTTAGTGTTTAAGAAAAAAATCAAACAGACGCTCTGAAATCACAAGCTGCACAAGTTAACATCAATGTATTTTGATTTCGTTTAAGTAAATTAACTATTTCAGAATGTAAAGTTTGACTTACATCTCAAAAGCACCATAACAAAAGACAACAGAAAATAAAAATGTCACCAAATTTAATGAGTTCTTCTGAATTCTTTTTAGACTGGAAGCATTTTAATTCTTGTAATCAATAGTTGCTGACCCCGTAGAGAGTTGTGTCCATGATACTGTAGTTGAATATTTCAAATGATAAGCCAGCTGAGACACGACATAAACCCTTCTCTTGAGTAATGTCAGATGGGATCGATTGTATCTATACGTCACTCACTACTTGAACATGTGTATTGAAACTTCAGGCTATCTTCATATCCTCTATTTGGAGCGAGAAGGGCGTTAATTCTGTGTAAACTTATTTGAGTTAATGCCCTTCTGGCTCTCAACAGACCATATGTTTCAGAGTTATGAGTGTGCTTTGTAGAAACAGGAATTTTTGCACTGAATATGGTACGAGTGAACTATAGCAACACCATGCACATCAAAACCTGCACTTTGGTACTACAATATATAAATGCAGTACATATCAAGCTAGACCGAGGTATTGCTCTGTCTTCTCTCCAGCTGTACCTCGTTTGAGAGTATATTCAATCAGAGCCGCTTTGAAATTCTTGTTTGACCTCCAGATATAACCAAGGTGTGGATTCCATTCTGAGCCTGATGCACCAAGTCCTGTTCCTAATGATCAGGAACCTGGTCTTAGTCCAGCATTCTAGATTTCAGATGATAGCCTGTGAGGACCAGGTCTATTGCTTGAGGGCCTGGTCTAGGTCCAAGTCCTGTTCCTAACGATCAGGGACCTGGTCTTAGTCCAGCATTCTAGATTTAGATGATAGCCTGTTAGGACCAGGTCTATTGCTTGAGTGCCTGGTCTAGGTCCAACATCAGTTCCAGGAGACAGCCCATGGACCAGGCCTGGGTGGGGCAACTATCTCCGCAGGGGGCCCCGTTCTTATTGGTCAGCTCAGGCAGCCCTCGCCATGGCGACGACATGATCTCCTCGTGATGACGGATGAGAGTCTTGCGGATGAACTGCACGGTGCTTTCAAAGGTATCGGCTGGAGCATCGGGGAGGATTCGCGCAAAGTGGAGCTTGGCTCGTAGGAAATAGCCGAGGGGCCATACCCATTCCTAGAAGATAAAACATTGAGAAATATATTTAACATGTCAGCAAGAGCTGTGGAATAATAATACTGGCTTCATTTAAATTGTGCAGATATCCATCCCAAGAGATGGATGCTCAACGGGTATATACAGTATTATATACCTTACTTTAAGAATCTTTCCTAATCCTGTCATCTGATTGGTTGAAAGTGAAGTCCTGTTTTTAACAATTTGATCGCTAAATTTTCATGTTCCCCTGGAGCACCACTCTGCTTTTCCTGTTCTACTCGAGCACAGTTTGATGATAATTTTTAAATATGAGGACCCCATGATTGTTAAGTGAGTCAGTCTTGTATTCTTTGACTCTTTTTACGGTATATAAAAGACATATTGACTGCTTTAATATTCGAGGCATAGTTGTTTTGATAGGATCTCAGGGACGTTACATCTTGCTATGACCCCTCTGGTCATAGCAGGATGTAAAGCCCCCTTGAGCCTATAGAAACAACTATGCCTCTCATAGCAGTCAATATATCTATACTATTACCCTGGTGTTAGCGAAGCAGCTCTAAGGTGTTGAAAGCATTGAAGGAATTACTTTCTACACATTACCCTTTTACAACTCTTGGGTTAAGAGAGGTGAATGTAAATTGACGTCTCACCATAGTTCATAGTGCTGCAGCCGTCTCTAACCATAAACAATTTTTTTGTAAATGTTTTCTGATGATGCAAGTGTAATAAACCTTCACATTTCTGTATCTTATAACACAGAGCTCAGTGAGTATGCATAGGACCTTTTTGAGGAGCAGTTGCTGTTCATGTACAGTGAAACCTGTCTATAGAGACCATCCAAGGGAGACAACAAAAGTGGTCTTTATAGGCAAGTGGTCTTTAAAGGCAGGTGGTCTTTATGTACAGGTTTCTTTAGTACATGTTTCAATGAGAAACCAATTTCAAGGGAAACAAAAAATGTGGTCTTTGTAGACAGGTGGTCACTAAAGCAGGTTTGACTGTACAAGTAAAAAACAACAAGCAAGGTTTAGTGCCATGGTCACTTACTGGTCCCTGATGATAGTTCCAACCTCTGGCAGTCTTCTTGTTAGGACCATCATAGGAATTGTCATAGACTCCTTCATATGCCCAGTCACTGAAAACAAAGGGTATTATTCAAGTTTTACAACTTAAAGAATTTGATTCCACTGTGCATATGATCTGTATAACATATTTATTCTTTCTAGAACTAATAACGGAAGACGATGCATCTCATATGCTAACGATGAATTGAAACAGCTTTTGCTTTTATAGGTTTGTTATAATTGACCACACTTACATCGGTTAGTGCTAAAACATCACCTTTGCTACATCCACGTACATGATGAAATTCAGTAGTTGACGCATTGTATCTCAGTCCTATCATTATTGTAATCTTTACTACCACCATCACCACAAACAAAAACATGATCATATCATAAACACCATCATCATCATCACTGGGTCATTCCATAAAGTTGGAGCAAAAAATATGATGGTGTCCATGTAACGTAGTTATGAGATCTTCTACTAGACATGGAAGATGTAATCATTTGTGGAAGATTGTTATGCAATGAATATATATATAGTAGTGCCCTGCCATAATCGTTTCTGTTTCAGTTGCTTTTCTTCAAAATCTTTGCTTAGTACACATTTCTCTTTTTACCAGCGTTACATGGACACCATATGCATATAACATTACAAACTTTGGGTCCATAACATTGATTCACCGTGAAGCACGAGTACTTCTGTAAATAGTTGGCTATGCTTTTTATGTAAAACTCAATTTGAGCAAACATTGTTGCAGTTGACAGGAGACATAGTTTCTCACTTCTGGTATGTCACAAAAATTGCTCCAACTTTCTGGACGGACCCCACTATGACCACTGGCCTACTCACCTAGGGTCTAATGTCTTCATTCCTAGAGGACCTAGTAGTTCCTTCTGTACCAGGCTCAGAGCAGTCCATGCGTTACCGGGAGTGAACAACTCGGGGGCCTGTGAAAGTAAATGATTCATCATCACTGTTACTACAACAGTACTAGTGCCAGCATGAGCTCACAACATTGTCAAAGAATGCACTTACATGTAAAGAGAATGTTGAGTTCTAGGAAGAGGTGAAATATGTTTTGTGAGCCTTTTCATTGTTATTATGCAAGTGTGGAAGAATTTACATCAGAAAAGCATGGCTCTTCAAATGCCTTCATATTCTAAATACAGTCAAACCTGTCTATAGCGACCGCCTAAGCAAAACACAAAGAATGGTCTTTGTAGACAGGTTCCATTAATACATGTTTCAATGGGAAACTATTTTCAAGGGAAACAAAAAATTGTGGTCCTTGTAGACAGGTAGTCACTAAAGCAGGTTTGACCGAGTGTATAACATGCAAGCTTAAAAATAAGAACCAAATTTGTATGCCACATGTAATTGTGTAGTCCCATATACACCTGAGAGCAGCGCTTGTTACTTTTACCAAGACTGGACCAAATTTCTTATCATTTTGATGATTCCAGAACCTAGCAGTGCACACTAATACTTATATGCTACTTTATAAACTTTTTCTTTCACAATGCAATCGCATGACCAGAACTGAACTTTATCTTTAAACTCACCGCGACCATGGCGATAGGGAAGTTGGGTCTCAGCTGGAAGTCTCCCCAGAAGTGTGTTGCTCCCACGCTGTCCTTGTACATACCACGCCTGTTGATAAGCTTGTTGGACGTCTTGTCCGCATCGGAAGCAATCCAGAAATGCTTCTCAAAGTTGGCTTGCAGCTTGTGATCCCATTCCCAGTATGTCAGCTGAGCTTGCTTTCCTGAACATTCAGTGATAGAAATTATTATAACATAACAAATTTTTGAGCTACGGTATTCTAACTTATTTTAAACATTGTATACACAAGTAAAAGTGTGTATATCTATATCTATATCTATATATATATATATATATATATATATACATACATGTATAAGCAGAAGTATAAGCATCTTTATATGAATATAATAAATACTAAATGAATATGCTAACATGTTATGATTCTTAACAACCAGATTATTATTTAAACATATGTGTGGCTTACACCCAGTAATTTGAACCTCCATCTACAGCTTGCGACTCTACCACCAGGCCATCACTGGTCCATGGCACAGTCAAAATGAACTAGAAACAAATACCCAAGCTCTCCTGATTGGGTATTTGTTTCTAGTTCATCGTGACTGTGCCATGGACCAGCTGCCCGGCAAGCAGTAGATGCAGGTTCAAGTCCCGCTGGTTCCAAGACTTTTTCTGACTTGTTTTTCAATACAGATCGATCAATCAATGTTATTTACTGGGTGTAAGCCACAAATATATTTCAATAATTGAAATATCTCCCAGGAAGCATTACATTTTTTTTTAAAACCAGATTATTGTCACAAGTATTATTACTGATCATCATCTTCATGATATTCCTCACTGTAACAAAACTTTAACCTAATCATTACTTTCACCACTATTAACATCATTATCCATCTTTAGTAGTAATCACTTCCTCCTCCTCCTCTTTCTTCTTCTCTTTCCCCCTCACACTCTCCTCCTCCTCCTTCCCCCTCCCCCATGGTGATGATGATGATGATGATCATCATCATCATCATCACCACCACTACCACCATCATCACTTCTACAAACTCATAACCCACCTTCTATCCTTACAGTAACTCCATCATGAGGGAATTTCCCTTCTTTATGCAGTGCTGCTAGCCACCTCACTGCTGCCTTGCATAGACCTACTATCTCTACCGGTGATCCATCCCTACATAGAGTAAAACCAAACAACATCCATAACACATCAAATCCTTGGCATAGTCTAAATAAAATTTCTTTAAAATGGCCTTAAAATGTTTTAAATATCTCTAATGTAGTTCAAAACAAAAGGTTTGTATGGTATTCTTTTTGTTTAACTTTTAAAGAGATAAATGTTGGTAAGTTAGTCCAAGAGATTATGCAAGCAAGATCTTATGGTCAAGGACATTAGTGTGAAGTTAATGAAACTGCTCTGAAATTATACCATTAGTATTTATGACACCTTTAAATCGAAAGACATTCTTATTGAAAAACGGACATTGATATTTTTTTCTTCCCCATTAACTTATGACTTTTCCCACATAAATTAATATTTGTTCTTACATTTGATGATAAATTGATTTGCAATTTATAAAAAACTTCATGACCAAGACCTGGATCAGGCTTCTTCATTAAGATGATGGAATAAATGAATAAAATAAAATAAGATTATCAAATGTTAAAGCCCCACTGCACTAGTTTGGCCAGGAGGGATTATACCTCCCTGCATGGTCACTGACAAGTGGTTATCTCATCAAATCTCTCTCAATTAACAAGAGGATCATGGGGGACCAATGGTCACCGATTAGGCATTGTTTGCTATATAGAGGGCGCAAGTAGCTTCATGTATAAGTAGTATGGTGGGGCTTTAAAATGCTTCCTTACCTTGGTGTGGCAGGGAGCCCTCTATTGCCTCCAATCTCCGAGTCTCCGACCTTGTCCATCCATGTCCCACAATTCCACTCACTTCCTCCGAACGGGAAGCCGGTATTGTGATCTACACCATGCGTTACATTGAAGCCTACACACAAATAAAAATGAAAACGTTAATGGTTATCAGAGGAATATCTCACTTCTCTAAATTAACTTTTTGCTTTCTCTGATTCGGGAATGAATTCTATTTTCGATGAATGTAAAACCATCACCATCAACATCACCATCACCATCACTATCATCATCATCATCACCTATCAAACCACCACCCCCACCATCATCAGCATCACCACTATCATCATCATCAACATCATCATCACTTTCATCAACATCATCTCCATCACTATCATCCTCATCCTCATTATCACCATCATCATTATACTCTGTACCTTGGTCTGTCATGTTCCTGTCGAGCCCTTGCCCAGCATGTCTCTCTCTGTAGCTCACTCCCTCGGCATGTCTCTGCATTGCTTCTTGTATTACTTCACTTAGTGGTTGGTCCTGTAAAATCAAAAGAAACAGTTAAAGATAAAGTTGAGTTATGGTCATGCGATTGCATTGTGAAAGAAACGGTGTGGAATCAATAAAAAAAAGTTGATCATCTAGCATACAAGTATTGGTGTGTACTGCAAGGTCCTGGAGTCATCAAAATGATAAGAAATTTGGCCCAGTCTTGGCAAAGTAACAAGCACTGTGCACAGAACGATGCATATGGGACTACACAAACATATGGCATAAAAATGGGGCCTCATTTTTAAGCTGTTACTTGTCATATTTAGAATATGAAGGCATTTGAAGAGCTACAGGGTATGCTTTTAAGGGAACATTTTTTCTCCAATGTTCTTCCACACTTGCATAATAACAATGATAATGCTCACAAATTATTTTTCACCTCTCCCCAGAACCCAACCTTCTCTTTAAATCAATAAATAGCATTCAGATGATGAACGATGTAACAACATGACAAACGAATATAAGAAATTAGGGTAACTGGTTTACAGACATGCAAGCATCAGAGAACAGATTTGAAATAATGCCTGTAATATGCAGCTGATGACATGCTGTATTTATATTGGTAACTTTTCATTTTGTTCTTTCAGCTTTGGGTGATAAGGGAAAAATATATGTACAAAGTGACTAACCTAATCATCCTAAGTTATTTACATGAACCTACACTTCGGTATCTTATTACCCTAGTACAGAATCAGGCTAAAAAGATAACAGACCATTTTATAATAAGTAAAGGCTGAATATGATCCTAAATATCTAATAATGCCTCTGGTTAAACTTTCGGTGATGGAGGCATAAACGACTTTTAGACATGGAAACATGTAAGTTCCACTCTGCATTTTAGAAGGAAAAAAAATCCATCTCAAAATGTTGGAAGTGCAACAGGAAGAGCTTCTATTTAACCTTAAAAGAGATATTGCATGTGTATTATCATGGAAAGTATTGCTTGTGAACAAATGAGCAATGATAGCATTAATTTTCAAGAGCACATATTCAGTATTTGTCTCATTGGGTTTCCCAATTCATCTTAATGTTCCTATGAGTAGTGTGTGGACACAAACTGATTCGTACTGTAGATGTGTTGTGGTCTAGTGGATAAGTTGTCGGACTGTGGATCACAGGGTCCGGGGTTCAAGTCCCGCCGCAGCACCAATGTTCTTTGGCAAGACATTAATCTACATTTGCCAATCTCCACCCAGGTGTTAAATGGGTACGGGAGGAAGGAATTCCTTGAATGCTGTGAGTACCGAAATCGGTAGCCTAGCAGAGCCGGGGTAACATTGGAGCCCCTTGCAGGGTGGATATGTGCGCTATATAAATATCCAATATTATTATTATTATTATTATTCTGCGAAGAATAGAAGACTCTCCAAACTTACCGCAAAGCCGGGAGGATGCGGGTCAGCATCATCAGAGGGGAAGATCCTAGAGACAGGGGCTTCCAGGATAGAGATGCCATCTTTCACAGTCTTGGTATAGAGCTGGATGCAGTAGAGCCAGAACCAGACCGCATCCCGGCAGTTAAACCGGGCGTGGTCCCCGCCTCCAAGGAGGTTGGGGATGAGCCCATGACGTAGGGTGCCAGCGAAGGCAAGGATCAGGTGCCTGGGTGGAGGTAAGGTGAAGAGAGAGAGAGGCATTTGCATTTGTTGTTTTGAATGTGATGTGCATTGCAGGAAAAACAATTTCACCCTTTTTACATTTGCCACTCTCAACCCAGGTGTAGTAACCGGTACAACCAGGTAGAAATTATTTCCTTGAATGCTTGCAGTGCCATAAGCTTCTCTGTGCTAAAGCCAGGGTTAAAGAAAAGCCTTGAGGATCCCTTGGGATGGATATGAGAATGATATACTGTTTTCAATGTTACTTTTCACTATCATCATCATCATCATCATCTTAGCTACGATCACTACGATCCACTCACTTTGCCTCATCTGCTCTCCCTGTCACAAGCAGCAATCCTGGTAGAGCGAGGAACGTGTCCCTTCCCCAGCATCGCATGAAACCACTGGAGAAGTGAGGAAGCCCGGCCGACATGGTGGGGGAGCTCTGGATGTACTTCCCCGTCTCCTCGTCTAGAGCTGTCGGTACGCCCTCTAGGGACGGCGACATGACAGGCAGGGGTGAGGTCTTCACGATACCGCACATCTGAACCGAGCCAAGAGCAAGGAATCGCACAAAGGAAGATCCATCGGATACAAATCTATGTGGAAATTAACAAGAGATGATACATTATCAAATATCAATAGGTCATAGGTAACCCGACATTTACTCCTGTAACAATAGACCTAGGGGGCGTTTCATGAAACTTGTCATCAGCGACAAATGACAAGTTTTTGTTATAAGCTACTGGAATCCTTGCTTTTGATGGTTATCAGCAGATTTGTCACTGATTTATGTCATTTGTCACTGAAAAAAGTTTTGTGAAACGGGCCCCAGTTTGTAGTTAGCACACAGTTAAAATTAGCCCAAAATATTTATAACCTTTTAAACCTGGAGGAGTCCCACCTAGAGCATTCTAAAATAATCACTGCCAACATTATATTAGCATGACAAGAGTTGACTTCATCCAATTTCTCTGCATTCCAAATAAAAGCAGATACAAACACAGAGAGAGAGAAAGAAAGAGAGAGCGGAAGCCATATAAATGTAGACAAATAGACATATATAGGAAGAGAGAGAAAGAGGGGGGGGGGGAGGGAGAGACAAAAAAAGACTGTCTAAGATATAATCAGAGAGAAAGAATACGGATACAAAAGTTCAAAAGAAATTCAAGGACAGAGATGAGACGGTGAGGGATGAGACAAAATACAAAGGGAAACCAAGAGTCAAGGTCGATGGTTCATCTAGATAAAGAAGTTCATCCTTACAAGTTCATAGTCTTCCATGCCAAGTCCAGTATAACTGTGTAAGCTCCAACCATTATAGCATCGAAGTAACATGGTATGAGGTAGCGTGGGATCTGAGTGAGGGGTGCGAATGCTTTCTCAAACCATAAACCAAGCTGAAACAGAAAAAAAGCAATATAGAAATATTAGTGGTAACATCCAAAGTTATAAAGTACCATAGTATCATCCATGTGTGGTGCCAATACTCTCTGGAAACATAACCCACGTTGTAAACAGAAATTAATAGAGGAACAGGAAAGATGGCATCTCTGAAACAAGATACAGTATAATGCAGCATGGGTGAGCAGTGTGATTTTCTGTTAAATTTCCCAAATTTCTTTAAAAAATGGATACATTAAAGTGTATCAATCACCTTTAAAAAATGTGTACAGCTACAATGAATATCATTGTATTCAATATCATTGTATTCAATCTCAAATAAATGACGTCACGTTTCAGTTAATGCACTTTGTAATGTATTCCCCCTCCCCTTCCCTTCTCCTTCCTTTTTTCCCCGTATTGGTGTTAATGTTTTCTCTGCTTTCTTTTCTCAATAAGATAGTGTATATTTTTTAAGGGGTTGACGTTGAGGCTAATTGCCATTTTTGTTAACCTCACATTCCCATCAAATTTTGTTTGCTCCTATTTTTCTTGTCATCAATCTTTATCTGTACATCATGTTTGCATGTTTTAATGTTTTTATGGAGAATGAAAATAAATGAATTGAATTGAAAAAAATCAACCTAAAAAACTCTACATGGCATTCTATGGGTAAATGGATAAGGAGTTTGAAGAAAATTAATAATAACATCAAACCATGCCCGGGGAACCCCCAAATCAGATTTGGGCTCCATGCAGGTCATACTCTAAGCGAGCACATTTCTCTGTCAACCCTCATGATGACAAAATAACAAAATCAATCTACAAACGGCAAGTCAAATCTGCTACAATGTCAAAATATTTAAAAAATCTACATCATGAATCTACTCTATCAAAAAGCATTTTGAAATGTTTCCTACCAAACTAAGTTTTACCCGCATTATGTCTAGGGTATTGAGAACATTCTCTATGTTATTATTTTACCTGTTTTGTGGCGGGCTTTAGCTTGAGTCTGTTAGCTACATAGCCAGGCATCCAGTCACCTTGTCTCAGGTTTTCACACATGGGATGACCCAGGTCATTCTTAGTTCTGATATCTGCGAGCACCGCCATGAAACCTACAAAAGAAGGGATAGTTGAAATGAACTCTTTATTCACATCCACATGCAATTAAACTTGCCAACACGTATTTGTATTAAAAAAGAAATCTTGGCAGACATTCCTAGAAATACACAAAATGCAATGAATAGGTGTCACAGCTCAGAAGAGCAGTATTCTTGGAACAAACCAGGTGCTCTTGAGTCCTTGGATAATATCCTAAAAGTATGGATGAAGTCTTGAATATTCACATAAACACATACTGTCTCATTACTGTTTTAAAGGGATCCAGTAACTTTGTCTCAGATCCTTAAAAAATCCTTGATTTAGCTCATGCTGCAATCATAATTATAAACCTTTAGGGCATACATGAATCCCATGACATTAACAAGCTAATCGCCTGTCTGATATCAAGATATTTATGATTGAAAATCAAAATCAAATTTTGCGTTTTCCTAACGGTTTTCATATCGGGGAAAATGAATATTTTAAAACCAGTCACTCAAAGATTTTTTACTTTTTTGAGGAAATTCATGATCATTTTGAAGCAAAGTTTTTTAGGGCTTCATTATTACACCATATCACAAACACTGAAAGTATGTAGGGCCATGCATCTCAGATTTAACATTGTCAAACGATGCCTTTAACTAGACAAAATGCCTTTTAGATTGTACATGTACCTTGCAGGCCGCAGTAGACCAGCTTGCCATGATTGGGGATGTCATAGGTCGCTGACCCCTTCCCATCATCCCTCTCCTCGTTATCGCATCGGTAGAGGACATGGTTCATGTCCGTGAGGGAGAGCTTCTCTGCCAGGGTGTGGAAGCTGGAGTTGTTGTTGGCTCTCATAGGGCTGGTCCCACTGAGGGTTCTGACACGGTAGCCAAACTGAGCAATACAGGATCGCAGGGAAGAGAGGGCGGCTCGAGCAGAGGGGTGGGGTACAACTCTGTGAAAAGAACGATAGGATAGGGTTATTATTTATTGGCTCTCATAGGGCTGATCCCACTGAGGGTTCTGACACGGTAGCCAAACTGAGCGATGCAGGAGCACAGGGAAGAGAGGGCGGCTCGGGCAGAGGGGTGGGCACAACTCTGTGAAAAGAACGATAGGATAGGGTTATTATTTATTGGCTCTCATAGGGCTGATCCCACTGAGGGTTCTCACACGGTAGCCAAACTGAGCAATGCAGGACCCAAGGGAAGAGAGGGCGGCTCGAGCAGACGGGTGGGGCACAACTCTGTGAAAAGAATGATAAGATAGGATTATTCATAGCATGGTTCTTTCTCTTTGAAGTGAAAGGCTTTCACTTTCTTTATTTAGAAAATGAGAAGGGCTATGTGTTTATTACACTTTATAACGGAAAGAAGAGCACAACAATTGACCCTAAAAAGGCCGGGCTATTTGAGGTCTTATGGCAGGGGGTGGGGGGTTATGCCCCCACCCCCCAGGTGTTAAATGGGTACCCGGTAGGATGCAACTGTCATTGTTGGTCAAACAGTTTTTGAGCGTCAAGTAACGCCTGGCTGGAATGCTCCCCAGGGAGTGGAGATTGTGTACACATTGTGTGCGGGCAAGTATTGAATCCCATGACCGGGGTAATAGTATATCTGTAAAGCGCTTAGAAACATCATCGATTTATTAAGCGCTATATAAAAGCATAATTATTATTATTATTATTATTATTATTATTATACTCACTTGAATGCGATAACACTGCCAGGAGGGAAGTTAATGAAGTCTATTTCTTGAAGAGAAGCTTGAGCCTGGCTACCATGCTCCAGCAGCTCACACACCTCGCTGTTGAGTAGCGTTACATGGGTCTGCATCTGGACACTGTAGTTGGATAGACCAGTGATGTGTGAGGAGGAGGGCGGGGTACTCTCCGCATCCTGCTGGACGAGCCTCGCCTCCAGGATGATCTCTTCAACGGATCCTGACAGGATAAGAGATGGAATTACATTAAGCTATGAAGCAGCACCTTACTTATAACCCAAATATCTATATGTAGGAAAACCCCAGTATACATGGGGGAGGTACTTTTGTTTGATAGACCGGTGATGTGCGAGGAAGAGGGCGGGGTACTCTCCTCATCCCGTCGAACGAGCCTCACCTCAAGGATGATCTCTTCAACGGATCCTGACAGGACAGGAGAGAGGATGCCATATTCAGTTCAATTTATTTAATACTTTCATTAAATAATAATAATAATAATAGTACGCTCTTGTACAGTCCATAATACTTAGTCTATATGCGCTTCCAAAGAGCTTCAGAAATTATTACCCTAGCTTTAGCTCTGGCTACCGATATCGGCGCATAGTGCATTTCAAGGAATAATCCTACCAGGTACCCATTTACATCACCTGGGTTGAGTGTGGCAAATGTAGATCAATATCTTGCCAAAGGACATTAGAATGGCGGCGGGACTCGAACCGCGGACCTTGTGATCAACAGTCCGGTGACATATCCACTCGGCCACGACACCTCTACAAGATGCCAAATTCAGTTCACAAAAAGTAAGCAAACATATAAAAGTAATAAAATACCACCAATATATAACATGAAAATAACATTAGCGGAGAAGAAAGAACAGCAAGAACAAAAAAAAAATCTAAACTTTTACAGTAATGAAAGTATTTGGAGACAAGACGGGAAGGCTGGGCCTTATGTAAAAGTCTATTAGGGTAAGAAACAGCGCCTTACCAATAACCAATATATCTATATATATATAGGAATACCCCTGTATACATGGGGGAGGTACTTTTGGTGTATGCCTGTGTAGTGTGAGTTGTAAGAATGTTTTAACTCATCAGTTGCTGCTGAAATAGTTCCCCTGTGCCACGTTACTAAGGGCTTCAGAATTAAAACTGCTACTATTATAAGATTAAAGATAAAGGGAGTTCTGGTAATGCGATTGCATTGTGAAAGGAAATGCGTGGAATGGATCAGAAAAAGTTGGTCATGTAGCATGTAAGTATTGGTGTGTACTGCAAGGATCTGGAGTCATCAAAATCATAATAAATTTGGCCCAGTCTTGGTAAAGTAACAAGCACTGTACACAGAAAGATTTATTTTGGACACCACAAATGGTGTCGGAGCTACTATACCTTAATTTTCTTATCTTCCTAAGCTCAATACTCAGCCAGTATACATTTTCTTCAAAAATTGTTTGGCACATGACATTTATTTGTAATCTTGAACATTCAGTGTAAGCTTCGTTAGATTCTGTGAGATTTTTTTTTTTTTTTTACCAAAACTCAAATTTATCTTTAATCTGCACAAGTGTTCAAAGGGTTGTCGTGGAGCTATCAAGACTGGAAATGGGTCATCTTGCAAAGCCATTGTGTTGCACAACACAATCCTTCCATCAATTGGTGCCTAATGTTTTGCGCAAAAGTGCAGGTGTGGCAAACAAGCAACCATGCAGAGAGGTAAAGAAAGCAACTGAAGTGTTAAAGGGATCGTTTAACAATGTGAAATCTGAGATGCACGGGCCTACGCGTTATCAGTGACTGTGATATGGTGTCATACTGAAGCCCTAAAAAATTGCGCTTGATCAAGAAGTGCCTTAAAAAAGTAAAAACCTTAGAGTGACCGGTTATACCATACTCGTTTTCCCCAATAGTTTTATGAAAACCGTTTGGCAAACGCAAAATTTGATTTCGATTTTCAATCATAAATATCTTGATAATCGGACAGGCAATCAGCTTGTAAAAGTCATGGGGTTCCTGACGGGGGTTCAAGGATTTTTTTAAAGGATCTAAGACAAAGTTACCGGATCCCTTTAAAGAAGGAAAGCGGTCTTACCAGGTATACATAGCGGAGGTATATGTCCCGTGTAGCGTGCGTTATGAGGATGTTTGAAAGCTGTGCGGGCGACCAGGATGACAGAGAGGTGAGAAACGGGGCAGTGACGTGTTACGGCTACAATGTTCTCATCCACCTGATCTACATACACCTGAGAAGAGTAAGAAAAAGTGATTAGATTGTTTAACATGGAAATTGGTATAAAATAAAAGTCTTTCCTTGTTCCCCAAGCCTTCACTATTGATTTACCACAGACACAAGGATAACACCGGTTCTAGAACACAAGCTCTCGCAACATTTGCTCTGCAGCCAATTTCGTACATTTACAAAGAATTCTTAACTACAACCCTGGATCAACTACCAAACCGTAACCCTAACCCTAAACCTAACCTAAAACCCAATTGCAGCCCTAAGTCTGATGAACCAGGACTCTAAAAGACAACTGCACCTACCCTCCTTTAACCCAATCTTATCTGTGTGCAATCCGGACTGATCGAGGCACTCTATGCTCTGATAATACCACTGTAAGACCTCATGTCACCCCTTTTCCTCTTCTCCTATCTCACCTGTGTATAACCCTGATCCCCTAGTGGCTGATGCTTATTCTTAGCCACGATGACACCATCTTAAGACAAGTCCCCCACCCTACCCTAACCCAATCTTATCTGTGTGTAATCCTGACTGATCAAGGCACTCTTTGCTCGGATGATACCAATGTAAGACTACATGTCACCCTCCCTCCTCCTCTTCTCCTATCTCACCTGTGTATAACCCTGATCCCCTAGTGACTGATGCAGCTCATTCAACGCTCTTTTAGCCCTGATGATTCCATCTTAAGACAAGTCACCTACCCTACCCTAACCCAATCTTATCAGTGTGCAATCCTGACTGATCAAGGCACTCTTTGCTCGGATGATACCAATGTAAGACTACATGTCACCCTCCCTCTTCCTCTTCTCCTATCTCACCTGTGTATAACCCTGATCCCCTAGTGACTGATGCAGCTCATTCAACGCTCTTTTAGCCCTGATGATACCATCTTAAGACAAGTCACCTACCCTACCCTAACCCAATCTTATCAGTGTGCAATCCTGACTGATCAAGGCACTCTTTGCTCGGATGATACCACTGTAAGACTACATGTCACCCACCCTCCTCCTCTTCTCCAATCTCACCTGTGTATAACCCTGATCTCCTAGGGACTGATGAAGCTCATTCAAGGCTCTCTTAGCCCCGATGATACCTTTGTCAAAGTTCACCTCTGTCCCGTCCTTAGGTTTCTCGTTCCATGACGTGTAAAATCGCTTCTCATCCACAACATGGATCTGTGGAAAATGAAACGCAAAGAGTGCATGAAAATCTTCAGCTGTGTTTTATTTGAGTTAAAAAGTTCCTTGAAATGGCAAATTTTTATTGAAAAACAACAATTTTTTTAACCTTTCAATGTGTTGCCAATCTAAGGATTTTAAAGCTCATTTTCCTTTCAAAAATTGATAGCATCAAACGCAATAGGGCCATGCAATAAAATGGCTGCAGGTTGTGCAGAAACTTAGGCCCTTTCCACTCGTGCTTTAGGTATACTTTTCACGGCTCTGACTCAAAAGTTATTCAGCCAAACCACACAACGTGGAATGATTGTTGCGAGAGAGTTAACAATCCTTTAAAGAGAAAGTTGTGTTCTGGGGAGAGATGAAAAATAATGTGTGAGCGTTATCATTGTTATTATGCAAGTGTGGAAGAACGTCAGATAAGACATGTTCCCTGAAAGCATGGCTCTTCATATGCCTTCATAATCTAAAAATGACATGTAACAGCTTAAAAAAGAGGACCACATTTTTATGCCACATGCTTGTGTAGTCCCATATACATCTTTCTGTGTACAGTGCTTGTTACTTTTACCAAGACTGGGCCAAATTTCTTATAATTTTGATGATTCCAGAACCTTGCAGTACACTCCCATTCTTATAAGCTATATGATCAACTTTTTCTGATTGATTCCACACCGTTTCTTTCACAATTCAATCGCATGACCAGAACTCAACTTTACATTATAAGTGTTTGTAAGTTCCGAGTGATGTATTATCTGATTGTACCTGCTCATAGACCAGCTCATCATACCCTCTGGTGGATCCTATAGCACAGCAAGCCATCGATACCAGGGCAGCACTGGGTAAGAGATCATATACTGACCGCACCTGTCAAACAGCAAAGCAAGATCATGATAAGTATGTTAAATTCACAACTTTATAGGCATATTAATAAAATGTGTTTGTAAGAGATCACATACTGACCGTACATGTCAAACAGCAAAGCAAGATCATCATAAGTGTGTTAAATTCACAACATTATAGGCATATTCATAACATTTTGGTGTTTGCAAGAGATATCATAAACTGACCGTAAACGTCAAATAGCAAAGCAAGATCATCATAAGTGTGTTAAATTCACAACTTTATAGGCATATTCATAAAATTTGGGTTTTATTTCCTAGTTGAAAGAGGGGGACACTGCAAAGGGCTAGAGTTGCGTCAACAGTTGGGTCATTATAGAGTCACAAATATACCTGGAAGCATTGATTTGAAAACCAAATTAGGCAAAACAACAAAAATTGTTTAAAGGATGATGCATTTGCATGAAGAGAATTGAGACACTTTGATTTTGATTATCACTATTTGATGACTTACATGTAAGTTCTATAAAGGATTTTCATCATTATTGCTACGAACATGTATAGTTCTTTTGAAAGTGACAATATGTAATTAACGACTTAATTATTCATACCCTTACAAAGTTTTTATAATTTGTTAAGTATCTTAAAAAATGATTTGTCCCCATTTAAGTTTCTTGAGCATGAAAGCTTGCATCTAAAATTATTCGACATACAGTGTAGGCCCTAATTCAACCAGTCCACCTTCCATTCTTGAGTCACAAAAAACACAAGAAACAACAAATTTACAAGAGGTATGAATAATTCAAATGTTAATTTACATGTTAGTGTTTGTAAAATTTCACAACAAATCATAAACGTTCTTCTTTGGAAAGAGCTTTATGTTGGGCAGAGAGGAAGCTAAATATTTGTCAATTTGTTACCTGAACTGGAGATTGGTTGTCATGAGTTACATCCATGAATAGAGCATGAGCTATACTTGGCTGTAGAGGGCGCACTGCTGGTTGGAGGAACGAACCGACCGGTTCCCCTCCGTAACGGTAGACCAAACGCCCTTCCTCGTGTGAGTCGTATGCACTCATGGCCTCTGAGGTAAGAGAAGATATCACAATACTCGGTCAATCACAAGCAAAACGGAGGGACCTGTCAACCCTATGCCCAGGCTATTTTGACACTGCATAGCCGGGAGGGGGAAGGGGGGGGGGGGGGGGCTAATTTGGCCCCCTATAATCGCGGATGTGAAACGGCCATTCGCAGCGAAATTTGCATGCATTTCATGTGAAGTGTATGGATATGCAATTAAGGTCATACAATTCACATTTTCACCCATAAGTCATATATTCTTCATATTTAAACATCCGTTTTCACTACATATATTCTTGAGACCATTTGGAATAATAATACAACAACAAAATTTGGAAGAGCCAGATTATTCCTTATGTTATCTATTGTTTTGATCATTTCTATGGGGGGGGGGGGGTAACATGCTTTCGAGTAATAGCAATTTCAATTGCTTTTGGCCCCTCCCCCCAAAAAAACAAACAAACAAACAACAAAAAACAAAAAACTAAAAACAAAAAACAAAAAAAACAACACCTAAACTAAAAACAAGATCAAATAACCAATGTTTTATCTCGTTTTTGGAAAAATTACATTTCCTTAATATGTTTTGTACACAAATCATGAAAATGAATGATTTTCATTATCATCATCACCATCATTGTCATCATTGCATTAAATACAACAAACTCGATACAAACCTCGTATTAGTGAAGATATCCCTAATCTGTTGATGAACATGTTATCAATGTGTTCAGATGCAGTAAACAACTCAGCCATCACGTACAGGTCTGGTCGAATCTTACGTCCTTCATCTAAGAAATACTGCACACAAAAAAGTGGGAGAATGATACTTAAAGAAGTATATATAAAGTAAGCTTCTAATACATACACATGAATTCTATTTTCTTTTCTTTCTCTCCTCTTCATCTTCTCCTCTATTTCCTATTCTTCCATCTGAATCTCCATTTTTTTTCTCCATATTTTCCCTCCTTTCCATTTCACCATTTTCCCTTTGATTGTATAAATCTTTCCACTTGCTATTTATATCTATACGCTATGTATCCCTATTTTTTTTTTATTTTTTATTTTTTTTTTATTTTTTTTTATTTCTGTGTTTAAAAAGATACAAATTAAAACACAAATTCTATCCTCTTTCCTTTTTCTCTCCCTCTTCCTCTCCAACTTCATCTACCCTATCATCATCATCACCATGACAACCGCTTCAATGATCATCCTTACACAAGCGACGAGATATACAGTGAAAACTCTATAACAACATTGCTCACAAAACTGGTCAAGAAAAGCAGTCTTTACAGGCAGGTGATCTTTACATACAGGTTTTTTTAGTACAAGTATATTTTGTAAAGCACTTAGAGACATTGTATTAAGCGCTATATAAAAGCTAAATATCATTATTATTATTTACAAGTTTCAATGAGAAATGCTATTCAAGGCATGCATACAATGTGATCTTTCTACAACAGGTAGTCTTTCTACACAGGTGGTTGCTAAAGCAGGGCTCATCTACAGCTTACCTCTGCAACATGAATGGGAGTACTGTGGCAGTTATCGATACGGACACCATGAAACACAGACACCACCTTCTGCGTGTACTCCAGCATGTGTTGCCATAGATACGGGCAATCTTCCGGACCTTTTCCGTATCGTAGCTTGACGCTGTCACCCCAGTTGATGAGCTCTCGTCTCAGATATACCTAATTAACAAAAGCATGAAAAATTTGAAAACAAAACAGTATTAGCCTCTGATGAAAAAAAGAAAACATATACAACCCACATGACTGGGGGGGGGGGGGTGATTCACAAATATCCTAAAGTTGAACTTATCTCTAAGTTGGACTTAAAAATTATGGAAAGCTGGTTATATATATTTATAATTGGAAATCGAAATGTCATTTTTTTTGTTTTCCTAATGGTTTTATAACACTACAGTCTATTGGGGAAAATGAGTATGGTCAAACCGGTCACTCAAAGATTTTAACTTTTTTCAGGCACTTCACGATCATTTTGAAGCGCAATTTTTTGCCGGCTCCAATATTACACCATATCACAGACACTGATAACACGTAGGGCCATGCATCTAAGATCTAACAATGCCTTTAAGGAGCATGAATAATGGGGGTTTGAACCTTGGAGCCAGCTTCAGCAAAGTTCTTGAGAGGGTCATCCCCCATGACCCATCCATTGGACGCCATGAGTAGAGGGGCTTGGGCGGAGTCCATTAATGCTTCATCTGTTTGGACATTGGTGGCAGGTCCGGGGTGTTTGAAGTACCTGATTGGAGAGAGGAGAATGTCGTCAGATTTAGTAGATGTTTCAATTATTATCATTAACAATAGCAGCAGGAATTAATCATTGTCATCAACATCATCAAGGTTTTCCTTACCGAAAATGGGCTTGAGCCTGTTTTAGGTAGATAGGCCTTATTAGTCATTCTAAATCTTGTCAGAAACAACCTTAAATGAATTCCCATTGATCCTCATACTAGAGGAAAAGGTCAACATATTTGGCATCACCACAATTATTGGAACATGTAACAGCCATTATCATCGTCATCATCCAGGGGTGATAGTGAGCAATTAAAAAAAAAAAGTTTTTTTGTTTTCCCCTCAACCACGCCCCCCCCCCCCCCCCCCCCCCCCTTGAGTAAAAAAAAAGAAGAGGATTCGTGGGAAAAAATGGCATCTAACTACATTTCCCCCTTTCGAGTAAGAAAATTGGGAAAAAATTGGGAAAATTGGGGAAAATAGAGGAAAATAGAGAAAATAAGGGGAAAATCAAGAAAATCAGGAAAATCAGGATAAAATAGGGAAGAAAAAAAATCTGGTAAAAAAAATAATAATAATAAATCGGGAATTTTTAAAAAAAAAAATCAAGAAACCGATTTAATCAGGTTTTTATCAGGCCTGATCATCATCATCATCACCATCAGCATCATCATCATCATCATCACCATCAGCATCATCATCATCATCATCATCATCACCACCACCAAGTCCATCAACATGCAATTATTCATTCCTCATCTTCTTTATCGGCATGGCAATCACTATCAGTTTCTTAAGGCTTAGCTTAGAGGACCACAAAACTAGACATACTTACTCATTGACGAGAGGGTTTTTCTCGGTGACTTCCACCAGCTTAGGACCGCTAGGATCTATATGATGATAGCGGACGTTGGATATGAGATTCTCGATGGCTTGTCGTGTATCCTCGCCCATCACGTTGGCAGCCAAGCCGTTGAGACGTTCAAGATGCTTGTGGAGATCCTGGCAGCATTGCTGTATCCGAGCCTCTGGTTCGTCGACTCCAGGCCTGAGAAAGACACATATCCATGATATTCAACGTCACAGTACATGGAATAATAATAATAATAATAATAATAGCTAGTTCTTACACTATGCACCTGTTCTACACATTTTTACATAATAGCAGTGAAGGGATGTTCCTTTGTCTACCACAGCAATTGTTGAGGGTAGAATGAGGAATTGTATATTTTGTCCTCTTTTTTTTGTCCGTCATGTTCATAGTGTTATATAGTGCTTTTCAGGACCGAAGGCCCTCTCAAAGTGCTTAACAGATATATATATTTTTACCCCAGTCATCGGATTCAGGCTTACCTGCACACAATGTATGCACATTCTCCACTCCCTGAGGAGCATTCCAGCCAGGTGTTATGTTAACAAGCGCACACTTGCTAATCTAAGCACATTAGCTTTCACATCCTACCGGGTACCCATTTAACACCTGGGTGGAGGGTGGCAAATGCAGATCAATGTACTTGAAGATCAAAGACCTCATAAATCCAATTATACTGGAGTCAGTGGTCTAGTGCGACTCTTATGCCTAGGTCATACCAAAAACTTTTCTTGATATTTCAAATGCATGCGTTTGCCATGGTTTCTACCCTACAAGTATGAGTTCGATACCATCCTGATGTTGAGAAACTAAGAAACTGGAGTCTTTGGATGTTTAGTTGAAGTTGTTGCGGAGTTTAGGAAACCAACTCACTTCTGTATATTGAAGTTGTCCAAGGCTTTGTTCATATCGATAGTACTAGCTAATCTCCTGTATCCTTTATCCTGGATGATAGCCACCTCCCAAGGTTTACTCTCCATCTGGGGCGTGGCTTCTTTGGAAGCTAGTCAGTCAAAGGAAAAACAATCAAATGAAGAAAAGGGATTATACTGATGGTACAGTCAAACCTGTCTATAGCCACCACCCAAGGGAAACACAAAAAGGAGCCCTTGTAGAAAGGTGGTTTTTGGAGACAGGTTCCTTAAGTACATGTTTCAATGAGAAACCATTTTCAAGGGAAACAAAAAATGTGGTCCTTGTAGACAGGTGGTCACTAAAGTAGGTTGTAATTGCTATTTTATTATGCCCCTTGTCCTGGATAATAAAACACATATCAAGGTTTGCTCTAAAACTGGGGTCTAGTTTCTTTACAGGCAAAACAGCGGAGACGTTTAAAAAATATATGATATATCAACAGTAGTTGCTATTAAATCTCCTGGCTTACTCCCTATACTGGGTGCTGTCTCCTTGGGAGCTAGTCAAGATAGAAAGAATCAAAAACTGTTGAGTGTATAGATAGTATTTGCGGATCATCTGGTTTATTTTCCATCTAAGGGGGTGGCCACTTTGGAGACAAGTTGAGGGACAAAGAATAATTGTTCAAATCAATAGTACTTGCTATTGTCATGTATCCATGGTCTTGAATGATAGACAAGTCCTAGGGCTTTGCTTCCCATCTGACAGCTGATTTCCTTAGAGGCTAATTTCACACCTTACAATGTACTGAGATCAAACTTTTGATTTTACAATTCACTAGTTTCCTAAACCCATCCTTGAAATTTTATGGGAAATATATACACTATTTAGTGATACAGTGGAACCTCCGTATAAAGAGCTCAGATATAACAAGGTATCTGTTAGAACAAGGTGATTTCGCTGGTCCCAGCTCTTAATATTCTTATGTTTTTTTACCCTGATATAATAAGGTAATGTCCTTGGTCCCAAGGACCTCATTATAATGAGTTTCCACTGTAACAATACATAAAATGCATTTAGAAATGTCTTTCCATATCCCTACAGATTCTTCAAAACAAGCACACCTGATTAATGCTCAATACAGGGATGACTGGTACTGCAAAATTGAAAAATAGCTACGAAAACAGACATAACCAAAGCTTTCTGTCTTGCCCTCGAGAACCTTCACACATCTACACATGCTGGAAGCGGCCTATATTCAGCTCACTGTCCCTATTGTGTGCCGACAGAAAGAGTTTGTAAGGAAACTTGCGTTATTCTAGCTACATGTAACATCTACTTTCCGGCAGCCAATCACAGCATATTAACCTTTTGCGCGCTTGTTCCTTTAGCTTCCTCTTATATTTTCTGATTTCGGGTTTCTGTTCATTCTTGCGATTTACTCCGATAAGTGCAAGACAAAAAGCAATAGCGTGTCTGATTTTTTCTTTTTGCTATTTTTTAGATGTATGCTTACCTTTGCATCTTTCTTTGAATTCTTCAATGGTTTTCTCAAGATCTACTTGATAGAACTCTTGCAGCTTGTACTGAGGGAAGACTTCATGTGTCAGTATATGTCTTATTTTCTGCAAAAAGAAATCAAATTATATATTTAATGTGCATCTCGGTCATGATTAAAGCCCCTCTGCACTAGTTTGGCATGGAGGGATTAGACCTCCCTGCAAGGTCACTGACAGGTAGTTATCTCATTAAAACAGCTCTCAATTAACATAAGAGAAAGGGCATCATGGGGGATTAACGAGTACCGCTTAGGCATTTTTTGCTGTATAGAGGGCGCAAGTAGCTATAAGTAGTGCAGTGGGGCTTTAAGCAAACGTGTACAGTCTGATGGGTCATTAAATCAAGACACTCTTTTATCTTTCTGTCTATATCCATCCCCTCTTCTTTCTTACCTAATTTAACCCAATCTTATTCATAAAATACCTTTAGTTTATCCTTTCACTTCATACTTTCATATCCTCAACATCACATTTTCAACTAGGTTTTGTTCTACTCATCCCCTTCTTAATAATTCTTATATAGCACTTTTCAGGACCGATGGACCTCTCAAAGCGCTTTACAGATATATATATTATTACCCCGGTCATCGGATTCAGGCTTACCCGCACACAATGTATGCACATTCTCCACTCCCTGGGGAGCATTCCAGCCAGTCATCATTTCTACAAGCGCACACTTGCTAATCTAAGCACATTAGCTTTCGCATCCTACCGGGTACCCATTTAACACCTTCTATTCTTTCAATTTATAAAATGCTTTTAATACTTTCTTTCAATTTTCCTTCCTTTCTCATTGTCTCCTACTCCCTTCTTAAACTACTTTTCCTCCATATTGAAAGATAAATGTTGAATGTATCAGCATTATAACTTCAAAATCCTTACAAGCCATTGGATCAAGTTTTACCCGAATCCTTGTGACTCACTTACATGCAATTGTTCCTCATTGTCGATGATCTTTGGGACACCAATACCTTCCCACTTCCCCTTCATCACCTCCGAGCTGAAATGCGAGAAGATACGATCCATGACGTATGCCGGCCGAAGGTGCGGTGAGTTCTGGACGTTGTAAGCGCACTCTGGATGCTCCTTGACCCAGGGGCTGTCAAAGGAGGTGTGGTTCCAGACAACGTCGCATATGCTGAGGACGCCCCACTCCTGTTGCATCTTGGACACCAGACCTTGGACATCCGCAAGAGTGACCTTGTTACCGTTGCAATCGAGGGAGGGGTTGATGGCGTGCTGGTTGCGGATGGAGTAGGAGGAGTTGGACGCGCCAAGCTCCTGGATTGGCGTGAAGTGGATGACGTTGTAACCGGACTCATGGCTGACTCTCAGGCGATCCTCCCAGGTAGAGAATGGACCAAGGCTCTTGGTGAGTACTGTCTGTGCAGTGATGCAGTCCAGAGGAAGGATGTCTGTTTCTGAAGCAATGGTGAGGACAGGGTCTACCAAGAAGAACCCAGAGCCTTCCTCCTTGGTACTGTTGAAGAAATACCCCAAATAAAATTGTTCAGTAATAATTATAATAATAATAATCTTTTAATTCCACTCCAAATTTTATTGAGTTAAACCGAAAATGGAAATTCTTTTTGCCCAATTGATCATGAGCCACTGAGCAACGCCAGATCGACAATGCTCTTTCCTTTATTGTTGAACGCCAAACAAGGTAGCAGCAACTCCCGTCTGTTAACGTCTTTTGGTATGACCGGCCGTGGTTCGAACCCACGACCTCCCGGTTGTGTGGCGGACGCTCTACTGAATGAGCCAACACTCCAGTTTAATGAACATGTGAATCATATTGAATAGGGCAAACTATGCAATACAATGTCTCAGGGTACATGAATGTTTGTGGACTGGTACAAGATAGTTTTTTACACATAACCTTGAGTTATTTCAATCCCACATTCATAGTATTTGGGTGATAATAATAATAGTGGGTTATTGTATAGCGCTCATATCTGTCATACGTGACACTCCTGGTGCTCTCAATTATTAGCCTAACGTTTGAACGGCTGCCATACGGCGCTCTAGCATTTCAAGGAATCAATTCCTGCCAGGTACCCATTTACGTCACCTGGGTTGAGTATGGCAAATGTAGATCAATGTCTTGCCAAAGGACATTAGTGCCGCGGCGGGACTCGAACCGCAGACCTTGTGATCAACAGTCCGGTGACATATCCACTCGACCGCGACACCTGTTATCTATAGTGAAGTAGAACAGTAGTAGCTCACCTGTTATCGATAGTGAAGTAATACTGAAATGCTCCTGCAAGGCCCAGCTCCACCTTACAGAATCTCTCTGATGTATCACACTGCGATTGGGATGCCATCTCCCAACCGACTTGGTAGAACTCCTTACGGCTGAAGGGTTTCCCTGAACCTGTGGGGGGATGGTTGGTGAAGACGTTCACATTCCTTGCCTGTAGGGATGGGCCTAGCTGGAAGTGCAGTGTCCATCCTGTAGAATAAAGAGAGAAGTTTATCAATAAAAGAAAACCTAGGCTTGTAATCCATGCTGCCACCACCAGGGGGGCATTTCACAGAACTTGTCATCAGTGATGCTATAAGCTACTGAAATCCTCGTTTCTGATTGGTTATCAGCAGATTTGTCACTGATTTTTGTCATTTGTCATTGAAAAAATGCTTTGTGAAACGGGTCCCTGAAGTACTCCTTTCAGATTAAAGGGTCAGGAAAATGGTTGGTGAGAAGCGTAAAATTCTTCCTAAAGTTTTCTTCTCTAATATGTACTTTGTCTCCCCCCCCCCACCCCCGAGAAAAACATCGACAAGAATGATCTTACCTTTTTTAAGTCTGTAGAGAGTTGTGTTTTTATGTTCCCCCTCATTGAGGATCATCTTCCTGATCTGACTGGCCATGATGATCGTTGACCCCCGGGTTGAAAGGTCAATCTAGAGAAAGAAAAATACAATGATAAAGTTGAATATGGACAGGCCAGGTGATATCTTGCCTCATTACAGGCTCATTCAAATATGACTCAGCAAAAAAAAGGCATGCTTTTATTATCATGATGATATAATTTTTATAATTATATAAATCATTTTTATGATGATTGAAGTTCAATGCACTTTCACAATATAGAGTGTACGCAATGGCATACACACAGAGCTCAGTGAACATGCGCAGTCCTTTGCTGGGTGCAGTTGCTATTCATTTACACTTTAACAAAAATGTGGCGCTTTGGGGGGGAGGGGAGGGGGGGGGGGGTACTGCGCCATATCTGAACTTATTACAAAGACAAAATCAGCTGCTGTTGCTCATTATAAATTTGACTATGACTAATGGTAGTAATATACACTGTTGCGTACACTCGATATTGTCTGTCAGAGCCAAAAGGGTGTTAACACTGTTATAGAGACAGAGGGAACGCCCTTTTTGCTTCAAGCAGATGACTTGTGAGTGATATCTTCAAAGGTAAAGCTACCGTCACAAAGGTTCGTATGAATCTCTGTTTTTCCATCCGTCTTTCTGAATTTCCATTGTCTGAAATCGTTCGTACAGCGTTCATAGCAGTTCGTAATGGCATTTGTGAACGAGGCTTAAGAAGTGAATCTAACCGACAAGACAAAAATTAATATGAAAAAATTAAATTCTTTTCTACACATTGAATGTATCAGTCGACACCTGGATTAACTAGCACATTGTTTCCTAAGCATCTAAATCTATGCTTAATAATAATAATAATAATATTTAATTTTTATATAGCGCTTTAATGCTTATGTTCAGGCTTTACAAGATTATGCAGTGGCCACATCAGAGCTCATTTGATTTTAAAGGTACTACGCTGTGAAAAGGTTGGTTGTTTTTCCAAACACTTTGCCCAACGTTGTGCCAATAGTCAACACAACCATTTATTGGGCAATATTTTGCCCAGTGGTATTGGTAAACGTAATTGTACCCAACTTCACACATGCATAATTGTTTCGTATTTTGCCCAACAGCTGGTCAAGATTGTCCCAACAAGTGAGCTACCGTAGTCGGGCAGTTGAAGGGTCATACCTTTGCCCAAATTTTGGTCAAATATAGTGCCCAACAGAAGAATTACCAAAGTAAATTTACCCATTTTTTCACAGTGTAAGCTAGGTTCAAGTAATCTGCCATAGAGTACCAAAGTGCCGACGCCATATTCACTCGTTCTATACATCAGAGCCTGAGCATGAGGTTTATCCCACACTCATTCAAGCAACGAGAAGGAGCAGGGCAAATTCAGTGTTTGGCGCTAGTGTATGCAATTGTTTAGCGCAAAAAATGTTTGGAACCAGCAACCTTGACAGCTTGGCCAGTATGACGTCAAATTTCGGTACTCTATAGCTGTGAAAAATCAGTCTGAAAAGTAATGGGCAAACAAAACTACAATGCACAGGCCTTCTGGTTTGGAGAACAATTGTATTCAATTGATCAACATATTGTTATAATGATGGTGTCTAGACTCTAACATTCTAGTTATTCAGACTAAATCTTAGACCATGGGGCGAAATAGAATTCTCAAAATCAATTTTACTTTTTTGACAACGTATGTTTATATCCAATTTTTTAAATCATGAAATATTTCTCTAAATTTCAAGACAAATTTAATAAATGATGCAACTACTTAAATGACCATGATGAAATTTAATTCTAAAAGCCAAATGCACACTGAAATGTGTACATTGTAATAATCACTAGGCTCTTGATCTCCTACTAGATCTTATACTTTAAGCTCCGGAACTATCTTTTTTAGTACGTGAATTTCAAAAACTCAAGGACAACCATAATGCTCACATGATCATTACATCCCTGCATTTTAATCCCAAATCAGCTAGCAAAACACAACAAACAGCTAGTCCAGTGCTGCCACATTAATAACGAAATGTTAGAAAATCCAACATGCCTGCCACACACTTACAAGATTTTGACTAAGATCAGACTGTGAAAGGAATTATATGTACATGATGCATAACACCTTCAGATATGAAATTTGATATAATTTCCTGAATAAGATTCCTAAATGATAAAAATATTAAAACCACATTTTGAAGGTTATGAACTTTTCAAGCAAAGGATAGGTGGTAAATATCAAACCAATCCTGGGGGGGGGGGTGATACTAAGATTTGGTTTTGACAGGGGTGTGCCGCTCAAGCCTCGAAACCCCTACCCATTTCTAAGGGTCATTTGGGGGGATTTTTCTTTAAGTAAGACAATTTTTCACAATTTTTAAAAACCGGACCAAATCAGGGATATTTTGTTAAAAATGGAACCCATGTTTAGGGATTTTTCTTGAAAAAGTGACCCATTAAAGCAGCACCCCCCCCCCCCCTGCCCCACCGGGGACTAATCAAACAGGACTATCCCTGATTTGAAGCCAATTTGGCTTTCACTGAATGGAAGGCCTATAATAATGTATACCATATATTGTTTCAATTTTTCTATTCATATGAAGAGCATCATGGGGAACCCCAAAATAAAGATTTCACACTTCAGAAGTTTCATTCCCGATGACATTGCAATTTCTTAACAATCTGACGGCAGCTAGTATGATCATATAGTATGTGCAGTGGACTTTAGAGTCAATTTCTCATCATCAGAGCTGCCAACCTCCAGAACAGAAAATCAGTAATCACAAGGCTCAAAATCAGTAATTTTAGGTATAAATCAGTAATTTCCTATGCTGCGCTATGAATCTAAAAAAAACGGCACGCCAACACTGCGCGGACGCATGATTATCTGAAATTTTTGGTGACTAATTTACTCACACAAAGTTGTTAAATATTAAGTTTCAGGTCATCACAACAGTTTTCCATGAAAAATGGCTCCTATTAATAGAATACTTGATACTTTTCCGTCTTTCTCAGCGAGTGTTGGAGGCCGCCATACTTCACAGCACTCGTTAAGATAAATCATATTTAAAAAAAAAAAAAAAAAATTAAAAAAAAAAAAAAAAAAAAAAAATTAAAAAAAAAATTAAAAAAAAATCAAAAAAAAAAAAAATCCGTAATTTGAGACAACATTCCGTAATGGTCGTTAATTTCCGTACCAATTACGGGAAATCCGTACTAGTTGGCAGCTCTGCATCATCCATGTCCAGATCAACAATCTGTAGAGGAACAATGTACATGTAGACCAGCAAAGTTCATGGTCTAACAACGTTACATGGTCATGAATTGCATGACTCTGCATTAATAGCCAGCCATTGATTAAGATGGGTTTAGATTTCATATACATGTAGGTTAATTTAACTCCCAAGCAGAATGCTCTTTTTGTTTCTTGACATCTAGGTCTCATTGCACTGAGCATGAAAGTATTAGCATAATGATAAAAGTTAACAATGACAACAATATAATAAGAAATTACAAAAGTTAAACATTTGATTACAGTCCTGACCAAAAATCTAACACAAGCAGCAGGTGACGTGACAATTGAACCTCAAATAAATCTTATCATCTGGTGCATAGTCTCTACTCTTCTCCTTCTCTTCCCCTCCACCCTCCTCTTCCCTCCTCTACCCCTCCTACACCCCTCCTCCTTCCTTCCACTCCTCCTCTTCCCCTCCCCTCCACCTTCTTCCCTCCTCCCCCTTCCCTCCACCCCTCCCCTCCACCCTTCCCCTTCCTTCTACTCCTTCCCTCCACTCCACCTCCTCCCCTCCCCTCCACCTTCATCCCTCCTCCCCCTTCCCTCCACCCCTCCCCTTCACCCTTCCCCTTCCCCTTCCCTCCACTCCTCCCCTCCCCCTCCTACTGTTTTTGTGTTAATTAATAAACAAAGGCAACAATATTTCTCGTTTCTAAATAGTAAATACAGAGGGTCATTTCCAAATACGTTCACACCCGGCCTCCATACACGTACAGAGTAAATAACCTTTCCATACAGCGTGAATAGAGCTATTTAAAGTTGACGCAAATGCTCTTGCGCTCCAAGTAATTGGCATCTCAGTGGAAGGCAATTTAGCAAGATTCCTTGCTAAGTGGATTTTCTCGCCTTGTCACTCCTTGCATTCCGATGATGCGCTTTAAAAATAATTGCTATCAAACTACATTATATATAAATATATAAAGGCCTACAGAGGAACAGCCTTCATGTTACGCTATTCAATAAACAGTAGGTGTGCTATATGAATTTCAAATTTGTCAAAAATGGGTTATGTTATTTAACTACAAATTTTCTCACTAAAATAATACAGATTATTAAAGAAATTGATAATAACATCGTTAAGCAACTACTCAAGAAAACATGTTGGGTTTAGATTTAACAAACGGTTTAAGGAATTTTTCTTACAGAGAATATACATGTATATACCTGTATATTTAACTTCTACATATGACAGGCAGGCACCTACATAAATGTTAAGGAAATATTACAAAACTAGTCATCAAACAGCTATATATATTCAAGCAATTGAAGTCAAAGGTTACAACTGATCTTTGACAGTGATCATGATCATCAGACCTACTTATCTCTCACCTTGCCCTTGCATAGTCATCTCTATCTAATGGTGTCAGGGAAGATGTAATACATAGAGTGGTGAAGTGTGACGTCATCAAAAATCTAATTTTAGAATTTCTCAATTTTTTCTTCATTTTCCGAAAGAGCATCAAAAATAATGTCCAAATGTCGAAAACCAATTGAATATGTTAAGTATTGGCTGAGATATGACCATCTGAATAAATATACTCCCCATAGGAGCTCAGTGTTACATTATATGCTCTGGCTCCTAACCACTAGGAGCCAGAGCATATAACACTGAGTTCCCATAGGACATATATTTATTCAGATTGTCGCATCTCAGCCAATACTTAACATATTCAATTGGTTTTCGACATTTGGACATTATTTTTGATGCTCTTTCGGAAAATGAAGAAAAAATTGAGAAATTCTAAAAATAGATTTTTATGACGTCACAGCTTCTGTACTCTATAGAGCACACAGGTTTGTGCCCTAGTATTAAAGGTCTAGCTGGTAGCATTATAACTCCTCTATATGCACGTTGGATTAATACTTACAAATGGTGTGATCCAATAATTACATACTGGCTTAACATGTGTTATCTTTGCCCTCCTCAGATAAAATACTTACACCACCATGTGTGCCGAGCCTCTGAGACGACATGATCATTGATAAACTACTAGCTGTCAGAGGAGTAGTAAGTATTTGTTCAATGCTAAACGATTGATGCAACAGTCAGAGCCAAATGGAGCAATTAACAGACAAAAAACAACTCCATAGACATGCAGATGATGCTTAGAATGGTCCTCTTCTGTTTTTAGATTAGAATAAAAATTTTATCATGTGACGCTTCACAAATATACAGTACGGTATGCATGCAAAAACTGTGCAAACACTTATCTAACGTCACAGATCAATTTCCAATGTTTTCCCTGATTTACAAAGTACACACTATTCAATCACGATTCATGAACTATGGTGGCACAGATGTTCAAAGCATTCTTTTTGCCAGTTAAACATAATCAATGAAATCATATGAGTTAATTGTTTTAATTGCAGCATTCATCAACATCACATTGTTGGTTTGGTTAGAACCTTGCATGCCTTTGGTATGTCCAATTTGATCTGATGTGTTTAAAACCATGGATGTGCATGCAGATCCAATTTCACAATTATTCCACCCTCGATCCTAATCAAAACTTGTGAGTGACATACATGTATCCAACAGAAGGAGTCCAAGGCATTGATATAGGCCTGCATCTAACACTACAGGGCTTGTCCTAATATTACTATACAGTGCTTATAAATGTCATGGTCAACACAAGAACTTGACACGATTCCCTTCAAAGTCCAAAATGAAAGCATCCTCTTGACTCCAGTCTTACAATCTATCAAATCCAGTGAATAATATGGTTCCAACAGGCTAACACAGTTCAAAGAATAAACTAGTAGATAAATATAGGCCCCCATTCTCAGTTGAATCCACAGAAAATAGATCAGACCAAGGAGTCATATGATCAGACTGACTGCAGAACTGCATTCTAGCACTGTACCAGGAACAGGACAGAACACAGAGAGCTGGTTTTGTTTACTTCCCTCTCGATCACTGCATCCAGTCACCCCTGACTGACTGCAAACCTCTAGGGCCATAATAAATCTGCCAAGCATTGATCAGCTTGGCCTAAAATCCTTTTACACACTTGAACACCTGATTTACAACAACAAAACAACTCCACAAATCTGTTCAAAGCTTCTTACTTCACCAGTCATCTAGTCTGTAACATCAGACTTCTAAATTTTTAAGTCCTAAAAGTGAGATTCCAGCTAGGACTTTAAACTCTGTGTGCTGGACACTGTGCCAATGTCCTCCTGCATATATAGCTGTAAAGGTACACGTTGAAATAGTAAACTGCACTTCACTAAAAAGTTAGAAGGAACAGACAAAGTTTATCTGTACATGAATGGTCTATTGCTTCCATTGCCATGCAATGTGTGTGCCCTGCTACACTGTATATGTACATGTGTGGAGCAAAATTTTGGAGGAGTGACTGGGGGTGTGTCAGTTATTAGCCAATCGGATTGCTCCCTTCACTAACTCAGCTGGTATCCTGTATACACACAAATCAAACAATGCAAACTGTGCAATTGACTTCCAAACAATTAATCACTTGGTTATAGAGGGGTTGCTTGGGAATGACTCTGCACTAAAAGAGGGAAATGTGTTTCACCAGTAAATATATGGTCACACAATGATGGCTCTGTTTGTCCTATATTGGGTGAAAAGAAGGTAAAATGTTATACTTCCTGGTAGCTTTCCACGTAAACTATTACCCAAAAAACATAACAAGATTCCAAGGTCAATACTTTTAAGGATGTAATGTATACCCGGATCTAAAAGATCACACCAGTCTTCATGTATCAAGCAATGCCACACAACTACATGTACAGTGTACATATAAAAGCAAAAATTCAATTGTTATAACTTTGATTAACCAAAGCACTATTTTGGTGCAAGGCTACATGACATGTACTGTACATGTATTTTAAAGTCAATGTGTTCCCCATGCTAAAGCAATCATAATGCTGCTCACTAGCTTCACCCCTTCCCTCTCTCTAGTTTGTTTAGTTTATTTTTTTCCAAATATCATTTAACAGTAAATAAGACTATATGGGTAGAGTGATCATTGCTGTGTTCATTAAATAAAAATGTTATGGGGCCATTTTCTGTTTTTTTTTAAGACTCCGTCAGAAGTGAAAAATTAAATAGATGAATAACATACAATATATGTATCGACACTCGACAGAAGTTTATAAGCCATACCTGTAGATTACAATAATATCAATTACAGTTATTTCAGTGTCTGTCAGAGGAGTAACAGCTCTCTAAAAAAATCGACAGCTCTCAAAGCTTTGAAAACCAGCAGTTGTCACCCTAAAAACTAGCCATCAATTTGATGACATCATCTTATGTGGATCAAGTACACATATTCACAATGACTTTGCATTAAATACCGGTAAGCACCAATCATCTCGCCTACATGTATGTACAATGTAGCTGATATTAAAAGTAATGCTTGCATATTTGCATAATTTTATTAAATGACAATGTTCCACTGGCTGTCTGCCCTAACGGCAAAGAAGACGAGAGACTTCATGCATGGCTGATCTCAACGACACAGAGTTTGTTGTTTGTTGCTACAGCAGGCAGCCAGTGAAAATAATTTTTTTTAAAATAAAATTATGGAAATGCAAGCATTACTTTAAACAAAAAGACCTTTGTTATTCCTGGCTCATTTTTCCTGATTGAGGTGTCATATAAAAGGGCAGAAAATGAACTTTTTGGAAAAAATGATTTTCTCTTTGAAATTCAGATACTGTTTGCCAAATGACTTTTTGGTAACCTTTCTTCAAATTGTTTTTATCACTCGTGTGTGAAATATGCATCATAACGATCATATGAGTTGCATTGAAAGAATGAGGAGGATCTAAGCTTTACAAATATGTGTAATTTATTAGTTATAATTGTGATCAAGTTATGATAAAACATCGATAATTCTCGGTGTCATTTTTTCTGGGACGCACTGTATATGTAGCTTAATTCAAGATCAAGAATACAATACATGTATATTGACAAGCTTGCTTACAATGAGGCTATCTGTCACTGACCTCTACTGATAAGTGACATCATAGTTAGGAAAGGACAGTGATAGAGGAGAGACTGTTGCGATTAGCCTGGCTTCCAGGCCCTTGTTGCATAAAATTTACCATTGATGATAACTTTGCCACCAATGGTACATTAACTGCCATGAAAACCTTGATTTTGATTGGCTGTTGAGCCTTGTTACCATGGTAGTTGCCGTTGATGGCAAAGTTACCATCAATGGGGCCCAGAAGTGACCCCCTCCCCTTCCCCTTATTTGCCCCAACCCCTTTATGCCCATACTCCTTCCTCCCTAATGATGCATTAGTTTGAAACATACCTGCCAACCTTTGAAGACTAAAAATAGTAATCATTTTTTTACGAGGGACTGTGACGGAGCGGAGCGACAGAGCTTTTGGTATTTTCAACATATAGGAATGCCTTTTTCCTTCACTTTAAACTCATTTTTCAACACTTATGCAACCCCCTCCCCCATACAAAATATTTTAAACAACAAGGACTAAAAGCTCAAAATTCCCCTGATGAAATAGAACCTGGAGGTGAAAAATAAAGGGCTGTGCATAGGCATGTAATGAGGTACTCAAATACCCAATTTTGTTGTTGTCAACACCACCATACTACGGTAGAAGTATCCCAGGTCCGTCACCGAAAACTCAAGCGATTTACTTGGAGTTGCAGTTGAAGGCGCTGAAATCTGGACATTTGGTCCCACTTTCTGAGTGGTGAGTTGACAGTGATATTGAGCTGTGAAACTTTTTTTTACTCTTGGTACCATGCCGGTGCTCTCCCGGGCACGCTTAAGCATCGGACTGCACAGTGCCAGGTGAACGGGCAAAAAAAAAAAAAAAAAAATTAAAAAAATTAAAAATCGTAATTTTATGACAAAAAATCGTAATAATTACGCCAAAATCGAAGTAGTTGGCAGGTCTGTTGAAAGACTCATACATCTCCTCAATGGGTCTAGCCCCTCCCCTCTCCCCGCCCCCTCCACCCCCCCCCCCCCCCCCCCCCCCCCCCCCCTGTACCCGTCTTACATGTATCTATGCCACTGCATCACCTGTATACAAATGAACGACTGGCAGTGAAATGTTGGATAGTATTCCATCATAAAAATGGAGGGAGATTACCGGTAGCACAAAACCTCAAGAAAAGAATGCACAGTCTGAATGTCTCATCATCACTGGCTGATCTCAATAACTTTCATCTTATTTTGTGTTTTTGTACTTATTTTAGTTTCATTTAAATCTATTCATTCAATTATTTTAGTATCTAGATTCATTTATCATTTCCCTTTTATATTTAGTTACCTAACCTTTCATCCATGATTATTCATTTATTTATATATTTATTCATTTATTTTATTTTTCATTAATTTATTTCTCTATTTCCATTAATTCACTTATTCTTGTACCCTATTCATTCATTCAATTCAATTCATTCATTCTGTTGAAATGAAATAAATATGAATATGAATAATATGAATCACTTACTCCTTCCCTCACTCAATCATTCATTCCTTCATTTTTTTTTTTTTAATTTGATTTTTTTTTTTGTGACAGGTAGTATTTGAGGTTATAAGCTAATTTTAGAATTTGTTATTTGATTTGATTTGATTTGATTTATTGGTTTCTGAATCTTTTATTCTTTTTTTTCATCATACATTTTCATGAACATAATATGGTTTGATACAATATTTTAAGTGTATATACTTTTATACAGATAATAAACGAAATTAAACAAATATATTGAATGCATAATTAACATACATTAGATGCAGGAGGGCTACAGAAATAAGTAAAGTAGCTTGACGTGCCCGCAGCCCTCAACTTAGATACAACAATACAAAATAAAAATATAAAAGAGTGTGACTTGCAGAGAAGAAAAGGAAAGGGGAGAGAAGGAGCGTTGGTACTAATACAATAAATCTCATACATCTGCTGATTGAATGCAGGTTCATTCATGAATGGATAAACGATGCTACATGTAGGTCATGGACGATTACACATCATTGTTGAATATACAGTCAATGTTATAATCTAGAGACAACCAATACCACCTTGAAGTTCATATAAGAGGGAGAAAAACACACCCTCAGTCTGACGGCTAGGCTAGAGAAGTCAGAAGTGTCTTTCGCCAAAGTCTCAAATGTTAATGTATTTACAGCATAGCATGTACAGTAGCTATCCCTGCTATCAGTTACAATTCCCTGTACACTATGTACTACATGTCTAGGCAATGGGAAGGCAAACCACTTATGCATCAGGGTTTCATGGATTAGAAAGGCTATATAATAATGATTCATTTTCATTAGCATGGCCCTCGCGTACACAGATTTTAAAAAAAAAGTTTAAAAAAAAATCAAATTTTTACTTTTTTTTTTTTTTTTTTTGGGGGGGGGGGGGGGGGGGGGTCAAATTTTCCCTCGGGTCGCGCCACGCGTTTTTAATTTCTTGGCGAGAGGCCTGTTCATTAGTTTTACATGGTCATAAAATTTGTAGTTGAATTATCAACCCACATTACGTTGTCGAACAAAATGAAGACAAGATATACAAAAGTACATTGAAGTTGAAAAATGGTCAATGTTTAGCAGGGGGAACTATTTTCTGTAACTGTTTTCATAACAAAGTATGATTTCTATTCATACCACAATACAATCAGCTTAAAAATTGTAGACAAATCGTGATAATCAGATGAGTGTCATGAGGAAAGGATATACCATTGTCATCCTCTACATGTATAAAATCTTCCTACATGTACCGGTACCCATAATCATTTGGACAGATCTATACACACAATTTTTTTTTTAATTCTTCAAAAGTGTTCTGTGTGCAAGCAAAAACAAATCAGAACAAATTCAAACCCCCCCCCCCCAGGAAAGCATGTTTGCCAAGTCATGGGGGAGGGCAGTTGCAGTTCCTACCACCCCCCCCCCCTCCCACCCCACTGGTATACATGTACCTGCCAGTATCTTGCAATGTACATGTTTGTAATTATTATAGGGGGGGGGGAGGGGGGTTTCACACATTTGAACAAAGTCCATCAAAGTTACAAAATCTTTGCAATGAATTAATTTCCTTTTACACTTTGCACAGGTACATGGATATTGAAATATAGAGGGCGCTATCACATAATGCAGTATATATGCATCATTAATTTGCTTCTATTAATTGTCAGCTCTATTTCCTCAAGTAAATTCTTTGTACATACATGTACATGATTGCTCAGAACAAGATTAGTCATGTATCTTTTGATAGTCTTGTGAAAGTTCTCTTTTTGAGTCCTAACGT